AGATCCACATCCGCCTTGCAGGCGTCGACGCCCCTGAACTCCCCCATTTCGGCCGCCCCGCCCAACCCTTCTCCCACGCCGCCCACACCTGGCTAACAAACTACCTGCTCAGCAGGCGCGTGCGTGCCTACGTCTACCGACAGGACCAGTACGGCCGCGTTGTGGCCACCGTGTACGTGCGCCGTTGGCCGTTCCCCTTCATCCGGCGCGATGTGGGTTTGCAAATGTTGCGGGCGGGGCTGGCAACGGTGTATGAGGCGAAGAGTGGGGTGGAGTTCGGTGGGGAGGCGATGGAAGGGAAGTATAGGCGTGCGGAGGAGAGGGCGAGGAGGCTGCGGAGGGGGTTGTGGAAGGCAAAGGGTACGGTGGGGTGGGAGAGTCCGCGGGAGTATAAGACAAGGATGGCGGTGTTGGAAGGGGAGAGGGCTGCTGCTGCTGCGGGTGGTGGTGGGGAGGGTGAGAAGAAGTAGACGGGTAAGGAGGGGGGGCGGGGGGTAATGACGTTTCTCCCCATTTGCTCTTGGGCTTCGGTGGTTACGAGCGTTTGTATTTGGTTCTGCGAAACGAACAATTTTCCCTTGGCTCTACGTTGTAGAATGTGTTATGCATATATGCCGAGTATGGTTTTTGTTTCTTTCCCTGCGTTAGCGGCTTGGAGTTTTGGCGTTTAGTTCGTCGTCCATTTTGCTATATTTTTCTTTTTCTCGGCGTTGGTGATTTATTAAACCCTGATTATGTTCTATATTACAATCTCCTTTTTATACGAGATTATGAAAAACATCACCGCGCGTTGGGGGAACGATTTCCGGGGGTCTTGGAATGGTAGCTCTTTTCTATTTATTCATCTTAACAAGTAGGCCGTTATAGAGAATGCACATGTACTGTACACGTGCAGCTATGAAAATGTTGATGTAAGGATAATTAATATTCTGGACATATGAAAGCCTGGAGAGAATCCTAAAAGAGTAACGGGTGGTTGGATGGGAACTGAGGCCCAGCGCGAACACATGCGAAAAAAAAAAAAAGCTATCCAGCCAACGACGAAGGGGGACGCATAAAAATACATTCAAGAATAGAAACAACATGAAAACCAGTAGATATATATATGTATATACATATTCCTTACGAAAATCTCCGCTCAATCTCCGCAAACAACTTCGGACTAATCTCATCACTACTCTCCCCCTCGACACGCCACAAACATCCACGCCGCTCATAATGTTCTAGCAACGACCGACTCGTCTCCTCAAACTTCCTCAACCGCTGCTTCCACGTCTCAATCGAATCATCCGCCCTCTGCACCAGCGGCTCACCTGTCACGTCGTCCTTTCCTGGTTCCTTGGGCGCATTGAATTGGGTATTGTAAACCCTACCGGACGGCGCGTGGACCCAGCGCGAGGCTATGCGGGAGATTATAATGGCGGGGGGTGTGAGGAGGTGGACGACTAGGTTTATGGGGATTAAGCTGTCGAGGGATGTGGCTTGGGTTGCTGTGCGAGGGAAGCCGTCGAGGATGAAGGAGGCGTTGGGGTTTAGGATTGGGGTGGAATTGGTGGCAGTAGGAGGGTCGGTGAGCCATCCCTTCGAAGAGAGTTCGGAGGATATGAGATCGAGGATGAGGTTATCAGGGACAAGATCTCCGGCGAGAATGGTGGATTCCGCTTTGAGGCCTGGTATTGTTGGTCAGATTGAAAGCTAAGACAACAGGAGAAAGTGAGGAGCTTCCCCTCCCCTCCAAAAAAAAACGACGAACCTAGTGGTGTCTTGCTGCGGACATTCTCTCGAAGAAGGTCCCCTGAACTGATGGATGCGAGTTGGGGATACCTCTTGATCAACCGTTCAGTCTGGGTCCCTTTTCCAACGCCGGGGGCCCCAACAAGGATAATTCGAGCTGCCTTTTTCAGCTGCCTTACTGTGCGAGCCATAATTCCTCCGGAGGGAGATAAAGTTCGGTTTTATCCGGGGTCAAGAAACAGGGGCGACAGCAGGAGAATTCCGAAGTTCGAAGGAGGTCAGATAGCGTAGGCAAGGAGGGGGATAATCTAAATCATCCTGCGGAATAATAATAACAGTACCAATAGCAATAGAAAGTAGGAATATACATTGGCGAGAGTGCAGCGTTTGTGCCTAGGACTAGATGAACATATCAATGCTAGGTATCCAGAGGAAAAAAAGCAATGCCGCTGCGGAGCCTGGGCGTTGAATCCGATCCTCACTCTTGCTCCGGGGATTTCGGTGTTGATAGCCCGAATTGAGTTAGTCAGCAGTCACAGCCAATCGGAAGCCTTCGTTACTGGATGGTGAGCCTGCCGAGGTTGGCCTGTTGCGGCGGGACCTTGGGGGTTGGAAGCTTCAATTCGCGAACTGGGCGCAACAAGGAACAAATACAAGGCGCAGGCTGCCCATGGGTGCTAGCAATTGTGCAAAAAGGATGAGCAAGGAAGCAAACGTCAATATCAGCCGAATCATATTGAGGACACTGGTATCAGTCCTCGGTTTGAAGAAGAACAAATGATTGGCGCACAAACCTTGGGACAACCTCGGTGCTCCATCCAACGTTCGAAGATGGCCCTATTGTGGATTACAGCAATCAATGAATAGAGTAATGTAGCGGGGCCTCTCCTCATATATGTGATAACTTATAACAAACCGTAGGCCTTTGGAAACTAGTATTTATTCGCCAATATGAGATGACCAATTTAGTTATCACGTGATTTAGAGGGCCTGCATTGATCGCGTAGCTGAACAAACACGTCCAAGGTTACTGAAGCAGACGCGTCGAAACATCGAAATGCGATTTCTTCCGCAACTCCAGATTGTCTGGCCGCCAGATCGCACTACAACCACAGACCACTACTGCCATATCCCGTATCGCCGTCACCATGTCTCAATACGACAGATCTCGCATGGACCCTAAACGACGACCTCCAATCGACCATAAGAAAAAACAGTTTGCAACTCCAACATACAAGGAACATGATTATTCCCACCGCCTCAACTTCTACGAAATACCCCCAACTCAGGAAATTACTCTTGAACAATTTGAACAATGGGCTATTGACAGGTTGCGAAGTACGTTGCGATCTTTTTTTATATATTGTATTTTGCCAACTTCTGTTTGAAGGTGCTAACTGTTTAAATAATAGTCCTTGCAGAACTGGAAGCATGCTCATACAGAAATAAAACCCCTGCCGAAACCGCCTCCCATATCACCCCTCTTCTGAACAAATTCCTTCCTCTCTCCGCCAACACCTCTTCCAGCACAGGTGTGGACCAACGCCTCCGAAATGAACGGCAAAAGGATCATTACTCCCATTTCATCCTGCGTCTCGCCTTCTCCTCAACAGAGGATCTAAGACGCCGCTTTACCCGTCTGGAGACCATGCTTTTTAAATTCCGCTTCCAACTGGATGACTCCAAAGAAAGACGCGCGTTCATCGAAAGCCTCAATTTCAACTGGGATATGGTTTCTGATGAGGAAAAACATGAACTCGGCGAAAGCTTGCTGGCATCCACCTATGGTGTCAGGCGTCTTGAGGATGAGAGCTGGTTTAAGGTAGACTGGGAGAAAGTGCCAGAGCTGGTTGAGCGGAGAGGCGTGTTTGTGAGGAAGGGCAAGGCGTATGTGCCCGTTCGAGAGCAGCTGAGTATGGTTCTAGCGGAATTTACCGCAAGGCTGGAGAAAGCCCTTGAGGTATGGGATAATATGGGACTCGTCTCGATCTTCCAAACGTGTAGTAGCCGTGCGATTTATTAACTATCTACGTAGTTTACGAGTCGAGCATTACCCCGGCTAGACGAGGATGACCGCCTGACGCCCATTCTAGAGCATCTCTCCAAAAATTTCGGCACATCTGATTCCTCCTATGCGGAGGGCGAGGGATCAGTACCGGGAGCGCCAATTACCGCGGCATCCATTGATTCCCTATCCCAACACTTCCCACTTTGCATGCGCAATCTACACATGCAGCTACGCAAAAATTCACATCTGAAGCATTTTGGCCGCTTGCAGTATACCCTCTTCCTCAAGGGCATCGGCCTGTCACTCGAGGATGCCCTGGTCTTCTGGCGGCAATCTTTCAAAATATTTACCGATGACGAGTTCAACTCCAAGTACAAATACAATGTCCGCCACGCGTACGGCGATGTGGGTGGGGATGCCAATCGTAGGGGTCGTGGATATCCTCCGTACTCATGCCAGAAGATCCTCACAGACAATTCACCCGGGGCTGGTCAAACACACGGATGTCCCTACCGGCATTTCTCGGTTGAGAATCTCATTAACTTACTCCAGGCGACAGGTGTTAACGATCAGGAAGTTTTGCGAGGGGTGCGGGAGGACGTGGGGAAAACTCGCTATCACATTGCTTGTAATCGGGTGTTTGAATGGGCACATAAAGCGGAGCTCAAAAAAGTGCGGGACGAGGGGAGTTGGAGCCAGACGGATCTTGATACGATTGTCCATCCCAACACGTATTTCAAGCGTAGTTATTTGTTGAAGAATTTGGGGAAGATTGTGAAGGAGGATGTTGACATGACATCGTGAGGTACGATTGTAATTTATCATTATGACCGGCGTTGGTTCATTGGGAATGATTGATTAATGGGGCTGGCTATGTTTCCTTTATTAAGTATTAAACGTGCCGCACGAGCGGATTTCTTCCCTTGCTCATCCGAATTGGCGGAGCGTTATTTACTTTTGAACACACAATTCCAATCACCGTCGTATTAAGTAGAATTTGTAAAATAAACGGAAGAAAGAAACAGAAAAGACGGAACGAGCTATCAGTAAAATACAGAGCATGTTACCACTGCTGATTCCCAATTCATCGTCAAGCATCAGAATGAGCTCTCAAAGCCAGGTGCCCAGCCATGGGTAAAAAATTATTTAACATTTAATCCTTCTCCGCACGACGCGAAAACAGCAACATCATTGAGGATGACAGAAGCTGGCGTAAGTAATGTGTTATTATATTAGCTAGTCGGCGTGTTTATTGAGGAGAGGAAAGAGAAGCAAAAAAGAAAAAGTTCGTCGTGCGTTTTTATCACCAACGGTTGCTGGGCCAGTCGACGCTACGGCGAACTGCACAGACCAAAAATCCTGCAACCTGGCTTCAACGACCACACTATCACGAAGCTTGACTCTGTTTGTTAGCCCACTCAAAAACACCCCTCTCAAACCACCACCCCCCCTCGTCTGCGTTCCTGTGCTTCTGGTCATCATCTGCGACGATTATGTACGGGGCCAGACTCTTCTGAACGTAAACTTAGCACCACGCTCTAAGCTGCGCGCTCCACACCAAAGCTGTGTTGTTCATCGCTACTCCAGGTTAACGTCCCCCTATCCAAGTATCGCCGGGTCAAATTGCAACGATGGATTACGAGGCATTGAAGGATCAGTGGAGTGAAGTCGAGGACCGCGATGGGATTAGGCTCAGTTGGAATACATTTCCAAGCACGCGCATGGTTCGTTGGCAGGCCCCTCCTGCGGTTTGGTTTCCGTTGCGAATATTTTATTTAATGCATAAAATAGGAGGCGTCCCGTCTTGTGGTACCCATCGGAGCGATTTATACACCGTTGAAAGAGAAACCTGATTCTCCTCTGCTGCAATACGAACCAGTTACTTGCAAACAGCCATGTAGAGCTGTTCTTAATCCATTTGCGTATGCTAAACTTTTTCTACCTGGCACCCAAGGGTACTCTGTGCCACATTGCTGCAAGAGTGAAGACTGACCTGGATATGTAGCAACGTCGATATTCGTGCTCGTATCTGGATATGCCCCTTCTGTCTCCAGCGCAACCCGCTGCCTCCGCATTACAAAGACATAACGGAAAATGCAATCCCACCCGAACTTCACCCGCAAAGCACGACAATCGAATACCAGCTCGCACGGCCAGCTCCAGCTCCTCCCATTTTCCTCTTTGTAGTCGATACCTGCCAGGAAGAAGATAGTTTGAAGGCCGTGAAAGATTCCCTTGTCATGAGCCTTTCCCTTTTGCCGCCAAATGCATTGGTGGGGCTAATTACCTACGGCACAATGGTTAGAGCACCCCAGCCTCTTTCTCTCCTGTGGCTTCATTGAGATAGCTGCTGACTACCTGAAAACACATCTAGGCCCAAGTCCATGAGATTGGCTACACCGAATGCGCCAAGTCATATGTATTCAGAGGAAGCAAAGATTACGCTGCTAAACAGGTTCAGGAGATGCTTGGTCTTCTCGCTCCAGGACTCCGTCCAAACGTGCCTCAGCAACCTGGCCGCCCCAACGCCCCCATGTCCTCAGCTGCAAGATTCCTACTACCAGTGCAACAGGCCGATTTCCAGATTACGAACGTTCTTGAACAATTACAGCGAGACCCGTGGCCAGTTGCTAACGATAAGCGCCCGTTGCGATGCACCGGCGTTGCGCTCAGTGTAGCCGTTGGGTTGATGGAAACGTCATTCCAAGGTGCTGGTGGCCGCATTATGCTTTTCACCAGTGGCCCTGCTACTGAGGGTCCTGGTCTTGTTGTTGGACCTCAGCTTAAAGAACCAATGCGATCCCATCATGATATTGACCGGGATAACATTAAGTATTACAAGAAGGCCGTGAAGGTATGGCACCTGTGAGGTTTTCACTTTCTCGGGTCATTACAGACTAACGACTTCTTTTTTCCTCTCTAGTTCTATGAAAGTATTGCAAAGCGTGTTGCTCATAATGGCCACATTGTCGATATTTTTGCTGGCTGCCTGGATCAAGTTGGGCTTCTTGAAATGAAAGGGTTGGCAAATTCAACAGGTGGCCACATGGTATTAACCGATAGTTTTACATCCTCACAATTTAAGCAGTCGTTTGTCAGAGTGTTCGATAAGGACCAAAATGAGAATCTTCTCATGGGTTTTAATGCCTCCTTGGAAGTGCTCACTACCAAGGAGCTGAAAGTTACAGGTCTTATTGGCCATGCTGTTTCGTTGAACAAGAAATCCAACTCAGTTGGAGAAACTGAGTGTGGTATTGGTAATACCTGCTCTTGGAAGATGTGCGGCATCGACCCCACTGCCAGCTTCGGCGTTTACTTCGAAATCGCCAATCAGGGCGGACCGGCTCCGATGCAACAGGGTCCTCACAGAGCTATGATACAGTTTTTGACCTATTATCAACATTCGTCCGGACAGTACCATCTCCGGGTCACTACCGTTGCGAGAACACTCAGCAGCCCTGCGGGTGACATTGCGCTAGCTCAATCTTTCGACCAGGAAGCCGCTGCTGTGCTCATGTCACGTATCGCAGTTTTCAAATCCGAGGTGGATGACGGACCCGACGTCCTGAGATGGGTTGATAGAATGCTCATCAGGCTCTGCTCTCGATTCGCGGACTACCGAAAGGATGATCCCACCTCATTCCGGTTGGAGAAGAACTTCACCCTCTATCCACAATTTATGTTCCATTTACGCCGAAGCCAGTTTTTGCAAGTTTTCAACAACTCACCCGACGAGACTGCGTTCTACAGACATGTTCTCAATCATGAGGATGTTGGCAATTCACTCGTCATGATCCAGCCTACCCTTGACTCCTATTCCCTGGAGCAGGAAGGCAGTCAACCAGTTCTGCTTGATTCCGCTTCTATTCAGTCCACGCATATCCTGCTTCTCGATACGTTCTTCCATATCCTCATTTTCCACGGTGAAACCATGGCAGCGTGGCGGAAGGCGGGCTACCAAGATCAGGAAGGCTATGAGAATTTTAAGACTATTCTCGACCAACCCAAGGAAGACGCTAGGGTAAGATTTAACTTAGTTTCTTATTCTCCCCCTTCTTTCTTTAACTCGGATTGTTGTAGTTGAGAAGTCTCTAACATCGCCGTTATTTTTTGCAGGAACTTATCCAGGATCGATTCCCGCTACCCCGTTTCATTATTTGCGATGCAGGTGGATCTCAGGCACGCTTCTTGCTCTCCAAACTGAACCCGTCAACCACCCACTCGACTGGAGGTTATGGTGGAATGGCTCAGTCTGCACAAACCATCTTTACAGATGATGTTTCGCTCCAGACATTCATGGATCATCTTATGAAGTAAGTCCACCCCCAAGAACCCTTCCTCATCTTGTAATTGTAATTCACGGTGGTTGGGCGAGGATGCTGACTGAAATACCAGGTTGGCTGTGTCGGGTACAAGTTAGGTTATTGGAGGACAAGGCTCCCAGTAGTTCGGTGGTAATCCACCAATAGAATGAGTATTCATACCTTTATAGCTCGGCCGTAATGCATATTCCTCCTTAGCGGAGCCTCTTGATATTTTTCTTTTTTGCAAAGACTTTTATTTTGATTGTCTCCGTCTTATCATGATAAATGGAGTTAAAAAAGCGCATTCAGTGAACATTTTAATTTGTATATCACGTGATTTATGGGAGGGTTTGCCCTAAATTTCCAAAAGCGGTTCGCTTAGCTAGCCTGTCAATGAGTTTGACAAAACATCCACCAAACTTCCGCTCATGAGCACTCTTCCATTTGACAACCCCAACCATCTCGACAACCGTCCAAGGCAGACTGACTACCTTTCGCACTCGCCATGCGTAAGTATCGTCCCCTTGGCTGTCATATAATGACAAGGCGACCGGCGACTGATTTTCCCCCTTTGTGAACAGCTCCCAAGCTCGACCCTACTGAGGTGAAGATCATGTAAGTTTCCTCATCCGCGTGCCAGTCTTTGGATCATAAGTCATCCAGCAACAATGCATTTGATTTACCATTGAATTCTATTCCTTCTAACACAATTTACAGCCACCTGAGGACCACAGGTGGTGAGGTCGGCGCCCAATCTGCCCTTGCCCCCAAGATTGGTCCTCTCGGTCTCTCACCCAAGAAGATCGGTGAAGATATCGCCAAGGCCACTGGCGACTGGGTATGTTTGGACAAAAGAAAAACTTCGAAACCAATCTCAATTCCCAGTTGCTGATACCGCATAAACAGAAAGGTCTCCGCGTCACCGTGAGACTCACCATCCAGAACCGACAAGCCCAGGTCTCTGTTGTGCCCTCTGCTTCTTCCCTGGTCATTAAGGCCCTCAAGGAACCTCCTCGTGACCGTAAGAAGGAGAAGAACATCAAGCACACCAAGTCCATCCCTCTAGACGAAATCATCGAGATCGCCCGTATCATGCGAAGCCGCTCCTTGGCTAAGGAACTGAAGGGAACTGTCCTCGAGATTCTCGGAACTGCTTTCAGTGTCGGGTGCCAGGTTGATGGACGGAGCCCCAAGGATATTAGTGATGAGGTCAAGGCTGGGGAGATTGATAGTGCGTGTTTTATATATATATATATATATATATATTCCTTCCTGAGAGTTGGCGATGAGTTTGAATACTAACTGATATAATAGTTCCATCGGAGTAAATAACATTATAAAAAAAGTTACCTTTTATTGTGTATTAGCCAGCCAATGCCGGGATTCCCCGTTTTCCCTGCCTTTCTTTTCTGTGCAATGGTTTATGATGTGATGTTACGCTACTTGCGCAGACGGAACCTGAACACAAAAATAATAATATCTGGTCAATTGACCAGTGAGTTTTACGAAATATGGCCCATCCCATTCTTCCCCTTTTGGAAAAGCAGAAGAAGTGAAAAGAGAGAATTATGACTTAAGATATCCCCACGTTCACACTTGCATCTCAAATCCACAGCCTTCCCTCGCAATCTCCAAACTTGACACTGTGACACCCCTTCGCCTTTGCCAACACTCTGGCCCTTACCACCCTGTTCTCTGGGAAATGTTACCTACGGTAAAGGCCTATTTTGGTGCAAAGAAGATAGAAGCATTGACCAACTACTCACCGCGGTATCTTTTTGGAAATTAAGTATTTTCGTTTCCCGTTCGCGGGAAGGGGAGGGCTTGATTAAGTGGATATGGTGGTCCATCTTTTGTGGTCAACATGTTAAAAATGGCACCTTTTGCCGGTTTCCTCTTAGCTCCTGGAGGACGCTTGTTGGCTTTTTGTAAGGCGGAATGCATGTTTCTTAGCCGCATACGTGCATAGTCATAAGTGATCTTCGACGCATTCCAAAAGGTTAAATCCATTCTACTTTGCCACATTACTATCTGGCTCTGATAATCTCTCCACCCTCTCGTTCATGTATATCACATTCTCAAATCACTTCCGAACCGAGTCCTCTCTCATGTTTTCGGGCTCAATTTCTCCGGTGATATACCAGGAGCGTTCCAATCCCCCCTCCCACCCGGATTGTCCCATCCTTCAAGAGCACCTTATCTTCGCTTCAATAGGAGTTGGCGCTATATATCTGAATCTTGAATACAACGTAAGTCTACTTCCGTGCAATATGCGGCTGTTACAAAAGGCCTGAGTGTGCGCTGGACATGTGTTATATAGTAAGCGGGGCAAGAGGTTATAGTGACTACGGTTCCCGAAATACATCAGGAATTAGCCGTGTTGTTCCTTGAACATCAGCGGCTCCAGGGGCTTTAAGATTCGAAAATTGGAGATGCGAATCATCAACACTAAACCCGAGAAATTGGGTCTTTCCTGTTGTCGGATTTCCTTTTCGGACTTTCCAAATCCCCAACAGTCATACAGCGAGAATGCGATGTATACTACAGTATATAAATATCTATCCGTATTCGGGTGCGAAGTGCGCATAGTGGGGAAACTAACTAAGCAAATATTATCGGAAATTTCCTGCTGATTTCCTGCTATTGGGCAGGGAGATGGATGGTTGTCTTGCTCCTGAAGCCTTGTCCTAGCTTAAGATCCAAGTATTCTTATTATTAGATCATTAAGGGTTGAAAACGTGTGGGCATCTCAGTATGAGATGATCCAGGGGCCCCGGCTCCGACGTGGGTAAACTTATATGAGGTTTAGTTGATGAAACGATAAGGAGGGGCCCGCTATGTCCAGTGACAATGTATTCTTTCTACACTCCCCACCGTCTCAGAATGACAATGAAGAGGGATATCCTTATTCTCAACCCTACCCACCACGTATCCCGACAGGATCTAAGCAACATGCAATGCAAACAAACGCATGTACACATATGTAGAGTACCGCATTTGATCACTTTTTCCATGCCGAATTCCAAGGTTATGTACAGTGGCGGCAATGCACAGACCGATGCTGCGTATACATGGATGGAAGCAGTCATCAACCAGAATAAACATGGCCCAGGAACAATACTATACCCTGCCTGGCTTTTTCTGCGCAACCGAATGCGTCCAGTACATTATGCATGCACGCCCAGCTCCTGTTTGCAACAAGAATCATTGCTTCTTCCAAGGTTGTTCGCTTTCAACCAGCCAGTATCCCTCGCTGCTCGGGGGAAAAGAAATAAATACTAGTGCATAAATGAAAAATGAAAATTGGATCAATATATCAACTAAATCGTTAGATATTCAAATAATCATCACCGACAGTACTTATATAGAATACAACGCTATTCATTCAAACAACTCAGTTTCAGCCGGGTTGACCTTGCGCTCACATTTGAATGCATCCAGCCTGACAACCATATTTCAGAGTAGGCGCGATATGAATGCTCAATCTCTCTTGACATATCTCGACAATTGTCTGCATGCGTGGCTGCAGCGGATTAGGCCACCCACCCACATATGCACGCATAAGAATGCAAAACCTCTAACCGATTCGCAGTGGAAGCAGAGCGTAGAAACAATTTGAAAAAGAGAAATGGATCGAAACGGTTGTTGGGCGGATCGTGTTCCGACACATAATATTGAGGGGCGATATGCATATATATATATATAGATATATATATGTTAATGGGATATTTTAAACATGCAATCTTGTCGTTCATGCTATTGCCATTACTATTTTTTATCGTCTTTATTTTCTGTTCAATGTAGTGAGTGATGCACACACAGCATCAATGCAGTGTTCAAATGCGCAGCATGCGCGTGGTACCGAGTCCTGCGTTTGCGATTTCTCATGAAATGCCTGCGTGCAGCTCATTCGGACCCATTTCACGGAATGTAGGTTCTATGAGGGGGATTTTTTTTGAAATCACAAAATAAGGGAGCATCAGTGTTTAGTTCCGGATGGGCGCCTTTTTATGTTATCTATCTGTAATGATTCTCGAAATATCGTGAAAGGGTGGGGAATATAAAGCGAGAAAATCATTATTATAGATTTCTACTAGTTATATATAAGCTCGCGCATGAACGAAGATAACTTGATGAAAACGAAATGCGCTGCTCGAGGGCACACAGATTGTGCATCTCGTGCAATGAAAGAGGCATTATGTAGCCTATTCCGAAAAGCTGCAGAGGGTAACAAGTGTTATCATCCAGGGTGATGAACGCCATTCCATGCACACATCCGCATCCTGTTGGGCCGGTTGTCACTGAAGCGCCCCACCAGGCGATGAGGGGCGGGGGTGCCTTTGTTGAAAGGAAACAGTTTGGAGGGGTAACTTCGGGATTGATACTTTGCATATTTACGTATTTCATCGGCGGGTTTCTCCTTGACTTCTTTTGTTGTCCTATGCAGGAAGCTGATGGATGTAATTCTTGTTTCTGTCCAAGGTTTGACCTAAAAGCAGCAAAACGCGAATATAAAATCACTTTAGGACTCTTCCTCATTTTCATATTTGTTTACGTCGTTGATATTTATCTTAAGATCCATGGTCGGTAACACATCATTATCATCGAGTGAGATGATCTCTCGTCTCAAAAACATCCCATTGTACTAGGTTCTGATCACAGATCTAACCAGGGATCAGCCTCAATCACTCGCCGAAACCAACGACAGTTTACCTCAAGTGTGAGTGGAGACTAAGTGGAGAGTTCCACCAGCTTATTTTTTTCATTGTTAATTTGGAAACCAACTTCGCTTGAGCCACGTTCATAACTGGAAGATTCCGCGGAGAGAATGGGGACCTAGTTTTCGCTCCTCTACACAGGACTTGTATTTCCCATTCTAGTGGTTGCTGCCGCGATTGCTCTGCTTGTAAGGCTGGCATGGAATACTGGTCGGGGTTCGGGAGCGAGCGGACGGAAGAATAGGGGATGCTGCGGCGATGACAGGACAAGTTCAAACTTGGGACAAGCGGTCTGTGGGCTAGCTGCGAAGTCAATCCGCCGCTTTGACATGGATAACATAACTGATACAAGTTGTGCAAGGGGTGATGGGCAGCCAAGCGTTGTTGTTTCACGCGAAAGGTCACCAGCAGTCCCATAGTTATTATGACCTTTGGGACATGTCAATATGGATGGGAATCCTGTTTCGTCCTTGTGGGCGGGATCTTCGTGTTTCCAAAAAGATTTACCCATGCAGTTGATGCTTGGGGCGGGCGAATCGAAATAGAAGCAGGAGGAAAAGAAAAGCATCGCCAATGCCTAAGGGTGACAGCCTAATGCATGATGACATTGTTGTGTGTTTCCATGTCAATCATTAATTCCACTAACGGGCCTCCTATTTTCTTCTGTGAGCATGTAACTCGTAAGTTGGTTTTATTGGGGCCGCTCAGACGATGGGTGTATGGAATTGCGTCACTCAAGATAACAACAAATGATACGGACTCCCAGCTCGAGACCTACCTGATCCTCAACGCCCTTCACACGTCGCTGATCACTGGTGTTGTTGGCATGCAGCTAAAAGAAATATCTACCACCAACTTAATTTCATTTTTCCCCGGAGAGGCTTGGACCTTCCCATCTTCTTCTGAATGGGGGCGGTCTGTTCACATTATGATTCGACGGCCGAATATATTTGGAAAAGCCGTTTTACTATGTAAGTGCTTGGATCATCCCGTCCCCCAACTTCTGAGCGAATTGGTTGGGTGGTGGCCGGGGTGGAGCTCGTGAGAAACATGGATTGAGATGACAACAACATTGGGAAGCCCCACCGTTTTTTGCTGTTTCTCTTTCCAATTTATTGTGAAACCAGACGTGATCTTGACGAAGTTCATCAGTTCATCTTGATGCTGGTTTGTTGACTGGTCATGAAGCATCCTTGATTCCAAGCCTGGTAGAAATTTCTACGGGGAAACTACATATCCATAGTCCATTTATGTGGCGGATGAGTTTGGTTCTAGCCAGAGACTCGATGGAGCCGCTGTGCTTTGATATGCTGCGTATATGCCGATAAAAAGATATCATTCTGCATGGTCCAAGTAATGATAACTTTGGGGAGCGTTGGCATGAAAAAGCCCCAGAAGCTCCGGGAGGGTGTTCTGGAAAAGCGAGTATTGCCCATTTCGAGTCCAGGGGTCATGGTGAGACAGGGGAGGAGCTGGAGAGAAACGGGATCCCTTACTATGTAGACATCTCACGATGATTGAGGGTCAGGAAAACCATCATGGAATATTCTGCTGCATAACACCCAAACACTATGCATCAGCAGCTTCATTTGCATAGGGTTATTCCAGTTTGGATGCAAGATGCCACCACTTTGGTATCCCACCTTCGTATCCAAGATATCTTGCGGGTCATTGACTTGTTGGTCTCTTTGTAAAGAGTATTTTTTTGCCCGACAGTGTTCCTCATAGAGACGAGGAACATGCCCTGCGTAGAATAATGCATGATTGCCCTGTTCATACTAAGTTTCTCAGAGGTTAGAGGCTTGTAGCTGAATGGTAATTGGTCCTTGGCTTCCGCATGATGATTCATGACACCCGGGAGGCACACCTACGTGCATGCATTGGGCACAACTTAAGGCTTAAACGATTTCGAAGTTGAAACCTTCCTTTTCAAACCTTGGGTACGCAGACGACGTAGCGATCCCCCAGCTGTACCTCGCAGAACACTTGTACCCCAAGTTGATAGAAGGTTGCTGATCGTTCGCCTGTTGACATTCTTCGCAGGCAAAGGATTTCCATGGGTGAGCCAAGCCACATCGACGCTTGGGGCCGGTCTCCGCAACAGGAACCCCATAGCAAAGCCCTAAAAGGGCCGCCTATCCCTCAACAACCCCAGCCTAGCGTTCAAGGGTGTCGACGGGCTTTTAACTAACCCACTAAACCCTGCGGAGGCGGCCGCCTCCCTGTGCCACCCCTTGTTCGGAGGGCTGACTCCCCTCTGTCGTCGCCGCCCAATGGCTACCGCCCAAGAAACGGGCAATCTGGGCCCCCCAAGGTCAGTCCTTGCTTGGCTTGGTTGGCGACGAATCTGCACGGAGGGAGACGAAAGGGTGTTGTTGTCTTTCCTGTATTGCGTATAGGCTGCATGTAAAGTGCTTGGGGCTCTCCCGGCGGAAAAAGAGTCAGGATCGAGTTACATACAGATGCACAGAGGCGCTCAGGTTAGAGCTGCGGGAGACATCATACCTGGGGATGGGATGGCTGGGCGGGCTGGTTCTAACTTTTTGAGTTCGAACCAGAGCGAATAAACTCTCCAGTGGGCAGTGGGCACCGGCCCACCAACTTCCACCACTCCACCAGGACCACTCCACCAGCACCACACCGCGCACATCCACCCTCTCCAACCACGTTGTCAACTATCACATCACGTTCCTTCTTCCTCGTTCTGCTTTTCTCTTTTCCTCGATCATTCCTCCTCCTTCGCATACCCCACCGCCTCCTTTCCCTCCAACAACGGCTGTGGTAGCTGTCCGCGGGTTCTTCCTGTCGCCCTGGATCGTTGCGACACTGCCTGGAAAATTTCTCTGTCTCTTTGTTTGTTTTTTCCATATCAGACGGCCGCTGCTCTCTCCAAGTATCAACCTCCTCCGTTGAATCCCGGTGCTGCGTTCCGCTTTCGTATGCTTCCACTTTTAAAGATCCTCGTTGGGAGCATTCATTTTCCAACATCGAACCAACTAGCATCTGCGATTTCCCAGCCCATATCTATGAAATTTCTTGAGGGTAGGTACGGATGATTTCGATCCTTCAGATATGACGAGTTGAATAGGCCACTCTCCAACGGAGAACATGCAAGATTGTTGGCCCTCGGTGTTCTCGAGCTCTCTTTTTCTCTCCATACACGCTCTGCGCCTCGCAATATTTGCTCACCCGTTTGCTTCCCAACTTCGTCAAACATATCTGACTTCTACCTCGCATGGTACCTAGGAGTATAATATATTGAACTGTTGGCTCCGTGACGCCCCGGATCGTAACAGCCCTCTGCGCACATGCCACAGTATATAGACATAGCCGTCGAATTACACACCGAGTTCGAATAATATCCAGGAGTGTTTTGAAACTCTACTCTGGTCCCCAGCCAACCCTTTCTGGTCCCGCTCGCATCCCAACTGGCTTAGGTGGTGCGCTTGCTGGACCTGGCGCTAATAGTTGCCTGCTGGTTTGTTGTATTTTGTCCTACATCATATCCTGGGCAATCAATCATCTCTAAGGCTTAGATATAAAGTTGCTGAGCAATATTCTGGAACCAGCCGCTACAGTGGAAGCTGCCTATCTTTCATTGTGCTTTGTAAGGGAATGAACTTCATGGATTGATGTGGTGCTTTTTGGTTGGTGTTTAGTGCCCTTTCTAACACCACTGAGTTTGACTAGCCATGGCATGATGCGGTGTCCGAAACGATCAAAAGAACGGTATCGTCGATAAAGACTTGGGCAGGCCCGCTATCGTCTGTTGCTCTTGTTCATCCTTTCTTCATTTTCCTTCCCCGGACGAGAGAGTATTCTCCTCCCTTCGCAACTAGGAATCATGTTACCATCCGTGGCACAGCAGTCACACCACCTATTACATCACCATCTTGACCATCAACCTCCTTTCGACCATTTGGATCCTCAGTACGATCTGGCCGGCAGTGCCTTACGATATGCTTTCCGTCAAGGTCAACAACACGGATACGCAGATCAGCAGCAGCCGTCGGCGATGCTGCGTCAGCGGGTGCAATACCAGCGACCCGTCCAGCGACCAAATGACCAGGATCAGACGAACGTATCCATGGTTAGAAATGGAAGCACTGCGGAAAACACGCTGAGACGGAAAACCCCCAACGGCACACTGGCGGCAGGATACGACGGCACACTTGGAGATCATTCCATCCAGCGTCCAGCCTTAAAGCATATTTTGGTTTCATTGGATAATGGCCAGGTCATATCACCACACTCTGCCCTTCCCATAGAGTCTTGGCAATATAAAGGCCTCGAACACCTTCCATCTTCCCAATTTCAGAATTTCCCGCAGCCATACAAGTACGATGTGAATAGATCTGCCGGCCTTCCTAGTGCTATACCCCAAAACACCAATGGCACGAGTTGGATTCGATCGTTGCACTATCCCCCCGGCATCGATTCCATGCTAAACCAAACAACACCGCTTCTTCCATCACAAAGGTACTATATGCAAAATGGCCCTCCGATTCCCACAGTATTAGCTTCGTCACTGCAGTCTACTCTTGGCCCAACGGCATCTGGGGGAGTTGGCCCTTATGGACCATACTGGCCTGACGGTGCCTATATACCTTATCGACCCGCTGCGTCCCGCGATTTACGATACAGGCCAAGCCCAGCATTCGGCTCTGTTCAAGACAACTCCGCAGGTTTTGCGTCTCTCCAACAACCTTTTAATAGGCAGTCTCTCCCTTCTACAGAGTTACTTACTCCTGGATTCTCCTGGAATCCCTTGCCAGCACAACTAACGCAACAGAATCCGCATCAATTGTATAATTCGGACCCAGTTGTCCAGCAATCATTTCCTCCTCGACATTCACATCAAAACCAACTGGATACATTCTGGGAACAAAACAGTGACCCTTATCGTAGTAGATCGTCACAAAATACACGGCTCGATGCGCCGCATCAAAGACAGCCCCAATTAGATAATTCCAACTGGCAAGCTCTGCCACAACAGAAGACGCTACAAGGTTCAACATCGGACATTGGCTCAAGGCCAAGGAATACCGAGTTCAAAGAAAAAATTCTATCCTGGGCACATAGTGTATATGTTGACCTGCTTACTTCCCTTCACCACACTCGAAGGAAAAACGCCGCATTAGGGATTCAAGACAACAATGCCCGGTCAAAACCGAATATATATCCCAAACCCCCGAGACAACCGGCTTCTGACTTCGAATCACAATCCAGCAACGCAGATATTACTCATCATAATGTCCAGGGAGTCACTCTTCCGAATCAACAATTCCCTCGAACCCATTCTCGACCTATGGATATGATGATGGAAAATCAAATGGATGGCGGCAAACAAATCCCTCTGCGCAGCTCTGTTGTACCCGGTAACAATTTCATGCGGAACTATCACGACGACCGCGTTCATTTCGCGCAGCATCCCAATCATCGATTAGCGGACAGTCATGGATTTGATAATTTTCGCACGATGCGTCGCTCTTCTGGCGGTATTGTTTACGGTGAGGCTTCCGTGATAGAGAATGCTACTTATGCGTTGGATATCCTGTCTAGTCTTTGTCTCGAAAGCGGATGGGAATGGATAGATGGAATGCTTGTTGGCGGGTGTCTCGCCTATGGCCTTGGGGATTATGATAAAGCTCTTCGGTGGTATACCCGAATACTTAATAAAGATGCTTCGTACGTCGCACTCATCATTATTATTGTTCTAATAGTGGAGCAACCATTTTGTTGTTTGCTGACCTAACATTTCTTCTTACTTTTTTGATAGACACGTCGAGGCGATATCTAACCTTGCGGCGACGCTTTTTGCGCTTGATCGACGCGAGGAGGCATTGAACCATTGGCTACGCGCTGTCAAGTTACGACCAAGCTATTTCGAAGCTGTAGAGCACCTAATTGGGCTTCTCTGTAGCACTCAACGGGGGAAAGAAGCTGTTAATATCATTGAATTTGTTGAAGCAAATCTGCGTGCTAAAACTAACGGAGAATGCTTCAAGATGGATGGTCTTGTCAGCGAAACAGACAGTGAAACAGAGAGCAGAGAGTCGAGCGTTTCAACTACAGAGTCCATGGAGAAAGCAGCTTTCGATTATGAAGTGGAGCCTGCCAGTCCCCCTAGCTTCGGTGCTATCACGAATGAAAATGCCCCTGGGTTTGGGTCAAGTGGATATGCCATACCTGGTTGTGACAATGGACGAATGCTTGCACTAATACACGCGAAGGGCAATATGCTCTATGCCTTAGGCGATAATGCTGGAGCAGCGTCGGCCTTCGAAGACGCCATTCTCATCGGAGCAGGGAGGCGGCGACGTGGAATTCGAAGTCTTATCAAGCTGATACTGTCGGCGTTTGAGGAAGATAACCGCCACTGTTTACCGGCACCTTCACAGAGGCGCGAATCCACGAACCCACTGTTACTTTACCCAGATAAGGCACTCCAAACGGCGACTCTCGTTTTCCCTCCCCAAGGAAACCTTCCAGGATTCCAGCATATACCCGATGGCATTGCCAAAAAGGCAGCTATTTCTACTACCAGCAACTCGTTGCTTTCCCTAGCTAAAATATATCAAGATGGGATGTCTACTACCACTCCAGGCATTGGAGCTTCAAAAACATCCACGGGAGTCCGTGACATCCTTGCTCTCTATTACCTTTCCCTCTCACTCCAGCCCAGTCCATCCACGGCCAACAACGTTGGAATTTTGCTCGCGAGCGTCCAGCAGAATGGACCACAGAACGCTCCTCGTCCATCTGGTGAGAACCAGTTGCCGGATATCCCTGGGGTTGTTCCAGGCAGCGGAATTGCTCTTGCTTTGGGTTACTATAACTACGGCCTAAATCTTGATTCGAAACATGCTCATCTTTATACGAATCTTGGAAGCCTTTTGAAGGATATTGGTCAGCTTCCAGCTGCAATCAAAATGTACGAACAGGCTGTACAATGTGACAATAAATTTGACATTGCGTTGGCCAATCTGGCAAACGCTGTGAAGGATTCAGGCCGAATTAACGACGCCATTGGCTATTATAAAAGGGCCGTTGCTGCTAATCCTGAGTTTGCAGAGGCAGTTTGTGGCCTTGCAAATGCGTTGAACTCAGTTTGCAACTGGGGAGGCAGAGGTGGGATTGCGGCTAATAATGGCGCACGCGATCGGTGGCATGTCGATGACAAAGGGATGCTTCGAGACGCGAAAGAAATGGGAGTTGATTCCGGCTGGATAAAACGCGTTGTTGAAATAGTGGATAAACAGCTCAAGGATGGGGAAATGTGGGGCTCTGGTGTGCTAGCGAGCATGCCCCGGGACAAATTGGGTCTCAATCTAGCTCTCGTTGGACAAGATTCAGCTTTAGCTCATTACAACGCTTCTTTGAACGCACTCCTGAGAAGCTGGGCAGGACAGAAATGGGAAGGATCAAGAATCGTGAGGCTAGTCGAACGTGCGATAAAATTGATCGGATGGCGTTGGTATCAGGATCGATATGTTCATGGCAAAGAGTATCCGCCCTCAAAATACGCCCGACCACAGCTTCCAACTAGCTTAACCGCTCCCAACGCACCTACGGTCTTGCCGTTCCACACTTTTACATGCCCTCTTTCAGCGAAGCAAATTCGTCACATATCGCAACGCAATGGTCTCCGAATTTCATGCTCTACTCTTCGATCCCCATGGCTACCTGGAACAGTCTACTGTCCTCCCCCGCCTCCTAATCCCCACCTAAACGTTGGATATGTTTCGTCAGATTTCAACAATCATCCTCTGGCGCACTTGATGCAGTCCGTTTTCGGCCTCCATAACCCTCATCGAGTCAAGGCCTTTTGCTATGCAACGACGTCCAGCGACAACTCTGTGCATCGAAAACAGATTGAACGAGAGGCGCCTGTTTTCCGTGACGTCAGCAACTGGCCCGTTGATCGATTAGTGGAGCAAATCGTCAAAGACGAGATACACATTTTGATAAATCTGAACGGTTATACCCGTGGCGCAAGGAATGAAGTTTTTGCCGCTAGGCCGGCACCCATACATATGTCGTTTATGGGCTTCGCTGGCACACTCGGTGCTGAATGGTGCGACTATATCCTTGCGGACCAAATTTCAATCCCCCCCGAAACTCTTGCTCCAAGAAAACGCATTACTCGGGTCGAAGATCGCTTAGTGGAGGAGGATCATGCTGAAGACCTGGAAGACTGGATCTATGGAGAGAGAATCGTCTTCACCCGTCATACCTTTTTCTGCTGTGATCATCGCCAGAGTGCCCCAGACTCACAGGACAGGCGTTTAACTTGGGAAGAAGAGCAAGTCAACCGGTGGAAAATGCGCAAAGAGATGTTTCCCGATCTCCGTGATGACGCTATAATCCTTGGTAACTTTAATCAGCTTTATAAGGTATGGAAACTCCCCACCGTTGGAATCAACTCCGCCCACCTTCAACCCCCCTGTACCAACCTCAAATGAAACTTACACTTTTTGAATTCCTCAGATCGAGCCAACCACATTTCGTACCTGGTTACGTATTCTTGCCCGCATTCCAAACGCAATACTTTGGCTACTTCGTTTTCCAGACCTTGGAGAACAAAATCTCAAACAGACAGCTGTTGCCTGGGCCGGCGAGGCCACTGCCTCCCGCATCGTTTTCACCGATGTTGCTCCTAAACATGCACATATTTCTCGTGCTCGCATTTGCGATTTATTCCTTGATACCCCTGAATGCAACGCTCACACGACTGCAGCGGACGTCCTTTGGAGTGGTACCCCCCTCCTCACGCTCCCGCGATATAAATACAAAATGTGCTCCCGCATGGCTTCTAGCATCCTGACCAGCGCTCTTCCGCAGACTGAAGCTGGTCGTCTCGCTGCTCGTGACCTAATTTCGTCTTCAGATGACGAGTATGAAAACCGTGCGATAAGCCTGGGTCTGGACCTGAGATATGAATTGGGTGGCCATGGCCGTGCTAAAGGGAGATTGGTCGAACTGAGAAAAATGCTTTTCCTGAATCGATGGGAGAGTAAACTCTTCGATACAAAACGATGGGTGAATGATTTGGAAGATGCCTATGATGCGGTGTGGCTGAAGTGGGTCAGAGGGGAAGAAGGCGACGTGTGGCTATAGCATTTCAGGGCCTTGATTCATCCCAAACCCTGTTGTCATGCAGGCATACCCTTTTGGCCGTTTTTAAGGCCAGCGGTGCCTAGGGTTGGATTCTCTCGGCGTCCCTGAACTTCCCTTACATATCTATCTAGATGATATCTGCTTTTTGTTACACTTTTTTTTAAACTCTACTTTTTGATTTCATGTTTTATTCTCAATGTTATCGCCTTGAATTATGTAATTTCCTATCTGTCCCCCACCCTTTTGCTTTGAAGACAATATGGGACTTTGATGTTAAACATTATATATTTTTCCCTTTTGTTTTTGTTTGCGATTTTCTGAAACAACCGTGTATGTGGTCTGCCGACGGCGTTATTATTTAAACCACTATATCTGACACTTGGGGACAAAACAGGATAAAGCATGTATTTGACATGGGACTTCAGAAGAGGTCGGTTGGCATTTTGTCAGGGAAAACACGACTGGAAATGGGTAGCCTGGTGGGCAATTTACTACCCGGCCCAACGCGTTTTTATCAAATCATTTTTGCTATGGGCGAGAGTTGGCTCCATCGTCCGTCGCCCCGTTTTTTCGCTTCGCTTTGTTTTGCTAGCTCTTGTTCCCCCTTGCTTTAATTTACTTCCATTTCTTTTGGGGTTTCTGATTAATGTATTCTTTCCACTACAGTCCCCTACTTTTTCTTCTTTTTTTGCGATAGAGATTCTATTTTTGTATCTTGTATTTTTCTTTCCAGCTCTGTTCTGCTCTATACCTGACCCCTATTGCCTGGGTGTCCTTTTTAGATGATTTTTGATCTAGGTTTTCCCCTTTTGCTGGTTTTAAACAATCCTCCATTTTTACTTGGAGCCACTTTCGACCACGAAGCATCCTGTTTCCATCTAACTATATCAATTGTGGTTGCTACTTGCCACTTTTTGTGGAAAAAACGCTCTTTCGCTCCGGTTGTTTGCTGGCAGAGGGGGGGTGTTACCACCTGCCTGAGCTGTCCGGGTAAGAAAAAGCGCGGAGGAAGAGGAGGTGATAATTTAATTGCTAGCTTCATGGCTATTATCCCGAGCATTTATTTGTATGATGATTGACGATTGTGTGTTTTGGCTGTTTGGCTACCTTCTCACAGGAAGTTTTCCTTTTTTACTTTACTCGTTGGCGGAGGGTATTGATTTTCTTTTGGTTTTATTATTATAGATATGAGCACGCAGCGCCTAATCCTTTTTCATTGTTCATTTTTATTTTTATATTTTTTGGTTTTTTTTTTTAAACCCCGTGGAAAGGGATAGGATTTGTTTCTCTATTTTTATTCAGCATATCAATAACTAGACCATGGATCGCTAAGTCTCACAAGACGGGAAACGGCTTTTCTTAAGGGCGGATTTCTTGATAGAAGGATGGGTTTTGATGGGCGGGTTAGTAATGAATAATATTCCTATTTGCTTGATTTCCTTTTGCTATGATGCAGGGAGACGTGTTTCTTCTGTTCGGAGCCTTCCTCGCCTATATACCCGCCCTACAGCCGGTTTGTTTTAGTTATTCAATTGCTTCATATATTACCTATATAGAGAGAGATATTTTAAAGACTTACAATCATATTACTTTGACATAACAGACCCACCTGAGTCGTCATAGACTAATTAAACTGAATAAGAGAAAATTGCAACCCGTTGTACTGTACAAAATTCCTGTATCCACCCAAATGCTTCTATGCAATGAAAGGGTAGGAGACCGTAGAAATTCAAGCAACAATAGGGTGTTCCTCTTATATCAAGCAATTTGAGATACCTATTATGCACATCACATGTCATCAACACAACGGAGCTCGTGGTGTTCCTGTTAATGCATTCATGTGTGAAGATGGAATATTTTAAAAGGATTCAAATTACGCGACATGTGTGGAGTCTGCTTCTTTCATTGTTTTTGTAACCTAACATTTTGAACAAGGGGGGAGAAGTTCTGAAGCTAGAACTGCAGGGACTGTTTCGCAACCTGCGCATTGGGATTCGTATTTTGTATCTAATGGAGACAACCGATTAATTCGGGCCTTTTGTAGCCGGGAAGATTTGGTGCGGTTCGCAAAGTGGTGAAAGGAGGAGAGAAAAAATAGCGGGACAAACGACATGCAATCTAGCAACGTATCAACACATACTTTTGCCTGTTAGGAACACCGCAGTACTGTATGAGTTATATGAATCATGGGAATGAATCCCTTCCGTTGGGGACGGTCGGTGCGTACAACTACCCGGTATCTCAAAACTGCCTAGGTAATCTTCCTGTATCTATGGAGAGCAGGGAGCAAATAACCTAGGTATGACAGGCTCTAGTTTAACCATTGGGATAGCACGCGCTACAAGATCGCTCAGTTCTTTTCATGTGAAGCCCACCTTCGTCTTCGTGGGCTGCAAGGTATCAGGAGCCGGGAGGGACGCGCAAGGTAGAGGCTGATATCAGCGTTACGGGTCAAGAGAGAGGGCTGTCCGCACTCAAGTAACGCGTTTTTGCAACGCCTAGCAGAACTTTGAGCACTGTGGGAATCTTGTAAGCGGGACTCTCATAGCTCATGCAACGTTTAAGAAACAGAGGTCACGGCGTCCAAGGAACCAAACCAAAGAAAAGGGGATGGAATGAAAATGCCAGCCCTGGCTGTAGAGTATGCTCACTGATCTGATGGTGCACTACGGAAGGGCCATCAGAAGAGCTGAAAAAGGGGTGCCAAGGGGATCGTTCATTGAAAAAAAAAAAAAAAAAAAAAAAAACCTTCGGAAACCCCGAGGGATAGGATTGATTCGCTGATCGTGCAACAGGCCAGACTGACGGACTACCCAAGCAGGGCCGCTTCAACGTGTGAGGCGCATGGGGGTTCGTCACAGGCTGGGTGTTTCTTGTGCAAAATGCTGGGGATTCTTGGCCAAGCATAACCCCCTGAACATGTCCACGTACTACTATGGTATAACCCTGAATTTTCGTTAGGGTCACCCTAATATTTAAGTGCTCTGCTAACCAAAATATTGGGGGGTGGATTTCACTGGATGAGTAATATATTATTAATACACAACCTTCTTTGTGTACCACAACAACATAAGGATTTTTTTTATAATAAAAGGTAGAGATGGGATATATGCTATACACACAGTATAGATGTTCAATTTTCAGTACCCCAAAGGTTCAATTATGGATCATCAAGAACCCGCGTAAATTGAAACGCGAAAAAACCACGATGACCCCCCAATATTGTGGTTAGCATGGCACTAAAATATTAGGGTGACCCTAACGAAAATTCAGTGTTATACCATAGTATGTCTATGTGGATGTCTATACGGATGGATGGATGGATGGATACGACACACTCCGTCCAGTTTGTGTGCGAGGATCAACCCCTCTCGATCGCCAACGGTGACTTGTGTTGGATCAAATTGGACCCAAAGCGGCGAACATTCGGCTAGGATATTTTGTGGCTACCTGTGCACTGGGTTTAAGCAAGGATAAACCAAGCCTGGCCGCCAGTGTTCAGCTCGACTGCCAGCTACAGCCTCTGCACCTAGGCGCCTTACTTGGTCTGCAGCGTACCCGTTCCTGTGGTTCGCTTCCTCCGGCTGGGCATCAAACGTAATAATAACGGTGGATTAAGACATAGCGAGGGTCCTTCGAGGAAGGGATAATTTTTAGAGCATCATGGTTCCAACAATTTATACGATCGTTCGTGTAATCCTAGTCCTTCATCCGGATGGAGTGATTCGTTGAATCGTTTGATGGCTGCACATTCATAGCATTTTGCCACTGTCACTCATACTCGTGGCAGTGTCGGAGTCGTTCAAAAAGGATGTTTTGCAATAATTAAGCCACAGTATGGTATTTTACGTGCCCAATATCTGACGGATTTGTGCTTCCCAAGTGACGATTAACCTACCCAGACATGCGTGCTTACTTGCATGCATCAATTTATTTCCAACCATCGTCTCACATCTCATCCCTGTCATCAATGGTGATCAATAAAATTCCAGCTTGACAAGGGCCTCCTTTCGCTGCATCTGTACGCCGAGATTTATGTTGTCTCCCTGGCGTCGATGTGGGTCGACTCGCTTGCCTACAAGACCGTTTTCTTAGTATGCCACATATTGGCTTGCGGACCCACCAGGTTTAACGAACCTTGTCGGGAATGAATGGACGTATCTCGCCTCATCCACGTTGTCAAAAGGAGCCAGCTTTGAGCCATCGAAGTCTCGACTCGATTTTCTTTCTCCTTTAGGAGGATTTCGAGACTGGCCAAGGAATGTGGCTTAACCTCGGCGTTCTGTTGATGGAGGAGCTTGATCGCCCACCGTTTTTGGCGGGGCGGGATCAGTTGAAAGCTCCCTTACTCGCATGTGTAGGATTGCAGCCAATCCAGAGCCTCAGATGTCAGGAGGAGGTGGCTCCTGAGAGCTGGCCTCCTTTCATCCTGCACAATTCTCCACTTTCATAAAGTCATAATCTCTCGAACTGGGAGCCAGGAGAGCTAAAGCCGACTTCTCGTTTGCTATTCGCATCTTTTCGAGGACCCACCCCGTCGCTTATCTGGAGGAAGGAATCTCAATCGAAACCGCCAAGCAGAAAGTGCCTGTTCAAAAGGGACTCTGTGCAGAGCCCGGACCCTGGGGTCGCCGCTCGTCCATCCTTTGGGGCACATCGCGCTGTGCCTAGTACTAATCCGGAATGTTGCACTCACTGGGCTCATTGAACAGGTGGTTCGCAAGTAAACTTGCTAACATGACTCTGTTGCAGTTGAGTTTAACGGGAACTATGCGGAAAACTTTTTGCACCGGACTAAGGGCTGTTCATATAACCTCATCATCGCTAACCGCGCTTTTACCCCTCCAGAACTTGAAGAAGACTAAGGAGAAAACCTGATACTTTCCAAACGGCCCCATCATTCACTCGTGAGCGAGACGTCGTGTCTTGTGGAAATTATGCTCTTCTTCGGTTGAAACATCCCATCACAGCACAGCGCTGGTCCGCGACCTGCCCAGCCGCAAAATGGTAGTAAATGTGGAAATTGTGGCATTATTACATTGACGATAATGGCGAGCAGAATAATTCCGTCAGTCCAGGCTAGGGTATTGAACCAAGATATGGGTATCGCATCCACATGTTTGACCAAATAATTATCGCGGTCCGGCACAATGTCAATAACGAAAGACCTGGGGATGATTGTTTTGCCTGTCAAATTGAACTTTCTTTGGAAGATAGCCAGCCAGCTTTGCGTGGTTTGATACGGTCGTTGATCTGCGACTTGGCAAAACTGTCGAATATGGTAAGGATCTGGTAGATAATTTACTGTTCATTTATTTTCCTTTGTCATGTTTTGTGAATATGTACGCACTCAATACTCTGTACTGAGATGGCAACAAAGCATGTCATATGTAAGGGATTTTGACCCATTGGCCGAACATGTTACCCCAAAACTTTATCTGAAGACCCTTTTGATCACAGAAGACATGTATGAAGGATGTCCATGGCTTGTGATTGTCCCTACGTGGTCGGGACATACTTCCCTTACCTGTAACCGAAGCCTATGGCTGATATAATTTGCATGAAATACCTTTCATTGCAAACAGCCAAGCTGATTGGGTCCAAGTGTGTCCTCTTGCGTGATAGATGATTCATATTAGTAAATTGCTGTTAAACCAACAGCTCGAAGACGGCGGAAGGTTTTCGGGGGGAAATGTGGTTGGGCTGAAAAACGGATAAACGATGGACGAAAGGCGCTGAAAAGGAGGTTTACGGTGGAGAGCTGAATAATGTTCAGGAGTGGCACGATTGTGAAAAAGCAACCCGAGAAATGCCCGGAAATGACCAAAACTTCAAGCTCAAGTTCTGCATTCATCAGATATTTTTGTTACTTCTACGCAGTCGTCCGATTATTCATGTGATGTCATAATAAACACAAGCTTGGCGTGAGGCCTCGAGTCGAACGGGAAGTCATTGCACATTGTTTTCTCCCCAACCCCGAGGTATTTGCCGATGCTGCGACGAAGGTCGACAGATAGAATGATTTTGACTCCATTTGGAGAAAGTTCCCCTATACCAGCAGATACGGCGGATGTTTTCTTGGTTTCAACCGCTTTTGCGAGGCCTGTCTTCGTGCTTCTTCCATCATGTTCTATTATCCAACAGTGTTCCTCCTACCACATGTATCGTTTCTCTCCAAAAACTTTGACTGCACCACTCGCGATGAGCTGCACTAGCGAACTGACAGAACCAGTCAAGTCCTAACGGAAGCTACCTTGAAGGCGAGCGGTTTTGTCGCATATCAAAGCACAACGCTTTGGCGGCCAGCATTGACCCTGCCTGCCCTCAACTAACCCGTAGACAAACCTCCCATTTTAAAAATAGTGGTCCTGGTGTGTTCGGTTTTCCCACCCCGCAACCAACCTTAAAGATGAGCCAAAAATCCCCAAATTGGGAATTGACTCTGTGCCGCCCATAGGTTCCGCTCGGTTCTTTCATTGGTATCGAATCGGAAAATGGTCTCATCAACTCTAAGCCATTATTGTTACATCATTCAGAAGGAGGAACTCGTTAGTCATCAGCCAGGCCCGACCAGATTCATCTCGGCGATTCCAAATGGCGATGTTCGGCTCTGAGAAGAGGCGCAATGAGAAAAAAAAGAGCAGATTCTTCATGCTTGGACACTGGCACGGCACTTAGTTCAGGTGTCGAGAGCCAATAGACAAGGCATCCCCGCGACCGTGTGAGATTCCAGCTTGCTCGGGCGGCAAATTGTGGCGCGCACAGCTCTGGATCTATCAGCCACAGTGATCCACCTCGGACGTTGGCATTGGAGGCTCTCACGCTATTCCAGAAGCCTGCAGCCGAACATCAACAAGCGTCAGATTTTGTTGCTTGAGGGGTCATTGGCCAATTCGCATACGGATTAGAAGCCAGAAGTCCGTTGTCCTTGAATAATCACTTCTCATACCTCGACGCCCAAACCTCGTTGTTTCTGGTGCCAACCCCGTTGTCTTGCTGATGCTTGTAAATAACTAGTAGGTACGGAGTACATAGCAGTTTGTTGTTTATCGACCTCAGACCTCGTCGCTGGGCTTCAGCCACATCGTTCAAGCGGCTGACGGAACGCAGTAACGATTTTCCGCCACTCAGCGGCTGAATCTCGCTGCGCAGGGTCTCATTGGCCAGAAGCCGGGTAGTTTGATTCCACATCGACAACCGGGTGCACGGACTGGGGAGATTGTTTTTTTAAAGTGCAACGGTGCAGGTCAAGCGCCCCACCAGGGACCCACGGGTTGCTTTCCCCATAACCGCAATGTCACCATCGTCATGGGGACTAGGTCGGTTTTACTCGGTCTAGACAACGTCAAGAAGCTTATTCTCCTCTTGACGAACCACTGACGTTCAATTCATGCAAAACGAACTCCCGGATCAAGTCGATCGCCCGATTTCCCCTTTGTGTTCCCGGACCACTGTCTGCAATGATAATATCGTAAATTTATTCATGGGTTTGAAGTGCAGTTGCGCTCGATGAGGGTGCCATTAGTTTTCTACTTCCATGTGGCGCGGGGCAAGCTTCCAACAGCATCAAATAACAATGGAGAAAAATCACCATCCTCTAAGGAGCAGCCGAATACCCAAGCCAGGACCATTGATCAATTTCTCATAAGACGCCAAGTGCCCGAAGATCTCGAAATGGAAGGAGGATACGAGCACCTTGGATACTCGTTTCCAAGCTTACGAATGGCACCGGAGTGCTCCATGATGTTGAAATCCACTTCGCTCATTGCCCTCTGCCCGGAAAGTGACTGAATGGTCCTCAACAAGAATCCGGGCAGGCTCCGGTGTTGCTAACCCCGGTTGCAGTTTGAATGGCAAAAAAACCAATGCTCGTCATCATTTCTTCTTACATCGGACCAGGTGTGGGAAACATGATCAATGTTTCGATGACTACGAACGAGCCTGGCAGACCACCAGGCAACTTGACGAGTATCAGGACAGTTTTGCCATTTAACTTGGAACCTGGGAAGAGCTCTTCGTTGATGTCTCATGGCGTATTCGGACCCAACCCGAAACATCAAAATAACGTTGATGTTCCAAATCAAGCATCAAAACGTCAATAATCATAAGCACTAACTCACGGTCCTCACCTTATCCAGATGCACTGCCCGTCGATATCACCCGTCTTGTCGGAAAGCTTCGGTACTTTTAGCATCCGAGGATCGGACTGTGAACCAAAAGATTTATTTATCCAATCGGTCGCGAGGATTCGTGGCTCGGAACATTACAAGATCTGCGATGCAAAAACCGAGGTGAACAACGAGCTGTTTGGGACTGCGCGGAGTCTTTTCGTGCAATGAAGGGGTGAACCTTAGGGGAAATCTCAAATATCTCAACGAGTAACACTTTTTTTGGAAAGAGGGCCTATTTTAAACATGTACGCTGCGTAGAAATTCCTATGTCCACGATGTTTCCTCCATTCTGTCGAATCTCTTTGGTGAAACTATCAAAACGCTCTCGTAACAAAATGAAGCGGCTGTTTACGTTGGCTTGGCAACATCATATAGTCAGTAATCCTTGTTGACCTGGCTATGGATGATGCGCTGATAGTCAGTGCTTTTAAAAAGGGGCAATGCAGGCCCATGTAACATCATGTGAATATAGCAGCAAGAGGAGGGTGTCCCCGAAGCCGAAATAATGGTCACCGATTTGCGGTTTCCCCAACATGGAGGAGGCACGTTACGTATACACCGCGTATGTTGCGGATTCATGACGAGCATACCGGAAAATATCATTTATTTTATTAGGCGAAAACTGCATTGATCAGAGGTATGCAGTTGCACATTGAGCCAAACGTGCACCTCAGCCTTCTTCCACGCACAGCAGCGTTCCAAGCCTGAATGTACTACTGCTGAGCGGAGGCATTACATGGCCCGGATGGCAAAAAGCATCCATATCCCTGCAAATCCAACATTCTCTATGACGATTGATAACGCGATCATCTCAATCTAGCCATCAATTTTTCAACTTTGAATTTCGATCTACCCGATCAGACTGATGGTTTCCTGGAGCACCAACGCTTGCGCCGAGCTGGTCCATTTCTGAACGAAAGCAGTGGATGGCCTTGCTGGCCATCCAACGCTAAGGGTTATGGCTGGCTGAAACGTTTGAAAATCGCATGGAAAACTCCGGGCTGCAAACAACGCCTTTCCCCATCTTTTCTTTTTCTTTTTCTTTTTCTTTTTTTTGCGTGTGTGTTTCTTTTTTCCTCCGAGTGGGAGTCGTTGGGACACTCGCCACACATCACTTGAGCAAAATTTGATAGCAATCGCAGGGGTTGCTGGCAGATTTCGAGTCGCTATCTCCTCCACTGGGACAAAGTTTTGCAGGGAGGGCATTTTCCTAATCGAGTTGCGGCGAATTGTATTCTTCAAAAAGTATCCTCGAGACCAAGACGATCCAGAACTACAACAATACAGTTGACCGGTTTCAAGCTATGAAAATGGCGTGCTCCAAGCTTGGCAGCATTCTATCAATACAACGCAGTTTAGCCGTCCTGGCAGTGACCAACACCGTACCCTGAAGAAAAATCTCAAGAAAGTTGAGCTAGTATGGGTTGGAATGGTATCGTGGTGAAGATTGACAACTTCGAAGGATGCTGAGCAGAGAGCTCTCTCTCCCAAGTCCTTGGAAAACGGGGCCCCACAATCATTGGCTCCAGCTTTCTCATTGATTGTAATGTGCCATTTGAAATCTCCACACCTCGTATATCTCGGCATCATCATCCATGATTGGCTGTGTCCGGAAGCTCCGATCTCGACGCTAACTGGTGTTGTCACCTTGCTGGCGCCCTTTGTTCTCCAGTCTTAGAATAAAACCTTGTAACGTTCAAGCGGCGCGTGGACCGGGGAGGCCAGGGAGATCTTCCTTCGCTTTGCTCGATTTCGCAACTCCCCTTATGGTGCCCTGAGGCTCGTACCACCGCCAGATCCATGCGCTTGAGCCACAATAAGATCAGTAGCAAAAGGGAAATAGAAAAAGCAATTGCCATCCTGCTGTTGGCAGCAACGGTTTTGCTTGTATTAACCGCTGGCGATTCGTTTGGAACCATCATTTTGATCCGCTCGGACTTTATTACTTCTTTGGTATTTTTTGAGTGGAATTTAATGAATATTCTTTTGCGTCCTGTCGAGCACCTCGAAGCTTGCTCGCTGGGTGCCCGCTCTTTCTCCTGTGATCCTCGAGCCGAAACACAGATGGCAGCCTCGTGGGTTTTCTTAAACCGACCTCTCGGCTCTACAACAGATCCATTGCGCAGCATAACTCGGGCTAGTATTTAGAATAATCAAACCTCGTATGACGACCGTAATGGAGAGTTTGGATATGAAGAAAATTACACCCTTGCTTCTTGAAAACTGAGTTTCATTCGGGGATGAGCTGGACTCAAAAAAAGAAAAAAAAAACCAACTTCCTTTCTCTTTTATCTCAGCATCATTTATTCCACCATTGAACGTTTCGGAACTCAACGAGAATCATTGACGTAGTTGACGTAAATAGCCCGGCTTTGGTTATGTGTCTGAAAATATGTACTGTACCTTGTTGACACCAGCCACCAACCTCACTAACCCAACAAACAACTTGCGAGTTGCAACTTTACTCGCAGCAGCCAAAGCAGGGTAGTTAGTTGCTCTCCCCCTTGCCAACAGTTCTATCAACCGGCTCCGAGAGTTTGGCGGTGATGCAAGAACACCATCACCACAAGCCGATCAGAGAGAGCTGAAGTCAAAGAACCATGCCATTCTCAAAAATGTGTGACGGGGGGAGGTTGATAAAAATGTAATGTTGGGTGTTTCCGAATCATCGAGCCCCGCATGCCTGAATTGAACATGAGTTACGTGAGTAAATCTTCGGTTTGCCCTTTGGGGCCATGGCTATATCCCCATTTTGTTTCCGTCCTTGGAGTGGCAGGGATACTCTGCCCATTATTCCCAGCTAGTTCGCTGTTGTCAGCATTATCCTGCAGCAAGAGGAAAAGACGACACCGAGCGAGAAAAGAAGAAAAGAAAAAAAAAAAAAACAGTCCGTTGGCTGCACCCTGTCACTGAAAAAAAAACGGGGTCAGCAGGACGGACGGACTAACATCGAGGAGGAGTACGCAGTAACTTACCAGACCCCCCATGGGGCTGCGGGGCGTTCATTTCTTTCATAATTTTTCATTATTCACTCTTATTTTCGAAGAATTTCTTTTTCGCTTCGTCTGCTGGCTCGGCGCAGTGGAATCTTAACCCACGGCCCTAGCCGCTCGATGGTCAGTCACAATGGTCCGCCTCATCCGTATTTCGTGCACAACATCCATTTGCTAGCCTACCCTTGTTGCGAATCATCACCGCATCCCTGTTTTACGATGGCAAAACACAAGTCCCCACGATCTGGAAAGGCGTGCCACCACAAGAGTGACAGCGAACCGGCAAGTGTGTGTGCTTGCCTAACTCCAGAAGCTAACTGAATTTGTTCGTTCCAAGCCGCTCTCAGCTTGGTGGTTCAGTGAACTCTTTGGTTCCTGTTCTCGTCTCTTTTCTTTTTCCGACCTATTAGTTTATGGTTTTTGCTTTTTCACCTTTCTGGGCCTCCGTAACTCTCGCTCCCGTGGCTCGGCTCAGTTGGGTGGGACCCTCTTTTGTGTTGACTTTGCCCCCTTCCTCGTCTCTGAGTTGGCTTGGATCCCCAAAGCGGACGTAGAAGCGTGTACTACAAGTATGCAGGAGTGTTTCTGCATGTGGTTCTGTATGATGCACTCCGGTTTTTGGTCTCCCGTGTCGGCGCATGTAGATAAGTACATGGTGCGGTACAGTGGTCCGGGCATGTATGTTATGTATGGCATTTGCTCAGCTGTTATCTCTCCAACTTCCCAGGAGTACATCTGTACATGAATGATACATGATACATGCAGGACATAGGCCTTGCTTTGCCTTGTCTTCCCAACCTGTCTTCTTTTGCATTTCCTAAAAAGGGTCCCTTGTTTGATTCTTGTATCAGAAAAGCAGAAGAAACCTCCAATTTGCATGCTTCAAAACGCACCTTGAAGCCTTCCTTTACACGATTCAGTTTTTTTCGCCTCGTGTCTCAAAAGAGTCAAGTCTGACGATCTCAGATCTGGTTGTGGAGTCCGTCATCAAAAGAAGGTAAGAAACTTTGATACCTTAGCCCGGGCCCTAACTCGGGATTAATTTCTTGCACTTGTATCGTCTTGTTATGGCCAGCGGAGTATATGAATCCGACCATGCCCACCGCCCACCCGTGACCCATCTCCTTCCCTCTCTCCGCCGTGTACTGCTCCTGTCTTAGCCATGCCCATATAACATCCTCTCATTATTACTACCCCCTTAGCTGTCTACCTATCAATATTTCTTCACGAGATCGGATTGGTATACTGGGTTGTGCACTAATTCATCTCTGCTTAGAATTAATGCTTGCTTAATGCTTGTTTATTCACCGTTCTAATTGTTTGCACCTTCTTCACCCTTTCGTCTGAGACGACGTGAAGCTTCGCCATTATTGGCAGAGCTCTTTAAAACAACTGTTTTATACCTGAGCAAACATATTCTTTTGTCCAATCCCTTGGAACAATGGCTCCGGCTCAACGACGAGGGCCTTGGGTTCCTGAGGAGGATCAGACTCTACTGCAGCTGGTACGCAGTCAGGGTCCGAATAACTGGGTTCGCATCTCACAACACATGCAATATCGATCGCCCAAGCAATGCAGAGAAAGATTTCACCAGAATCTGAAACCAACACTGAACCATGAGCCTATTTCTGCTGAGGAAGGACTGATGATAGAGAGGATGGTGCACGAGATGGGAAAAAGATGGGCGGAGATTGCACGGAGATTGGGGAACCGAAGTGATAACGCCGTCAAGAACTGGTGGAATGGGTCCATGAACCGGAAACGGAGGGGATTGGCGATTCAGGCCAGAGAGAGGCTTTCGCCATCCTCTCGCACATTGAATGGTCGAGTCGAACCTCCTTATCATCCCATACATCCAATGTCGATGTCCGGCCCGTGTGGTCGAAGCCATTATCAAGAGGCCAACTTTGGGGCCCAAAAACCGTCCTGGGTTTCTTCTCCTCAACGTGGACAGCAGCAACTCTCTGTCAGATTACAGTATCCTCATGCCGACTCGAGAGAACGAAGGGGACCACACTCGCCGATAGAGTACGGATATGGATCTCAGCTGGAATGGTCGAGGCCAGAGGTTGACCATCGATCTCCAACTAGAAGCCAACGCCATCTCAGCCCGATAGTTACCTATATGCCTCCTATGCATACGGAATCGGGCGCTATGTTTTCTCCTTCTACGACCTCAGAGAGGTCACACTCGACCTCAGCCGGACCTCCCTCGATGGTTTCCGACCACAATTCGATCTGCTCTGCATCGCCTAGAACCGCTACATCCCCTTCGCTAAACCCAATCCCAGTTGAAATTCTCCCAGGGCAAGACCTGCGGCGTAGAGGCAGTGCCCCAACCCTCCAATCGCCTTCTAGCTCGGCAGGCCTTGACGAAAGTTACTACGATTCGAAAAATATTGAATGTTTTCCGGAACCTGCCGTTCTCCGCCAGTGGGGCCCAGATATCTCCACTGTGCATTCTCATGAACCTCCTCGACACCAGCATTGGAAGCACGAACATTCCAATTCAGCCCCTCATAACCAGTTTACTCCGGCCCTGGGGTCGCGAACTCAAGCTCCATCACCACGTCGTGACTCAAGAATGGGACTTCAGACATTGCTAAATTAAGAAAAAAAACCTGATTCGATTTACAATTTCCTTTATCTACTTTTTTTCAGCGAATCTTTGGGTACCTACGGAGTAGTTTTTACCACTCTGCGGCTTTCCTTTGTTACGGGGAATTCCCTTCTGGGCTCCACTAACGGGCATACGGTGATTTTGTCTTCTTTTTGTTCTTTTCTTTTATCATTGCTCTTTTCCTACTACGATGGGATCTTATTTTTTGCCCCCCCAAACAGTGAGTCTGCATCATCTATCTACATCATGATTGTTCTTGCCATTGTCATTAGCTCTGTTGTCCTTTCAATTTTGGGTTAGGTTTCTCTACCAGGGAGTCATTTTCTGATTATTCGTATTTGTTCTTTGTTTGGGCTTTGGAGATATGCGGCTTCTAGAAAGCCCCTCCGAAAGCGCCTTTTCCTATCCACCTATTCTGCACATACATTTCTGCCTATTGCAGTATATATATTTTGTTCTGATTTGTATTTTTTGGTGGGCATTTCATTATGATTCATGGGATTGCGACGGGCCGGGTAAAAAAATGTTTTTCAAGGGCTGGCGCCATTTGTTTTTTTGCCATTTCTACACATTTTTAACTCATATTTCCTTTCCAGTCCCGGTTGGGTTTTAATCTATCTACCACCATTTTTTTGGCATTCCATGCATGTTGTTTTTACTGTCATTGCCATTATTAATGTGTACCAGTACGCGACCCAATTGTACATAATATAACCTTTAATCAATTGTCTGATTCGGTAGCTGATTCCTCAGACTTCCGATTTACCCTTGAGTTGTTACTTCATTTAGTTAGCTCGTTTCTCCTAAAGTTACCTTTGTTTGCATTGGTGCCCGCAGCCGCCACGAAGCGCCCCCTAGCTATTCTTACTTTACCCTCAAAAGTGCCGGGATTAAACGGTAATTGAATCTTTGGAACTCAACTACAGTGCCTAGGAACCATCTCTTTGGTACGCAGGCGGCATTCAAAAAACGGCATCGGGACGAAGTAAAAAAACGGCAAAGCTCGCGAGAGTTAACTTACAATAGGTCGCCACCTTCCCTCCGTTCTCGGTTTCTGCTCCATTAACCTTCGACCTACCAACATCTCTTTGTTCCTTCCCGTTCCTCGTTTCGCCGTTTCTGCCACTCCAAACCGAATAGTGGCTCTCGGTTTGCTGATCTTAGCATATTCAAGGAGCGTGGCTCCAAGCCCCGCCTCGGCGAATTTAAATACCCGTTATTGGAGACAAAAGCAGTACTCCAACTCCAGTTTCGCCTACCACTCTCAGCTTTGTGATTTGAAATCCTAGTAGCCGTACCGAGTTCTTGCGCTCTTGTTAAATTCCAAGGGTCTAAGGGCCAACCTGTACTACGTGTATGTGTATATTTCGTCTACCTGCTTAGCAAGGTCGCAAGAGAGAATAAGATAATCCACACTATTTCGTCGCTTTTCCCCCAGTTTAGTAAACACCGTTCTACTTTCCAACGAAGTCAGCCTTTCCCAATAACACAAGATGTATGGAGGAGGAGCATGGAGAACTCTGGGCAAAAGATTCTATGCAGTGCGCCAAGTCAGTATATATTATTAGGCTCTTTATTAATTATTCTAAAACAAATCTTATTTTGTGATGCTGAGTAATTCAATTAGGAAATGGAAACCGGCTGTTGTTTTTGGCATACGTTTGGCAGCTAATGTACACCTGGGTCCATTACCACCTCAGAATGCCCATTTGGGTTTCTTGCTTTCGGGCCCGTGTTTGTTATGGTATATATATATATATGAACAAGCTTTTAGTAACCATGTATCTATAGCAGAAGGTTGGGATTCGGCTTCCTTTTTTTGAATAATGTGTATGGGATAAAAGCGCAATGTCTCCTGTCAAGGATGGGTTTGTTGACTACAACATGGGCCTGTACATCCTACCCAGCCATCTATTGTCTTTACAGCTACTATCAACGGCGAGGGGCTGAGGCTGGGCCTATCACAGAGGCTCGTTATCTCTTAATCTCTTATCTCTATTAGGATTATCAAGTAGTTGAACGTGGCTCGGCGATCCCCCGAGTTGGTGTGGCGGTTTTAATTCGTGTACCGGTCCACAAAAGCGTGGGATGTACCGATCCGATTTTTCGGGCTTTTAAAGCAGGTTGGTAGGTATGATCAATAGGTAGCTAACTATATCGCAATTCCATAAGTGGTTTGGGAGTTGCTTAATAACGAAAATATAGTGAGCAAGGTACCAGGGTCGTTCGAGTGTATACTATCAAAGTCATAACGACGAGATAGGGATATGATTTCTGGATGATCAGTTTCTCCTTGCTGAATAAACATGGAACGAGAGGGACAGACAAGTCATGGGATACATAAGTACTAGGACTTGTACTTCATGGATGCTGCAAAAATGCGTACTTAAACTCGTGCAAGGTAGTCCATGCTGGTGCTGTTACACATTGCTTGCACCTTCTTCTAGTTGTAGTGGGACTGGCAGATGTCACAGCGCATATAATGGCCCATTCTCCCTCTGGAACCATCGTGTGGGAGCCAAGGTATGGCGGTTAAGTCCGTCGTGAGATCCATCTCCTCGCTTTTGGCCGGCATAGTCGACAAGACGGTCATGGGAAACAGAGGGGGAAAAAAACCGGTCGTGTAATAAATAGAAGTGATGCTAGCAACCGTATCAACTTGCTTCTAGGTAGTAAGTATGAATGAGGTAGGGCAGGCGGGATCTTTACTACCAACGCGGAAGAAACGACATGGGCAGCGGCAGGTGGGTCAAAGAAAATTAACGAACCCACGTTTTTCAAAGCAGCTACCTTGCCAAGGCATTGATTGTCTATCTAAATAGCGAAGAGAGACACATGTATCATCCATTTTTCCCCATCTACGTGTTTTTAGTTTGATAGAGGGCATCTCGAATAGAGTTCACGATATGGCCAGCTTTTTGGGTGGGGCATTGTTATGCGATTTTTTATTGGTTTAGACAATCAGAAGGAACATTAAGGTGCTGGACTAGCGCAACTTAATTTGGACGTTCGTTCGTTGGATGCACAACCTATAAGAAGCGGCTGTATATCTTTGTTGGGCATTTGCATGGCTTTGCTGGGGATGCAAAAACTCCCTATCGAAATACCCCTTTGGGACGGCGCCCCTTCCTTGTGGAACTCTCCAACGTTTCTGTTTCATTAGGATAAGAACGTAACAATGCCACGCCTGATAATGCCTCCACACTACATATCAATGTCATGATGTACTACTTGCACGGCCTTTATCACGCCCGCTGTTGCTACCATTAGCACATGATGTAGGTTTCTCCCCACACCTTGCCGTTCTAAGTCTCGATTAGGCAGTTCGACATCGCGTTTCTGTCCTCCATTCAAACATTTCGGCGAATGGTACTAGTATTCTACGGCCAACAGTTGAGACTTCTTTCAAGGACAAAATTATACGTGCACAACAACGAATATACGGTTTTCACATTCAATTTTGGACCGGCGAGGGGTCAATGGAAGCAAAGACCGAACAAGTGGCTAGCAGCAAAGAACGAACGCCATGACCCATTCATGAATTCTAAAGCTTTTATTCTCATTGGTGCAATTTACCCCGCGAGGTAATAGCCAAAATATTAGCATTGAGGGAACAAAGAAACCTTCGACGGATGGTGGCTCAAGAACCCTGGTGCTGGGGCCAACGGCCCTGTCAGGCATGGGGAATCTTCGCTTCGTGATCTTGGCTCAATTGAACTACTCCGACACTCAAAAGTTTGGATTATTGTTCCAGATATTTAACTCATGCACACTCTGCAGAGGGGATCGCACGTTGGCAATACCCTAATGGATGTCCCGGACATCTAGGCCCAATCAGGATATTTGCTGTTGTGCCTTGCATATCCTGATGGGCGAGGTGTATTGGTTGGAAATTCCACCAGTAAGCCCAATCCTTTTCTAGTGTTTGCTACATGAGCCATTTCTGGAGGACCGGGAGCAATTAAAAAAGGCAAGCCCAATTCAGCTATTCGTCAATTATTTCCTCACTGCTCCATCCGCTAGGTCGTCAATCAGCATATCGGTTAACAATAGCTGTACATATCCGTGCGCATGGCGAGCAAAATACAGCGGAGGAACTGCCTGGCGGCTATTTTCCTGTTTGACCGCTCGATTTCGTTACGCGATGACCGAAACGCTATTTTGAGGACAGAACAATAGGAAGCGATCTCCGAACACCGATCGCAAACTCACCTTGACAATACTCCGTAATAATGCCCAACATCTACCATCGCCCACTCTAACCTCATATTTTGAGCAAGTCAAGATGTTTTTGGATCTTCCCCAAGCTGATCAATGATGATCCAGCGGTTGGAGGTCTCTAGTTAACCTGGTATTCGGACCCGTTTTCCGCTCCCATTGTCATGGAGCTGGATACCACGATTCTTTCGGCGTGGCTAAGCGCTATCTCTATTTGGTATTTAATGAGCGATAGAAAGGAAATGAAGGTGAAGTCAATCCTAACTTTTCTTTCCGGTACTATTGCCGAAAATATTGATATTACGCCCTGCCCGGTCACAAACCATCATAAATTACCAAGCCATACAGGAAAACAACCTGTGGTGTATTCAAATAGGAGGGCTCCCAGTCAAACTAATTCTCATAGCAAAAGCTGTACTTTGCCTCCCGGGCCCTGGCATCCTTGGTATCCCTCCCATGAAAAGGGTCCAGACGCATAGCCACTCTCAGAGTTTCCACCTGCTTTTGTTTGTGGCGAAATTTTTTTACGTAAAATCAAGACTGATATATTCTCCTTTTTCATGATGTCCTTGCACATACAAGCATTATTGCCAAATTTCAAATCATGTTTTCAAAAATGAGAACTTTTTTCATTCTCTTTACTTCTTGCACGAACAAGTACTTGTACTGTTCACACATGTACCTTTTGTACATATTTTTTAACCACTTCACTTAACCCCTCTACCATGTTTTACAGTCAGCGTTGAAGGAATAAGAATCTTACTTTTTGAAACATGAACTCCCTTCTGAGGTACTGCATGTGTCTTCCTGTATCTTACCTAGATCCTCGGGAACCCGTACACATAATTACCAGCTCCTGAAGGACATGAGTTTCTCAGAGCACTGAGGGTTTTCCAACGGAACTCACACAAAGCTAGCGATCTAACAGACCACACCCAGGCAGGACGAGCGTTGAGCTCTGGATGGACAATAGATCATCCACAAGAGGCGGGGTACATCAGCCTCAGGGATTTTCGTCAAGATCATATTGCCAAAAGGCCAGAACAGGCGATGATTTTGCTAGGTTTTAGCAGTCTCGCGGGAAATTTTCGAGCCCTTACGTCAGACAACGTTTCAATCCATGTTCAACAAAAATCACCCCGAAGAAATGACTTCCCGCGAATTCTCCGGATGGTCCAAATTAAATTTGGGGCCCCCATCATGAAGCCAGGATGAAATGAGACCTGCACAACTCCAACTAGGCCCAGACTTCTTCATAGTTGGACCTGGGGGGGTGCGGAGTTCAACACGCATGCAGATAAGGAGCAATCCGAAAAGAAACGTGTTTGACATGAATTATCTGCGACTCACTCTCCTTTGCAGATTGAGTTTCCTGCAAAGAAGAGTTTTGGAGCGATCTCTCATTTATGAGCATTTTGTAGGGTCTTTGGTTACCATGCCAGCAACTGAATCTGGAGAGTCTCCATCTAATTTGGACATAAAAAAAATGGTTTTATATAGGATATTATTATATGAATCCTTGGTCTTTTTCTACATTAAAATAGGATGGAAATACTAATACCTGAACGCACATCGCCCTTATGTCAGCAGAGGGGTGATGACTGGAAGAATGGTTTTTAACTGGAGATAGCAATGGATTGGTGGGGAAAGAAATACAAAGAAAAGAATGACGATTCTTGCGTGATGTAGTTACATTCACAATTATTGATGTTTTTAATTCCACATTTATCTTCTTTCTTCTCCTCTGAGCGATAGGCTAATTCATATCCGCAGCAGGTTGCATGTGAAGCATTTTGTCTTCAGTCCCGATTTGGTTGAGATCTTAGCGAGTCTACAACTCTCCGAGAAGAAAAATATGGATTGTGGCTACCAAAAGATACAGGAGCTTCAAGCTACTTCGTATCTGGTGTCTTGAAAGTGTCCGCGTATCTCCTAAGCAACATGGAAAGCTGGCGAGGCTCTACATTGAATAACGGCCGCGTCTGGGACTCACATCTTTGGTACACATTTGCAACCGCGTGGAGAACCAATCATAGCTCCTCAGTGACGCGACCTTGCTCTCCTTTATGGAAACGTCATTGGTAGTGTAAGGATAAGAGAAAGTATTGTACGTACCGTATGAATGGGTATACAAAAGGAATTCGATTTCTGATATATCAGCAGTTTGCTGACTTCATATGCTCTTCTTAACGAAGTTGACAACTGGTTCCGCTTCCTTGAGGGGAACAGAGATTTTTCTCGTTTCTTAGCTGACCATTATGCCTTCACCTGGTGGAAGTTATTGGTAAATCAAGGTGAGACACAAATAAATAAGCTGAAGGGATAATGAAATAGTCGCAACACATTCTTGATGCACAGAACAGCCGTTGAATCAAGCCAAACTGTCAATGAGCCCATCTTCAAGAGCTTTGGGATTCTCGATCAATTTCTGGCAGCATGGGTATCCCTTGATACAGCATCTGGCATCATCATGAGCAATTTCGTCTTTAACACCGGTCCAGCCTTGCAAAAACAAACCTTTGTTGGTGTTTCTGGCCACATCGGTATGTCCACACTCGGAGGTTTCCTCTCGGTCCTGCTTTTCCTTCTCCATTTTTTTTCTTGTTATTTAAATATTTGTTTATTCAGTTGCTGACAGGTTTGACAATCATCCTTTCTCAGATCTTTTGCTCATGTAACTGCCAATGCAAAATGCGCTAGGAATCTTGCACGCACTACCTTCTCCGAACTCACAATATAAATCGAGATTGTCTTCTTCACCACCTTTGTCAATTGGATCATTCTCCCCTGCTAATAGTAAATGGTGAAAATTCTTCTTGCAGCAATTGCAAAATTTAAGATGGAGTATTATGTTTTCGATTATACCCCGACTTTGACTTTCTTGCCAGAGGAACCAGAGTTTCGAACGGGCACATTCTTGTCAGATTGTGAGATGCATTGCAATGGTGAGAAGATTAACAATCCACCAAAGGTCTCAACCTATGCAGGGACGGATGAAAGCTAAAAATTTGCTTGCATATTTGTCAAATTGTTTTAGGTTCAATTTGTACGGCTTTTCCTGGCGACGGTTCTGAATATCGTGCTATCATAATGGCTTCAATCTTCTGTTTCGGGTAGCCAAGTCAGTCATCTTTTGTGCACGTCCCAATGGGATGCAATATGCTCCCGGCTAAAACTAGTTTTATTAGCATAAGCGTTGACCATGAGTTCCGTTCTTTTCATCAATATAAGCTGCAGCTTCGCCTCCAAGAATGTTGCAGTTTCCCTTAGTATCACACTTGGAAGCTGTGATCGTGATTTGATTCAGTTGGCGAACACTAACCATTTTGGCAGGGTATGAGTATGAATACACATTCTTGAAGTGGATAGGCCCATTGCCTTTCATAGGTCTATCAGGCAGTTTCAATCGCCAGAACTTTGGCCTCTTTGATTGTTTTTTTCGTGGTCATATATTTTGCTGCTTGATTCGTCATCTGCAGGCCTAGGTCGGATGACAAACTTTTCCTTCACGCAAAGTCTTACAGCTGCCGGCAAATAAGCTGAGCTTTCTATTACTACCCTTGTTGCGACACGAGAGCCCAGCGGCAGCCAGGCTCTAGCATCAACATTCAGACCGCTATTTGACGTCCAGGTTCTCTTAGGTTAATCGTGAAGCGATTGGGTTGGAAAGATTAAAGAGAGAGAAAGCACGTTCTTCATAAATTCTTTGCTCATTATGACCATGTTAGATAATTGGCTTGCTGGGCATGAAGATATTCGGTCCTTTATAGCATGGTGTTTAGTGTAACGATATTAAATGGCATCACAGAAAGAGATACAATGTATTCCGTAGACCTGCGGAGATACACACCTGGTTTATCTCGTCCCAATCGACTGGTATTGAGGATATATATATGATATTACGCTCGATACATGCACCTTAAGATTTATAGCTCATATACAATTGAGAAGACTAATGACAACGAAAGCCCTACCCTAACCTCGAAAATGGCTGGGGAATGGGTGAACATGTATCAATTTGGACGAGGGATTAGGGTAATAACTAAATGTAATTTGTAGTATGCGGATGGTCTGTTTGCTGGTATTGAAGAAAAATAGAAAGCGTTTGAAGACTCCTTTGGTACCGAAGGCCTGAGATGTAGCCTCATCAGGCCAACAGATGAAGAGAACGAAAGGAAACTCAATCTGGATAGCTGCTGTATCCATAAGCGTATGACATATACACAGTATATATGATTCGATTGAGGTTAGAGACAATGTGCAAAGAAAAGAAACGAGGATGAGATAAAAGTTCTCAGTGAGCTTAACACTAGTCTGTTTTGGGACGGCGAACAAGCTTCACGTAAGCAACGATATCAGCATCAAAGAATGACCTTTCAATTTCTCTTAGACAATTCCTTACATTCATTATCATTACAACATCACGCGTAACTATATTACGATTTAGTTCAAGAACCCTTGTGCTTCGTCGATATGGAGGTGGCTTCTCTCCTCCAACCATCGACCACCAATGGCACAAACGTCAAACCAAGCACAATGGAGACCCCCATGGATATCGAGATGGACCTTGATCTAGGACCTTTACCAGAACCAGAGCATGTTGAAATAGTTAGTGTTGTGCCCGTTACCCTAATTTCACTATAGTTTCTGATAGTTATTCGTATAACAGAATCAAGTTCCATTAGCCACGGCGGACGAAGCCGCTGCGAGCTCTCACCTCAACGAAGAACCTCAGTTTGAAAAGGTTCATATTCGGGGAGTTGATGAGCTTACTACAGAGGATCTGAAGCGGTACGCAAGTGAGCACTTTGCAGCAGAGGAACTCACCCGGATAGAATGGATCGACGACACCTCTGCGAATCTTGTGTATAGCTCTGTCGACGTCGGTCTGCAAGCGCTGGCTACATTTTCACAACAAAACCCGGAGGAAGACACGTCGCGATTACCTCCACTGCGACTCCGGACGGCGAAATCCCTATCTACGCATCCAGAGTCAGTCCTGCAAGTACGAACAGCGGTGAAGACAGATCGAAAGAAGCAACGAGCCCATGAATCGAGCCGTTTCTACCTTATGCATCCAGAGCATGATCCCCGAGAGCGAATGATGAGAGAGTTTGCAGACAGGCGGCGTAACGGCCGGAGAGACGATAATGACAGCGATTACTCAAGAAGACGATTCGATGACAGGGAGCTTAGACGAAGACGGGGTCGCGACAAGGAAGAAAATTTCAACGAGAGTATGTACGATGACGACGCTGCGCGGAGTAGAGCAAGGAGCAGCTCAAACGAAGGCAGGCTAAATGGAGATGGAGGGGAAGAGAGATGGAGCCGTAATAGGCGCGATGTTATTGAGCTCTTCCCCGACGACAACCCTGGCTCGTTAGGTCGACTTCGGGGTCGTAGCGCTTCTCCGCTTAGAATGGAATTTGATCAAGGAGACCCTACGATGGATAGCCGGGAACGGACCCGTAAATCTTTTAGAAGCCGTTCTCCGAGGAACAGCCGAAACAGAGATCTAATATATGGGGCCGACGAATATGCCACTAGCAATGACAGCTCTGAGCGCCGGGAGTTATTCCCAAACAAAACAACATCCAGTTACCTCAAAAGGGAGCTTTTCTCCAAAAAAGTCACTTCAAGCAACCACCGCCGCTCCGATGCGTTCGATGCTGCCGACGAAACTGCAGATCTATTTTCTAAACGAATACCGGTTCCCTTGATGGATGGAACCAGTGGTGGCGAGATATCCGGCAGATCAACAGGCCAGGTTGAATTATTCCCAGATAAAAGTGACAAAAATGGAATCAGCATCCGTGGTGGTGCTGCCTCGGAGGATAAGGGAATCTCTATTCGTGGCACTTCTCAGGGAATATCTATCAAAGGTGCTGCCTCCGTTAGAGAGTTATTTCCCTCCAAATATAATAGTAACGAGGGGAAAGAACTGTTTTCGGACAAGCTTCAGGGTCGAGGGGGTAGGCGCAGGAAAGCGGAGGATATGTTCTCTTAAAAAGGAAATTGGCACTCTGACCTTTTTATTTTCCTCCCGTTTTGCGATGATCTGATGATAAGGCCCAAGACAATTTGGATAACGGTATTTCACCGTTTTATAGAGAGAAGGTATTTTATTATTGTATTTTGGACCTGGCATTATTTTTTTCTTGTTTTATGAGTTCATTCGCAGACTGGTATATGACCTTGGCAGCAGTGTAACCCGCCGAAACTCTTGGGCATTTTGAATTCCGGGATTAAATTACATGTTGAAAATCCAAGTGACTCCATTAGTCTCCTACCTAATAGGAAATACGACCTTAAATGTGCAACTTTTCAGCCAGTTTATCCCACACCTTCTTATCATGGGATGAACAATTGCCTCCCAGGCTCTTCTTCTCCATGAAACAAGCCAAAATTTAACATAAAAACATGGAATGAGGAGCGGGGTGCGCGTGGAAGAATTTCAGAAGAGAATCCTGAATGCTTTCATCTCGATCTCTCACTCTGCCTTCGGTTTCACCATGCGTCCTTGTGGCGTTACGAGCGGGACACTAGCAGAGTTTCTTGAAGAATCGGGGCTGCCACTGAAACAGGCAACCTCACAACACAGGTGCGAAGCTTTGGCCATCGAGAAATTATGGAGCAAATGAAGGTGTTTGATAGATTCCTGGGATGCGAACGAACTGTCCATGGAGAAGATCTGGATGGGTGGAAAATTCCTGGTGAGTTCGCTTCTTGTGCAGAAATTCCATCTTTTTGCAATATTTACCTGCCATTTCTTAGAAATCTGCTCCTTGCCCTGGTGCTTCGAGGTCGTTATATGCATTCTGGACCTTGCAAGAATCAAACTATTTCAAGTTTCATCCCTGCTGCAGAACAGACCCTTGACTCGATTAGTTTTCTTGACGTTTTCACTTTACTAAATTAGACCATAGCACCATCGACACCAAACATGCTTGAGACCCCAAGCGCGGCAAATCTGGTCACAGTCTGTGTTCAACCCTATATAAAACCATCAGAAGATGGCCATCCAGAAGAGGCGTCGCTGCTAATTGTTTCGGGCGCTGACAAACTCGTGAGTCTCTACGATGTCCAAGCACCCTACCCTCTCCTTTCTACGCACGACAACCTATCAGGTAGTCCTTTCCTTTCTGGGATCTATCTCTACGATGGTGCATATCGAGCAATGACAACGATGTCTGGAGAGCTGTTGCTATTCCAAGGACCGAGAGCCATAGCATCCAGGAAAGATCATACCAAATATGCTGTGGACGTGGTATCGTTCCAGGAAGAGCCGCCGGAAGTCCAAACCACTTGGCTAGCGACAGCCGGGTGGGATTCGAGAATATATATCTACAGCATAACCCTCCTAGATGTAGGTGCGCAGCTCACAATCGGTGAACCGCTAGCGGTTATCAAAACGGCCACAGTACCAGAATGCATCCTCCTCATGCGCAGCGAGAGTACGGGGGACTTGGTTCTTCTAGCGTCTCGACGTGATTCGACATGTCTATTTTATTACCTTGTCGAATCGCCATTAAACCGGCTCGAAAGAGGACATAGAATGAATGCCAAAAGTCAACAACTCTACGAGTGCCCACTTCTTGGCAAGCAGGATCTGGCACCGAATTCGAACGCATGGGCTGCGTTCTCACCCGCGTGTTTTGCTCCAAGTCCGCGAGACCCAATGCTTCTTGCCGTCGCGACCTCTAGTAAACCGTATATGCACGTAATATTTGTCCGGGTCCTCATGCCATTTCCATCAGCATCCACATCGCCAACGCCTGGGTTAGGTGCGGCCCGGCGGGCGTCGCAGGCATCACAATCGATGGCAGATCGAGAGGCCGCTGCTATACTTGTCCACGTGAACGCGATGGCGCCGCAAACGGCGTTTTCCATCCCAAAGCTCGTTTGGCGGCCCGATGGATCTGGGGTTTGGGTCAATGGGGAAGATGGTGTGATTAGGGGTATAGAAGCGAAGACGGGAAAGCTTGTCGCTTCATTGAGGGGAGGGCATGAACCCGGTTCCAAGGTCAGAACTATATCGGCGGGTTGGGCTCGCGTAGATTACGGGGAGAATAGGTTCGAAGAATGCTTAGTTAGTGGCGGGTATGATAAGAAATTGATTGTTTGGATGCCGGAACATAGATTATGATAAACTCGTATATAATGCTGCTTTGGATAAGATTAATTTTTCTGAGGAGAATAACAGAACTACCGGACCAGAAGTACAATTATGTTCAGATTTCAAACAAGGATAGACCGATATAACCAGAGCTTCAAAAATAAAATAAAAAAATGATCATCTTCCTAATGGTGGATAATACATGTAGCACATCTGTCCATGCACCTCCGCACCATGGGAGAAAGGCAAAGGGTGTTTGGTAATTAGACGGCAGTAGAATTTGATCTCGGCACGAAAAGATAATAATCCTTCAGCAATTGGACATAGAGAAAATCCCACTGCTGTACACACATATGCCTGTTTTGTCCCATGATTGGAAACGGACCATGATTAGAGAAGTGTATTCACGGTATGCGAGGTTCGTTGACTGGGTGGTAAAGGACCAAAAGTCGTCGCAGTTTTCTGAATACGCAAGAAGTGATTCGAAATTCAGAAGAAAAAAATGAAAAATGAAAAAAGAAATACTACATTTAAAACAAATGCGAAAGTTTCGATTCCGTGGCATTGTGAATCATGCTGCTGTTGAATTGGGGGGGAATTGTCTTTCCCGTTGCCACCGCCTCATGGAAATGAGACAAAAGTTTCTACTCACATTACCGCCTGCTTTTTGTGGACAGAATAGAAAAGGATATCCGCAGAATGGCTTGAATTTTTTTCAGGATTCTCCGAATTTCTAAGCCAAGATAGAACACCTATCGACATGACACATGGAATTATAGACCCGGACCGCAACCTGGAAAACAGAAAGAAAAACAGTAGAAATCGTTTATGCGGATTCTCTCTTGCCCTCCTTCACCTCTTTCTGTAATAGTATGTCAGCTAAATGTCTTACGAATTCGGGAAATGCCCCTAATTAGTAGGTGGACGGCCATGAAAGTCAGAAAATCGTACCAGCGCCTTCATAGTACCATGCAGAGCATGTCTGTGGTTCCGTCGGAATTTAGGATCTGTGCCCTTAAGGGAAGGATAGCGATGGGTTTTTGGCTTTTTGATCCTGTATCAAGAAACATCCAGGAAATCAGTATTTTGTTACTGAGGGGATCGTCGGGATCTTTTTCGCGATATTTCAGAGGGGATATCAAGTCAATAGACAGGGAACCGGGAGGGAAAAAATATAACCACGTACCCGTTTCGGTGGGCTTTCCAGTTCAACGTGTGCTGCGAGCTGTTCTTTGACTCTGAGTGGAGAAGTTGTCAGTACAGAAGGCCTCAGCACGCAAACGCTAGTGACAGGCAAGATATGAGCCTGGCAGAGATAAAATAGACGGATGATTACATACTGGCCATTTTGACGGGTTTGTGGCAACAGAAAGGCTGTTGGAGTCAAAACTGTGGTGACGGAGGTTGGACTGCCAAAACCTGAAGAGATACAGCGTTTGTTTGTGGGATCTCGCTTAGTCACGTGCACTGACTCGAGTGTTTGACTTTCTGCCAAACGTGATGGAACAACGGGATATTGGGGTCAATACTACGAGTAGTATCAATTAGTATCATTGCATTTACACATGATATGGACATGCTTAAGAAGGCTCTCTAAGAAATTGCTAATGAGGGGTTGGGACATAAAAGCATTTGTAATCCAAACATTTAAATGGCACTGTTACGCTTAAGAATTTATGTATATGTAGATATCATGGAGTGGTTAATTGATATTCCAATTCTAGCCGAAAAAAAAAGATATTCGATATCTAAACACCAAAGCCACCCGAGAGCTTCATGTAGTTAATTGATGAGCTCTCCTTCCCATAAAATTCTATCCTTCCTCACATATTCTATGCCAATACCAGCGCCTTGGCTCTACAGATCGAAGAGTTCGAGATCACGTGGAAGACTAGCCGCATTTTGTCCTCCCGAACTTCCAGTCCTGCTTTCCACCCCGACTTCAGTTCTGTGCAAGACACGCCGCTCCATCCCCATTCTTCTCCATCCTCCAATTGCGCAATGAACTCGTTTCGATTCGCACGGGCTGCTCTCAGGGCAAGCCCATCTACATTCAGAGTTCCACTCCAGCGGAGGGGCTACGCCGATGCCGTGGCCGATAAATTAAAACTTTCCCTTGTGCTCCCGCATCAGGCATGTCTCCTCACCCATTCGCGAGGTCTAAGTCCAATTGGATAAATTATGATTCTTTATTGATGACACATTGCTAATATATCTTGATGTTCAGAGTATATACAAGTCTACGGATGTGTATGTTTTACAACCGCTCAATTCCAGCTCACTTCCTCCCCCATCTTGAACCACGACACGAGAACACCAAAATCGTTACCGATGCCTAACCAAAACAATCCCATGTGTATACCACAATAAAACTAACCTTGCAATTTATAAAAAAAAAAAAAAAAAAAAAACAGTGTCCAAGTTAATATCCCTGCTGAGTCTGGCGTGATGGGCGTTCTTGCGAACCACGTCCCATCAATCGAACAATTGAATCCTGGTCTTGTCGAGATCATTGAAGAATCTGGAGGGACCAAACAATTTTTCTGTACGTCCGATGATTATTGGGCCGTATCTGGTGATTTTAAGGCATGGCAATTCTAATGTTGATATTTACTTTTTGTTTGCAGTGTCCGGAGGTTTTGCTGTCGTCCAGCCTGACTCCCAGTTGAGCATCAATGCGGTCGAAGCATACCCCTTAGAGGATTTCAGCGCAGAGGTAAGGAGAAATACCTCTCACTTCCCCAAAAACAACTCAATTGCGGACATGCACATACAACTAGCGCAAGGAAAACTGATCAGAATCGATGAGCAAAATCCCAGGCCGTAAAAGCGCAGATCGCTGAAGCGCAAAAAGTTGCCAGCGGCGGCGGCAGCGAACAAGACATCGCTGAGGCAAAGATCGAGTTGGAGGTATGAAAAATTAATGGATACTCTCCAAACCTGCTGCAGCCTTTGAAAAGTTGTCACAGCTAATGTGTTTATTCTATCATATATAGGTTCTGGAAAGCCTGCAAGCGGCGCTTAAATAGATAGATCTATCCTCTTCACACAAAAATTAATCATGTTCCGCACCACCTCAAACCTGTCAAACTCATCACAATGGGTAATCTTTTTATTTATACAATACTGAGTAGTGTAACATTAATGCCCAGCAGAACCTTCTCTTCCCTATGTGCTTTATTCATGTCTATTTATAGTTATCACCTTTAGCAATAATTTTGATGAGATTATTGCTAGTATTACTGTTCAATTATCTCGTTGTCACAGTTGATATATTTGAATTGAATATGTATATCATTTTACAAGCATTTTTTTGCTCATTTCTGTCGGAACTGGTGATAGCCAGTCGATGACTGCAAGTCGGGATAGCATGTGACAGTTGTGGCAATGCAGTGCATTTAAATTTGTATGGCACCTCTCTATAAGTATTGTGGGGGGGGAAATAAGAAAAAGATGAAGAAAAAGTGTTCTTGGGAACGGCTAAGGAATGTGAAAAGGGGGCGCCCAAATACTGTATACCAAGACAAGGTTGATGAATGGAGTATGATATTGCATCTGTTTACATTTCAAGGATGAAGATATATGTATCTACCACAACAGCACAAAATATAAATAACAATAATAAACATGAAGGATGGAAGGTGGGTGAAACAAAATAATTAAAAAAAAAAAAAAAAGGAGAAGGCAAGGGAGAATTTGTACAGTACATTGCATTCAGATCCGTATTCTCGTCCAAAGACAAAAAGAGCAAAGAAAAAATGGGGCCATCAAAAGCATTCAAAACATGAGTCACATCCATCGGAACATTTCAAAATCAAAAATGAAAATCATGGAAAGTAAGAATGAAAAGGGAATTGCTATCCTCAAGTAAACTCCACATTATGCCTCCCTTGCCTTGACATTGTCCTCCTCTCTGCCCTCCTCCGCTCTCTCTTACTGGCGTGACTGCTCAAATCAGTACTGCCAGGTGGAGGTGAGTTGAGGTAACTTGACGGAGCAGTAGCACCAGGTATATGTGGGGGAGGTGGCAATGGGCTGGAGTAGATACTGCCGCCAGGTGGTGGAGCACCGGAGTAGTTGCGTATTGGCGTCGGTGTTGGTGGTCCTAGAGTCGAAGCTGGCGCGGCGGTGGAAGCACCGCCTCCTCCGAGACCGCCGCCGCCACTAGACGCCGCAGCAACATCCATCTGCTCTTGCTGCATGCGTTCCCGCTCTTCGACACGGCGCCAATGATCGTCCGTTCCCTCATGGCCTGAGAGCGAGCTGACGCTCCCATGCCTCCGGTGACTGGACCGGTGAGGATCCCTTTTCTTCGCTCTCCGTGACGCAGCTGCCTCTTCTGGTGTCAGGCGGCGGAGAGTTACACGGCGGCCCTTGTCATTGTGGAATTTCACGTTGATGGAGACGGGCTCAGATTCGACGGATTGGTCGCGACCTCTCCGGCGGCGGCCTGAGTTTGCTGTCGCTGTCGCTGCTGATGCTGCTGATGATCTTTGAGGCTGCTTCCCATCACCGCCAGCACCACCAATTGATGTTACAGTGTCTGATCCGGAGGCAGTGCGATGACGATGGTGGTGATGATGAATGGGTGGAATTGGGGGAATATCACCTGGAGGAGGGGCGACGTGAGGATCTGTACTCTCTGACATCTCAGTGCTGAATGAGTTTCTCCGCCCAGCAGTTCTACGCGACGGCGGAGGTTGGCCATCACCTGTGTATCTCCGATGATTCGTACTTTGCCTCGCTCTTCGCTCGTTTTCAATATCCTGCCGCCGAAGCTCTTCGACTCGATCCTGCTCTCTTCTCTCACGACTTTTGAAAATATTTCTCAGTGCAGCGAATGCACCCGCGCCAAAAAGTGCGTTACGGACCCCATGGCCTCGCTCGCTCTCCTCTAGATATCCGCTGTCGGTGTACCCTATACTTGGTGGGCGGCTGGGAGGCCCATCGTATGGCCGTGGATGGCTAGGCCGCGGTCTTGCTTCCGCGGTCTGAACCGAGGAATCATCATAGAGGCTGTCATGTTGCGTATTACCTTGTCCATTTCCATGTGCTGGTTCGTATCTTCCCGACTCAGTATCACTCTCCCGTTCACGGCGTTTATCAAAATACTTTTTCGCCAGACCCGCAGCACCAGCAAGGGCACCTATTTGGAAGAGGCGTTTTCCCCACCCACCCCCGCCATGGTGGTGATCACTTTTTTCGTCATCACGGTGCGGTCGAGGTGTTGTATCTGATTCGTCTACGGACGTTCTGCTTCTCGATCGATTTCTCATGCGCCTTCCAAGCATGGCGAGTCCTGCCCCTGCAGCTCCAGCGGTTGCGAGACGGCCGAAGTTGCTGTGACCGTGGCCATCTTCTACGACTTCGGGACCTGACATATAGCTTCCACGACTGTCATAGTCTACGCCCATCCGACGCTCATGGAGGTATGTTAGGATGAAATAAATGACGATCAGGGTAAAGACTGCGAGGGTGTAGAGGACGAATAGAGCTAATGGCGATCCATAAAGAGTAAGCCCAAGGGGTATCTGGGCAATTCCAAGTAATGCAATGACTCGACCCAGCCATTTGTGGAGCTAGTTCTTGTTAGTGAATCCATTATCATATATTTTTGTGTACGTATGTATATGTATATGCCGAATCATCATGTTCGTGTGTGAAGTATCGGAGTTAGACTTACCATAATCTTCAAGGGCATATGGAACAACCGCTTTCCCTTTGTTCGCTTATGTACAAACCAGCCCCAAAGTGTCTGAAAAATGATCAAAACGTATATGGCCAACCCGATTCCATGATGGGGATTTGTTAAACTCCTTTCAGGCCCGACAGCAAACCATCCTAAAACGAAAACAACCGTCGACAAAAACAGTGAGAGAATGTGGAGCCATATGTGGTATCTCAACGCCCAAAATGGGGATGGAGAATAGAAACGGGCCATTAATATGGCGGTCGGAATGAGGCATAGAAACGTAATGGCAGCGATAACACCGTGAGCTCGAATTAAGGAATGGTAGCCAGCCATTTCCCGAAACCTGTTTCCCATGCCTATTTTAGGAGTCAGCATTCTTTCGCTTTACTCTTTCTTTCATTTCTTCCTTTCGTTATGAATATAAGTAATATAAGTGAACAAGTTGAAGACTAACTAACCATTATATCGCATAGTCTCAAAATTCAAGCCCATCAAATTCGGCAAAAGGAAGGTATTCCGCTGTGAATCCCATGTTCCGTCCCCGACGTGCAAAGTATTTGACGAGTAGGTACTCGAACCCGGCGGGGCCAGCTGCGGAAGAGAAGACATTCTCTGGTCTTCAATTGAGCGAAGCAAAGCAAGGGATATGGTTATTTATTAGCCTTGCGATTGCCGTCCCCTCCTCCCTCCCTTGGAGCGGCTCTCCTCAGCCCTTTTGCTTGCCTTTGGGCGTTCCAACACCGGCAGAGCCGGCAGAGCCGGCAGAGGAGACCTGTACAAGATCTCTCACACTGAAGAGCACACCATAAGCTAGCCTAGAGATATGGACGACGTATCTTCGTAGGCTGGGCAAGAAGTCGCGAGTAATGCTGAATAACTCCCGGGCAGCTGCAAGAGGCGATTTCCTTGCCTTTTGGAGAGGATACAGGTTAATCCAAGATCGGCCCAGCGAGAGGTTCAGGCAGATATGGGGAACTCCAAATGAGAGAAATGCCCAATCCCACAAAAAGAGTTCAAGTACAAGTAGAGAAGGGTTGTCAAAAAAAGAGAGATACTTTGTCGAGTCCCAGGGGGAGAGCAACGGAGCCAGGCTACGTATGGGAGAAGTTGTTGTGATCCACAGCAGCAAGGCGATGGCCCAGTATCTGGCCATTTGATCGTGCAAGTTCCTTGTCGCTGTTGGAGAACCAAAACGGATTGCTGTTTCGGGATTAGCGTTGCCAGCTAATAACCGGGACAACGGTATGGTAATCACGGTAATCACGGTAATTAAGTTAAGTTACGGTAACGGGTCGATGAGTCAGCAGGACGCCCCGCATTGCGTCATTGGCTGCAGGCCTGAGTATCCCAACTGCCAGCAATTAATTCCTCGCTCCGTCTCCTGTGCAAACAGCACATTACTGCTTTCATATACAACACAATGGGTGTATTATCTCTGTATGGAAACTGATCACACGCTCCCCTTTGTCCATTATCTTTAGATTGAACTGAACACATATTCCCCTTTCCTTTTACTCCGTTAGCCTAGTCCGGAATAACGTCTACTGCAGATCATGCAGCCCCTCGACAAACCTTCTTGCCTGTGGAGAGTTGGTGCAAACCGTGCAAACAACGAGATAGCTACACCGTACAGCTAACTATCACAATATCAGCTAATTATCAGCTCCGACGGCGTGACAAGACATCGCCATTCCGTGGAACTTGCTCAAGATTTACTCACTTCACCATGTGGCCACCTTCTGCTTCCCGATGAAATCTACCTTTACACATATTTTCGTTTCCGCCATGCAGCGGTCGTTTATCACTGAATAAACTCTGTCGACCCTAGCTCAAGAACCACAAATCAGACGCCATGACTCCTCAAGGCGAAGTCTTCATCAAGGCATTATCACGGTAGCTATGTCCTCCGTATCAGACCCATTCCCACGGGGAAGTGAGTGTGGAAAGAAGAAGAGTAATGCTGATATGATGCCCCATCTCACTCACTCCAGCCTCCTTGGTTGGATCTAGTACTTCTCCCAAAAACCCTCCCTCCCAGCCAGCTTCACTCCCACATGAAACAACACCACCACCTCCTCCTTTAAAACCCAACCAGAAGATTAAAACCATATCCTAACTAATTCTATCTATAAGCGCCTTCTGCTGGTCCGCCTCCTTCTACCCGCAACCAATCCTAAACTACCGCCGACGCTCCACCCACGGCCTTGCCATCGACTTTCCAGCCACAAACACCCTAGGCTTTATCTGCTACATGATATACACCTTGGCCTTCCTCTACTCCCCTCTAATCCGCGAGCAGTACGCGGCCCGTCACCCCATCTCCCCAGAGCCCACCGTGCGTTTCAACGACGTCGCTTTCGCTATACATGCCGTCCTCCTCAGCTCGCTGGTGTTGAGCCAGTTCTGGCCGAGTATTTGGGGGTTTAAGGTATCTAGGTTCCAGCGGATAAGCAGGCCTATCGCCGGGGTGTTTTGGGGTTGTATTTTTGTTGTTACGCTGTTGGCGGTTGTTGTTGCGGCGCGGGGGACGGGGGCTAGCCTTGACCCCCAAGATTGGGCGTGGATTGACGTGGTATGTTCTCCTACTTTCTTTGTGTTTGTCCATTTCATTTTTTCCCTTCGATATCATATCTCAATCCCTATCATTTGTCATATTGGGATTGTGTAACCCCCAGGAAGCAAACAATTAACTGATTTGAAAAAAAATCAAATCAAAACTTAACTCAACTCAAAAACAGACCTACGCACTCTCCTACGTAAAGCTCGTCATAACAATCATAAAATACATCCCGCAAGCATGGGTGAACTACAAGCGCAAGTCAACCGTCGGCTGGAGCATCTCGGCTATCCTACTCGACTTCACCGGTGGCATACTGTCCGTCCTACAGTTACTCATCGACTCCGCCTTCGAGGACGACTGGAGCGGCATTACGGGTAACCCCATCAAGCTGCTTCTGGGCAATGTTTCTGTATTCTTCGATATCATATTCATCCTGCAACATTATATCATTTATCGCGGGAAATGGGTGGGGTCTAACGCCAGCGGCGCAGGAGTTAGGGTTGGAAATGGGGCTGTGGGAGATGGAGACGAGGGTGTGGAGGGTGCGTCTGCACCTTTGCTGGGTGATCGGGCCAGTCGTGGTGGCGGCAGGTCGACGCCCAGGGTTGCTCTACCGTGAGCTTCGTGAAGAATTCCAGTCCAGGGATACCTTTACGCCAGCGAGTATCTCGCGTGGACTCGTCCAAGCGGGATTCACTTTCTTCCACCGTGGCATTATATCGCGCTCTTCTTTAGATGTTCCTCGAAATTTATCGCGTAAATTCTACCGCATATTCTTCGTTTTTTATCTCGGATTTTTTTATCTCGGATTTTCCTTGGGGTGGTTTTTTTTTTTTTTTTTTGGTGGAGGTGGGAGGAGGAAGTTGTGGAGTGATAGAAATTCTAACGACATTATATATAATAGTCTGGAGGTCTATACAGATGGGACATACATACTTGATATTTTCTTCCCTGTCACTGCCATCGTCATCCCCTCTCCCGCCATAAAGAGTTGAAGGTGACTTGAATGGCACAAGAAATCTGCAGGAAACCCACACCACCAAATTAACCAAAAAAAAGAAAAAGAAAAAGAAAAAGGAAGAAAAACAGCTTGAATAGAGTGAGTTTAAAGCAACCGCAATAGATAGTTAATAGGTATATAATGAAGAGAATATAGGCTAGAAAATAAAATAAATATATAACATGTAACATATATAATAAAGAACAGAGTCAAGAATTCAGCAGGAAAAAGTGGCATATACGTGTGGAACAGGGCAAAGAAAGACAACCTAACACAACAAAACGAAGGACGTGTGAACAAAAGAATGAGTATGAGGGGGAATCAAGTCATGGCAAAATCAAAGCTCAAACAAATGTGTTGCGTCAAGTCATCATATGCTCTGGTCTTCCGGGGGCATGTTAAATCGCTGGAGGTAGAAAACACCACAAGCACTAAAAGGGAAGAATATAAAATCTGAAAACGAGCAAAAGTAGAACACCCGCGTATACAGGTAAAAAAGAGAAAAGCCGAGGATAAGTATATAAACACATATAAAATATGTACCACGAGCAAAGTAGAAAAAATTTGAGATGATAGCAAAACGAAATGAAGGGTAATTAAAAGACAGATAACAAGGTGCCCATTTGCGCCCCTCTTTCCATCTCCCGCCTATGTGTAAAAAGTAATTTTGGACAGCGAATGTGAATATAGAAAGGAATATAAAAAATATGTAAAAATATTAACACGAAAGGAAAATAAAAAGAAAAACGAAAAACACATAAAGGATAAATGAATTCTTGTGTGCATATGAAATTTGCCAGTAGGGAAAATGAGAAAATGCAATGCATGCTAGCTAGCGGACTTAGGAAAAGCAACTTAAAGCGAAGGGAGAAAATCAAACATAAAACATGCTGGATGGCTGGGAGATTTTTTGTGATGACAAGAGACAAATCAAGGGGGAAAGGAAAGTAGGACAAGACTTTGAGGGCAGTAGTCCGAGGGGGTAGTAGGAGATTCGTCACAGAAATGGTTAAAGAATCGTAAAAAGAATAGATGAGCAAAACATGAGCAAGAGTGACTGAGAATGTTACTGAGCTCCGTTGCGTCGTCGTCTGCCCCGCATACCGCCTTCTGGTCGTTGAGCAAGGACTTGTCTTAGTTCAGGGTCTTCACGGTCCTTATCTACATGGTGTACCCGGACATGTCTGTAATATCGAGTAAGCATAATATCTTTCTTTTCTTTGCTCATTTCGGTCTCAGAAGGTTAAAAATGGCGGGGAGGCGCGTTAAGCTTACCTCTGTAGATTATCCGGGCGCGGATAGGTGTGCTGCTGATCTGGGCAGAATGGGCATACATAACCCGGCGAGTCATGCACAAGGCCATGGCGCTTCATTTCGTTCTTGCGCTTGAAGCCCTTGCCACCTTCACCACGCGGACAGCTTTTTACCGGGCAGTAGTATGGTCGGTTTTGTGAGTGTACATTGGCGTGGGAGCTGGGGTTTAAATGTTAGCAAGATTTGCTTCTCACCGCCCGTGTCCCATTTTGCTTCCGGCTTTATGTTAGGTCTAGAAATATACGTACTTGAGAAGGTATTGCGTTTGAAACGGCTCAGCTTTGCAATCTGGATAATTGCACTTGAAGCCGGATGAATTAAGTGGTCCATTGGATGACGTATGTCCGCTTGGGTGAATTGGGGGAGAGTCGTAGGAACCGCTTTTCCCAAGCTCTACTGGTGTTGGGTAGCCAGTGCTCGGGCTGCTGGTAAATTGTGAGCCGTGGTCTCCTGGAGAATGTGAGTAGGACATTCCCTTGTCCATTGTCTGTTGCCAATATGAGTGCTGAGGCTGGCAAGCCACTGGTGATAGACTAGCAGACATGTCTCTTGAGCTTTCTGGGGAGAGAAACGACGATGATGGTGTTGTGAGAGGAGGGGGAATGTACTGTTCGGAAGGACGACGAGGCGGATGTTCTTGTATGTTTCGTGGCTGCGAGGGGGCTGGCACTGCGCCAGGCGAATATAAATGCGGAACGCTATTTATTGGGCCAAGATGACCATTCAATGCATCTTCTATTGATGGGAGATTCTGACTGTTTTCAGGAGGCTTTGCGGAGGTAGGCTCAGGTCGAGACTGTAACGCGGGAAGTGTTTCCCCCGCAGCGTAGTCTGACGTGGATATCGTATATTTTCTTAGCGTAGGAGAGGTTGCCAATGATTCGTTGACGCGCAAACGTGGGTGCGATTCCGGTATCGATATCGGTAGCTTTTTGACGAAAGGGCATTTCGCGATATCCTTATCCATGGGAGACGCAACCATGGGACACTGTAGATGTTGGGGAGGCGCCTGGGGCTCTAGGAAATTTGGCGGCCGCGATGGTGCCCGCAGTTCCTCGCCAAACGTCCTTTCTATCTTGGCGCCTGATCTTTGGGGCTCTGCTGGTGTGTCGTCTGCAATAATTAAATCCAAGGCATGTTGGGCCGTCTGTCGTGCGCTAGACGTAATAATATCTGGCATTGATATATCCTGAGCCCTTCCCCTCTCATCCACAGCGCGGTAGTCATCGGGGCTGCTGGATTCGGAAGTTGAATCTGTTGGCAAAGATTTCTGTCCAAGCTCGTAGGCAAGTTGCGGGTTTGCTAAGGTGCTGAGTAATAGTAGTTCGCCATGTGCTGATTGGGTTCCCTTGCGACGCCGGCGAGGATCCTTACGATCACGTCCCCCGGGACTTGCCTTGCCCGGCGAGTCCGGCTGTTGTAAGAAAGGCGGGGGAGTCGCGCGGGGTCTGCAGTCGATTTTTGTGGGTTCGAGGCGAGGGGAAGTATTGCAGGCATCATCAGAATCGTAAACGTCGGGCATCATCATCGTGGAGGTGGCCTTCCTAGACACATTTGAAAATTTTACACGTTGTCTCTATATAATATATCCTTGCTATATATCGGAAATGATAATTCTCGAAGTCCCTTTCCGTCAAAAGTTTTCGGACCCCGTCGACAAATTTAGGCACTTAGAGATTAGTATTATTGAGGTGATTCCTCAATCGGTTTAGAGCCTGGCTAACTGCTTTGTTTCGATAAATTAAGGAGCGATGGCGGTATATAACCTGTTATTCAGAACTGTGTCTCAGGCAAACGTCAGTGCGAGTTGTGAATAGTATAAGAGGAGCCATTACACCGTATAGGATGCAAACGAACGGCATGTTAGGGAAAATGCAACAGCGGATCACGGCGGCATACGCCGACGATATATGAGAAACAAGGGAGGACCCATCCAGAACAAATAAATATGGCCGGAAAGGCGTAGGTCGTGGTGGGATTTCGAAGAACGATTGGAGGAATGAATGGTATGATCCAAGGAAAGTTGATCCGAGAACTTTCAAGATGATGCGGACACAGCTGACGTAAAAAAAGGACAGAACAGGAAGATTCAAGAAGCTAAAGGCCAAAACGTGAAAGGCACGGGAGATCGTACCTTTGTCGAAACGTGCTATTTCGGGGCGACGAAGATACGGAGACTGAGATAAAATGAGTCGATCTCGGGATCAAGACAGAGGCGGAAAGTCAAGCGTCAAGAAGCAACGCATCAGCTAAGCGGTTCACAGACTCGCATGACGATGCGACGAGGCTTTCCTTCTCCGGCCGAATAGTGCGTTCACGGAGCTTGTGCAGGATCTGTGGGGTGGCTGCGAAGGGAGTAGACAGTTCAGACGTGGAGACAGATAAGATAGACGCCTATGTAGGGCTAGGAGGGTTGGCGAGGAAAGAGATGGAACGGGAGGTGGAGAGGATCGGGGCAACCGGGAAGACAGGAAGACAGGAAGGAGATTGAGTTCCCAAGGGATAGACGAAGACGTGTAATGCGAAGGGAACTCGGGGCGCTGTTGTTGAGTGTGTGGGTGTTCGTATACTGTTCCTCCGCGGTCGAGGGCGCCGCAAGAACTTCGTTGTCGCTAGCGGGCGCACTCTAATGCAGAGCCTCACCTGTCGGCTGACAGCACCCGCTTTATTTTAAGTTGAGAGTCATGATCAGGGATAGTGACTGATTCAAGAGGGCAGAAGAAAAAGAAAAGAAAAAGCTTCAATGTATAAAAGGGGGCTGTCATTCCCGTTATGCAGCGACTGACGTTCAACAGTTCGTCAATATTTACTTCGTTCTCCAGGCCTTCTTTCTCTAACTTCTAAGCTAGAAATCTGTAGGAATCGCTCTACCAAACAGCCTACAGCGTACGTGCCGAACCGAGTCGCTTTTGTTCACCAAATGCTTCTTTGGCCCCCAAGTGTCGTGGTGGCCGATGTTCATGTCTACCTCTCTAGTGGTCAACCACAAGGGCCCAAGGAAATATGAACGAAAACATGTGGGCGCCAAATTGTCCGCGATGGTCATGGTGATGATACCTTCGAGTACGAGACAATAATATTATCCATGTGTTTCTCGACCGCAAAGCATCAACAAAAGCGATAGAGGCTTAAGGACCCATCGGAACAGCTTTCCGCCTCCGGATCCACTCCCAGCTGCCCAGGTTAATTCGGCAGCGTGGCCAGCTGCAAATGCAACTGCTGTGCCAGCCTGGCGGGGGTTTCCTCGCTGTGGCTCCTTGCTGGCCCCGCCAACAATAATAACAAGGATCAGACAGAACAAGTCAACTCCGTCTCTCCCAACAATATCTCAAAGCGTTTCCCCATTGACCTCGTGTTCCCGGTCACCTTGTTCTCTGAAGTGATCATCTCAACCACCTCTTGGGAGGCACTGTAAAATCCAGCCTTCGCGAACATCTGCGCCAACCCCCGCTTTCCAATGCTGCTTCCCGTCATTATCCAGAAACTGATGGATTCGCCGCAAAAGTTTAAACACACAAGCCAAACCCCCTCTTTTTTTTTTTTTTTTTTTAAAAAAAAAAAAAAAAAATTCTAGGCCGATCCTTAATCCGATGGTTTCTGCGAGTCATCCCAGGTCAAGCTCCCACCTCATGATCACTAAGAGCGATTGACAAACGGTGACCTGACTTCGCACAATAGAGCTGGCAAAGCCTGTAGGGCTATCTATGGGCCTAAGGCTCCATAATAATAATAAAACCATTATTGCACATACGCTAACCCTGCGGGAATTCCGCTACAGGGATCTGGATCTGAAGGATTCCTTCTGTGGCCTGAAGGCCTAGCGATTTGGCTCTGAACAAGAGGAAAGAAAAGAAAAAAGAAAAGAAAAATGCAATCCTTCAGCAATCATGTCGGCTTTGTTGGGTATAATTAAAAATATTCAAACAAAGCTGTATTTTCATCCAGGGCCTACAGATGCGCATGGTACACTTACGAACCAGCGACCACTACATGGCTGGGAACAACATGGCTTTTCCTCTTTCCAAAGTGTTCTGGAACAATAATATGACATTGTATATAGATCTGTGTTTATTGTTTGATTTTTCTCTTCTCTTCAACCTGTCTCTCATGTTCGGTTCCCAAACTCATCCGCTTTTGAAAAAAAAAAAGCAAATCTGAATTGGCCACATTGATAGCCGGTAAAACTCAGCCAATGAAATTCTCACCTCTTGATTGATGAGTTCCCAGGTGCATTTTATTTCGACAGGAAAATGCCAAATTCAACAGCTTAATCCTTAGTTTAAAATGCGTTTTTCGCTAACTACTTCTCTCCTCAGGATAGTTTGTTGTTGGCATAAACATGAACTAGCATTCGCCAAGCGATCAAAAATACTGTGCGATGAAGACAATTCAATTATCGCAGACAAAGAGAGAAATTGATACGAGAGCCAAAAAGCAAATTGGCAAACACATCAAAGGTCGCATAATTGCGCGTTCGAATCCAGCCCAGCCCCCATTCGGATTTTTTTGACTGTTTTGGCGCCGACGTTGTTGGGATACTATTTGGGATTTTGCAAGTCGCGAATTTCCAACAACGAAAGTTGAAAAATTCATGCAGCTTTGAGGTTGCACTTGATTCTTGAAGCTCAAACGTTCCCAATTTTTCATAGAAAGCGCAACTGTCAATTGAAAAGTCTAGATATATTTTCTAGACGACCTGGTATCGTTTCGGCATCATGGGCTTTTTATTGGGCAGATGGATTCGAGGAAACATTGACATAATGGTGTCATTTCCGCGGTTGAATTCGAATGCCTGCCACCTCATCAGTCATGGTATTCACAGTAGATCTACAGCATCCGTTGTATGCTCACCAGTACAGCAACTCCAAGTACTGACGAGACCTGATGATGCGACGGGCTTTAATGAACGGATCCCAGAGTGAGTCAGACTACATATGATCCTCACGAATCATGATTACGATCATCAAACCAACAAACTCCTCATGAATCCATGACCATGTGCGCAAGGGTGAGGGGAATCTACGGGACGTGGGAATACCAAAATACGGCCACGAGCCAATAACTATCCCAGGCCTGGGTTGGGAATGGACAACAAGGGAGCGCATTCAGCCCTTTTTGGCCTTCTCCCATACAGCTGGAGCTCAAATTCGCCCTTGTCACTTCCCCATCCCATAGTAAAGCAGTTGCTCTCCAGTGTATACTTGTCTACAACATCTATTTCAAATCATTTATCCTCGTGGCATCCGTGATAACATTTCTTTCTGACGAAACACTGGACCGGAAAAATAGATACTGATATCATCCGATCATTCACGGCGTTGCTGGGAGTTGATCTATTTTTGCCAATTCGCGGAGTGAGTGGCAAAATCGTAACTCAGCTGTTCAGCTCTCTGGGTTCTGGGTTGGACGATGCGATACAAGTCAATTACCCTCTTATTATTGAAAACCCAAGGAGGGGGAACAATGTGCAATTGGCTCGGAGCGAATGTTATCAAAAAATATTCAAAAGGCACGACTACCCTTTCTTTTAGGGATTGGTAATTACATCCGGCCCAGGAGCCACTTTTTTTTGATAAGTTTAGTGCATGCACAGCTTTTATCTTCTAAATTTCCTGAAACATAGGATTGACCTTGGATCTTAAGGTACGGTGATTTTTGCTGATGAATGTTATTGAGAGGGGAGTGTGTGGCGGAAGAATGAAATTATTTGAAACTATCGGTGTAGTGGTTTCGAATCATCATCACTAGGGTATATATGAACTTGAAAAGAAAAGCAAAAGATTGTCTACCAAAGTTCACATTTGCTCTGCAAGGGACTTCTACAAAGGCAAAATGGCGAGGCTGACAATTGCAAGCCACACCAGAAAGAAAAAAAAAAAAGGAAAAAGATATGAATAATCAAGGCGTACACAGACAGGGAGGCAATGCAAAGACTCTCAGCCTCACACTTCACTTCTAACAGGGTTGGGTGATGGGAGGCGGGGAAATTTCGGTAGGCCAGGATTGAATGGCACAGCAAGGCTTCTCAAAGTCTCGCCTTGCGATCCGCCTCCTCCTGCAGCTTCTTTACTCTATCCCACGTCACCAAGGCAAAAGGTTTCATTTGCTTTGCATATTCACTTGCCCGGGCGCTACTCGCCTGTCTAAGCGCATACCTGGCTGCGATGCCTTGCATGATCACCGAGCCCCTGAACCCATGGAAAGCATCACCCCACGCCATCTCTGCTCGAGGATCCCAGCCCGCAACCTCGCTGTACCATCCCGTCACAACATCGCGTGTCGGGAGGCCGGGGACAGAGTCAGGAGAGAGAGGCATATTATCCGGTGAGCCGCCGATATGGACGTATGGGCTCGTGAGGTTCGCGAGGTCGGAGAGGGGATGGCCGATCGTGGCCATCTCCCAGTCCAGGACGCCGATGACGCGGTTCTCAGTCTTGTGGAAGACCATGTTGTCGATCTTGTAGTCGCCGTGGACAAAAGTGGCGCGGTCGCTGGGCTGGGTGGCTTTGTTGGAAAAAAAGCGGACCATGTCGCTGAAATGCGGAATGTTGCCGACGGGAATCCCAGTGTCGACGTCGACAGCCTTGGCTTGGGTTTGAGAGATAACCGAGAAAGTGCTTATTTGACGGTCGTAGAACCCAGCGGTTCGTCCGAAGTCTTCCATCCCGAGTGACTTCGGGTCCACGCGGTGGAATTTAGCAAGAGTGCGCGCTGCATCTTTCCATCTATATGTGGGTGGCTTTCATGTTAGCATAAGATCAAAATTAATGGTATATGTGTAGTATATATTGAGTGGCGGTCGTACAATTCGGTTCGATCCTGGGGGGTGACTCCAGGCATTGCGGGGTCGGTAAACAACCGGCCATCGAGAAATTCCATAATGTAGAAAGCTGTGCCGATAACATCGTTATCATCGCAGAGACAAACTGTCCGGGGAACGGGTACATCTGTCTGCTCGAGTGCGTGAATGATCTGGTACTCTCGCTCTACCCTGTGTGCTGTTTTCGAAAGCAGTTTTCCTGGTGGTTTCTTCCGTAGAACATGTTTTTGACCATCGGCCGCTGTCAGCAGGTATGTTGGGTTCGATTGTCCAAATCCAAACTAGAAGATACCAAAAGGAGTATGAGTAACTGTCTGTAAAAGAATCGCAAGAGCGTATAGAGGGGTTATCGTACCTGTTTCAAGTCTAATGGCGTTTTTATAGCCGGGACATGTTGCTTGAGATACCGCTCCAGGGAGGGCAGATCGATAGGTTGCCGCACAGCACCGGCCATCGTTGGTCGAGCAGTGAGTAACGCCGCCGTCGGGGACTCCTTCACTCATCAATCAACTCATACAGGTTCATCTAGTTCCAGAGAGGTGTCAGCCTATATAAGAATGGAGACAACACGACCGGCGCTCCATCCCGAAGACAGTTGGCCGGCAATAAAAAAAGGCCGGGATCCAGAGCTTTATGGTCGTCGCATCTGGGCAGTGAGCCGAGGCTCAAGGATCCGGAAGACCATGCTGAGTTGCCTTGTTGGGTTTGGTTCATTTGCAGACTTGGCACGGTCCTCCTTTGAATCTCACAGTCTCACAATCGTTCCCCATCCCAGGACCAGATCACAAAGCAATCTGTGGGGATGATACTCAATAGAGTATTTACATATGTTAGTCAAGAAGATTGTCTGGGCGCAGTTCGTCGCACGCCAGGAGACCACGCTGGAAACACCAGATACATGTCTTGTTTGCAGTATTTCCCGAATACGGGTGGGCAGCAGAGTCTCATATCCAAGCAATTGTAAACCAGAGTAATTAGTATATCCATCAATAGAACACATGGCAGATAAACCACTCAGGTGGAAAAAGAGTGAGGGTGTTGGCAATTTCGACGCTGATATAGCTGGCTCCCGCTGGATAGTTACAATCAACCAACCTGCCACCGTCATCATTTTTAAGAACTATCATCAATAAGATTAAATATAGGTTATTCATGTAATATACTAATACTCACATAATTGTCTGAGAAGGGGATAGATTTTAAGAAGTATATGTTTATAATGTCATACTTCAAAGGCTGGCAAGCTCATGCATCCCCCAGAGGATTTAACCATATAGAGTATGGACTTCTAACAGTTGCAGCTGTTGTTGTGTGTCGATTAGAGAGGTATACGACTAGCCAACACCTGTATTACATTGCCGATGTTGTGAGAAACAGCTCTCTAGTAGGTCCTCGATCATGATAAAAATACAAGCTTGCTTGATCCATCATTGATTGACCATATTGCGTATTGTGAAGTGCACGCTTGGCAATAAGAGAGCCTAAAACTTCGTTACCTCCAAAACAAGCTAGAGACGCGCGCGTATTTCGTAATATGAGCAGAATTACAGATCTGTAACATCGACATTATTCGATAAGCACTTCTACTCCTTTGCTCTCCCCCACACTCTCCGTTCCATTCCAAAATCAAACATCAATTGGTGCAAACCAACTTAACCCCAAAGCCTCAGCTGTCTGGATAGCAATATCATGACCAAAGAGGCGACCCCGCCTCCCCCAGCAACCACCCACCAGCCGCCTTCTCTGCCCAATTCCCCTCTAGCCAAACGACCAAAGACGACAACCATGGCCCCCGTGACTGAGCCAGTTGCTGCACCTGCTCAATCAGAATCCACTCCCACTCCTAGCACCACCCCCGCCGTCACCTCCCTTTCCCAATCCACCGCGCTCCTGATCAAGAAGCTAGTTCCCACAGCTCGTGCCCCCACTCGGGGTTCAGCCTTTGCAGCGGGATATGATCTTTACTGCGCGAAAGCGATTGTGATCCCGGCTAAGGGCAAGGCCCTCGTTGATACCGGGCTGGCAATTGCAGTCCCGGACGGAACTTGTATGTTGCCCCCCTCCCCCCCTTCTCTCTCTCTCTAGTCCTGCATTGCATGTATACAGTGGAAAATACCAAAAGCGATAATGGGATTTTTTTTTCTTCCCTTGCTAACGTTTCTACTGCTTGAATATAGACGGTCGGATAGCACCTCGCAGCGGCCTCGCATCGAAACATTTCATCGATACGGGCGCCGGCGTCATTGATGCGGATTACAGGGGAGAAGTTAAAGTTCTACTGTTCAATTTTTCGGACGTGGATTTCACAGGTATGTTTCTTCCCCCCCCTTTTTTTTTCTTTTTCATAGCTGTTATTTTGCGTGATATGATCTGATTTGAGCAAAAACAAAAATCAGTTAACGAGGGCGATCGGATTGCGCAATTGGTCCTTGAACGGGTGAGTTATTCTCAAATTTTCCCAAAAGTAGAGTGGAGCCGTGGCTGATGCTAATCCTTCAATTTTCAGATTTATACGCCTGAAGTAGTCGAGGTCGAGCAGCTGGAAGAGAGTGTCCGTGGTGCTGGTGGCTTTGGAAGCACGGGATAGCTATAGGTAACATACATTGTGCATTGGTTTCTTTTTGGGGTGAAGATCCAAAGGCGTTTTCCATCTAAAGATGATATTTATGTGACAAATGACTGATGAGGTTCTATTTCCCCCTCGTTGGTGCGCATGTAGACCTGGAAATATAGAAGAATAAATGGGAAAATCAGAAGCGGATGTTACGTACCTGGATGTGATTGCATCCGGGCTAAGCTCCTCTTTTAATATGATATGTTAGTTTCTACATTTTGGGACCTGCTCGTTTTTTTTCGGGACAAATGATGGAATGAACGAATGTTGGAATCTTAATGATCATGAACTCGGGTCTAATATTTCCCATCTAGGAGGCAGAAAAGTGCTTGAGTTATTCTTTGATGAGAAAAAGCTGCCTGTGCTAGTTGCAAGTGAAATACTGATGGAAAACTCCTCAAGAGGAGTATTATTTTCTTTCCTTCATATCCGTCTAAATAAAACGGATATATTCCATGTAGCTGACATCCCAAAGGGTGCATATAGTGAAGGTCGCCGCAACGGGAATTCAGTTTCGTACGAAAACAATTGTTTGAGATACTTGGATTATGAGGACTTTATGAACCACGTATATCCATGCAATTTATCACTGTATTACATACCATCACCGACTCCAGTGCCTGTCTACCCCACCAAAATGAAAGAAGCAAAGCCGAAGCAAAACCGAAGCAAAACCGAAACAACGAAATAAAACGAAATAAAACAGAACCTCTTAAGATATTTATGAATACACATCCGTATCCAGTCACTCCTCCGCCAGCCATAACCCCTACCGGCCTACTATGGTCACACTTTGAACTCCTCCGCCACAAATTCCACCCCCTGGGGGTTTTTCAGCAATTCTACGTTCCTCACAAGCCGTATCTCCGCCGCCTTCGTCTTCCTTAGATGCGCCCTCTTCTCTCGGGCTTCACGCCGCGCCGCCTCCGACAGCCCCGCAAACTCAATCGCATCCTGCAAACAAGACACCTCGTCATCATCTGGCGGATACTGTGCCAACTCGTCCATTCTCGCGTCCATGGTATTTTCCAGGATGCAGTGCATGCTGGCGAGGGCTTTGACAGTGGATTGGGCGAGGGGTAGCTCGTTGGCAGGAACGAAATCGGGAGATTGCCAGGACGGGGCATTGCGGAGGAGCGAGTAGAAGGAGCATGTGGTAGAAGATCTAGGTCGGAGCCCGGCTGATGGCACTTCGAGAAAACTCTTTTGGGATGTGGTGGTGGTGGTGGCGGGGCCAAAGGGGTATGCGCTTCGGCAAGCTATCGCATCAGCCTCCGCGTCCGCGTCAGCCGCAAATACGGCTTCACGTAATCGTGCAACAGTAAGTGCAGCAAACATGTCACCCGTGCCGCTGAAGAAGCAGTCCAGACGGGGGACTTCCACTTTGAAGAGGCGCGGGCTTCCGTCAGAGCGTGCGGTAGAGCCGATTATGGTCAGTGTGTCAGTGCTTTCTGTTGCTGTGGAGCTGGATACTGCTGAGGTGGTTGAGGATGTGATTGACGGGAGCTGCACGGAGGTTATGATAATGTGTGGGACGTTGTAGGTACGATGGAGGGAGGTGATGGCGTCCACGAGGTTAGAGGGAGATGTTATTTTTATACCAGACAGGAGTCTGGGGTAGGTTAGAATTGACTGGGAAATAAAGGCAGAAACGAAATTATAAGGGACAACAAATGGATGTTTCGAAAATTGGATTTTCCCCAACTTACTCTGCCTCGAATTGGTTTGGCAATATTAAATCGGCATGAGGTATTATTTTCTTATACGCGGGCACCACATCCTCATTCACGTAGAGCTGTCCTTGGTCGCCCATTACCGGATCAAGAACTGGTAAAAGTCGTTCGCTTCAGCATTTCCCCTTCAAAAAAGCAGCAGATGCAACAGAAGAAGGCACGAAATGAATAACTCGATGAAACGCACCCCAAAAGAACGACCCGGGCTTTGTGCGGGACCTGCGCCGTAAATCAAGGCCGATTTCGCCAACTGCCTCCACAGCTGCGGCGCTGGGCGCATACCCGGACAGTAGGACATCGAAATCGGTCAGGAAGCTCTGTTTCAGCCCTGCGTACAGAGCAGCAATCTCCTGTGCCGTGGATTTCGTGCCTTTGAACTGTCCGTAACCGGTGTGATTGCCTGTACGTAAAGACCGTCAGTACGAGGTGATGGAGCGATATCCATGTCGGCACAGCAGGTTCCCCGAAGTAGGGGGCCATGTATAGAGGAACACTCACTAAATTGGACCGTATTTATCGCCGTGACATCGCATCCCAACGACTGCATGACGAATGTCGCCATCGTATTGCCGACAAATCTGCATGGGCAGAAATTGGAATTAGATCAAAATACATAATGCTTTGTCAAAGCATAGCAAAGCTCCACACGCAAGGTCTTTTTTTCTGCTCGAACAACCCTTTTGGCTACAGTTGACTGGTAATGATTTCATCGCCATCAATGAAATAAAAACTAGCAATGTCTTCGGATTCCGGAGGCATAGGACAGGGACAATTACGAATGGAGTAAATATAGAAAAGCTCATTGCTCATTGTAGTTTTCACAGAGGGAAGTGCATAGATGGAGCACAATGAAGGTCAAAAGTAAACATACCCATGCGCCACCTTCATGCACGTTACAGTCAGCCATTATCATCAAGGCAGAAAACTTGAATCATTGGGAGGGATGGCATACATGGCTTGCTATGGCCAACACCCGCGTTTCGGGTACCAGCAAATCGTCTGACATCTGGGAAATACCGTTTTATGAGGGTCTAGCAAAGCGGTCTGAAGAAAGAGAAAATGTGATGGAAGAGGCAAGGGTGGATTGGTTTAAGGGAATAAAACACATATTCCTTTGGATTTTGGGAGTTGGCAGGTTTTGGGTGTAACCATGGATAACAAGTGGTCAATACCTTTAACTACAGCTATGGAACTTTACAGACCGTGTCACGTTTTGCTGCAGTTGAGCATCGTATATCTCAATAAATGCACACACAATATATTCCGTACCAGTGGTTTTCTATTTGATCTCCTGGTGACTTCCTGGCAAAATTTTGACACCTAACTGCACAGCCAACCCTTAGGCATCAAGCCCCTAAATCAGCCCCCAATCCTTGGGGTTGACTGGCCCTCGCAGACAAGGATATGCCGATCCAGTGGCACCCTTCCATATGCTTAGTCAGCTCTGATTCTATTTTTTCCAAGACTTAACCCCGCTAACCAAACAGATACACTTTACCTCCCTTTTGGGGTTTCCTAGACCCCTCTCATGAAATATATTCCACATTCCGTAGGGGTTCCACGAAGCTATAATGGACCACATAACCCCTATCACAGTCCTTATATCAGGCAACGGTTCGAATTTCCAAGCTGTCATTGATGCAATTCACGCCGGAGAGCTCCCTGCAAAAATTGTCCGTGTAATATCTAACCGAAGGGATGCCTACGGACTCGAAAGAGCCAAAAATGCCAGTATCCCCTCCCACTATCACAATCTCATAAAGTACAAAAAGCAGCATCCGGCAACGGAGACGGGGGTTCAGCAAGCTCGTGAGGAATATGATAAAGAACTGGCAAGATTGATTTTGGAAGATTCTCCTGAGCTTGTGGTGTGTCTAGGGTTTATGCATGTTCTCTCCTCCTCATTCTTGGACCCAATCAAGGATGCAAAGGTCAAGGTCATCAATTTGCATCCTGCCTTGCCTGGCGAGTTTACTGGTGCGGTACGTGTGAAACCCATCTCTACATGAATAAAGTGTACTGCCTATGTGCTTCGGCCATTTGAAAATTATATGCTAATACTGAAATATGATTTATAGAATGCCATAGAACGTGCCCATGCCGCTTGGCTGGAAGGAAAGATTGATCGTACTGGAGTTATGATCCACAATGTCATAGCGGAGGTGGACCTGGGACTCCCCATCCTTGTCAAGGAGATCCCCTTTATCAAAGGAGTCGATGAGGATATAAGTGTTCTCAAGCAGAGGATCCATGAAGTGGAGTGGAAAGCCGTTGTCGAAGGAGTGGGAATCGCTATTCGACAATTACAACTACATCTGGACCAGGATTGTGTCCTTCCAGAAAACGGAGTTAGCAACGGTTCGCAAGGATGAATTCGAAATAAAATACTCGATAGAAGGTTGAATTTATAACTCTCCCGCTCTGTCCCTGGCCCGCGCCTGGTGCAGGCTATGAAAAGGGGATTTAGGTTGAGGGGAATTTCGACGACGTGCACGCAAGGCGAAATTATGTACTGTACAACATTATTGAATACCCCGGTGATGATCTATATTCTGAACGACATTTCGATTACGCCATCTATGCGATTGACAGAACGCTCACGGAATTGACCGAAGACGGATTGTTTGTTTGACTTTGGCCCTGAGAGGATGCCTCGTCGTGCTGGGAACCAGGTTAGCATTGGGACAACGTTTGGAATTTATACCCTGATAGAAATTGCACCTCTTTATGTCTAAGCGGGCTGTATCATTTATCAACGGAGTAACGGAAGAGATGGAGAGAAATGCCAAAAATCTGTGTGCGAGCAGCATCGCCAGGCTGATAATAAGCTATTTTCCCAGCGTCGCGGTTTATATCTGGTCAGTGGGTGAATATCAATACCCTAATAGAATGCGATCTCATTCTTGGGACTACTCTAGGGCTATGTCTTCTTTCTTGTGTAGCGCAGGAAGGTGGTGAAGGGTCCATTCTTGGCCAGGCCAACTAACGAAGGGATTGCACCTGGAGGGTAACCTAATTTTTCCATGATCCAAATTATTATCGTTTTTGGCACTCGTGGACGCAAATGCATCCGCGGAGGGAATATGCCAGCACATAATGGTTCGGGAAACTAAAATAAAGTCTTAATTTGTATATTTAGACTCCGTAGGGTACCCCGCTCTTCATAATTGCGAATCCAGAGTGGACCTGTGGCAGGTTGGCTGGCAGCATGGCCGTGAACTTCTCTACACTGTAGATACACAACCATGGATCTGTAGGTAGTATCCAAGGGCCTGCCTGGGTTATCGTTTTGGTGGGAAGAGGAGGCAGCAATACTCATGAAGGTTTCGGAGATTGTCCCACAGCCAGTCTCCGATGGCCTTCTCCATATCAAACACACCTACCAGCAAACCTCCCTTATCCTGACCTGCCTCGTTGAGTATCTGACATTGACTCTTGGTTTCCCTGAACAGCCTTTCCTTGCCCATGTCTGTGCTTGGATGAAGGACGTGATGATATGCTGAGGTTTGCAGGGCGGATTATTATCCAACGCCTGTTGGGTCTTTTGATGTAGGCATGATTACTGAGGTTGGTTAGAAGCAATGGGTCCCTGGTAATTAGCCATCAGCAGCATGGATACCTGGAAAATCGAGCGTGGCGAGGTTGGCAAGAGGGAGTTTCGCTGAGCACTGTGAGCAATTGACCTTGAGAGGGTTGAATTCATAACGAATCATGTCGATGTTGAACCCTGGAATGGTTGCACTGTCGAAAAGCCAGCGACGGTCTAATCCTTGCAACCATCCTGTGATCAAGACCGAAGCCTATCGAACCCTCGACCGGTTCTCGAGCCTCAAGAGAATAATCGTGTGCGGATACAGCAGGAAAACCTTGTGCAAAATCCTTCTGATAAGTTATTCCAAACCCTGCTTGGATCATTTCTTCGCTTACCCTGGGCGAAGAGGATTCCTATTGGACCCATGGCTTCATACGGACACTATTGGCCTAAGTGCGCCAAAGATCATTTCGCGTAACAAGCCACAATCACGCCTTGCGCGTAACCAGTTGGTCAAGGTCAAGGTGCATTGATGCCAAAAAGGGGAGGTATCAATGCCCACCGGAGTATTATGGAATGAAGTTCATGCGATGCCACATGGTGTATGTGTATGTGTATGCACCCATATTGGATAAATATTAATAATAACAGTAATAGGAACGGTAACTTTGGCAAAATCTCCACAAGGATGATTGAGACCTGTTGGGATTTGGCATTTCATACTCGAGAAGCCCAAAAATACCCGAGTCAATCTATTTGGAGAGTTGGATCGGATTCGTTGGCGGAGAAAAATACTTCGGCAAGGGCCTTCTCTCCCCATGACTACGAGGCCTATTTGATTGTGACCCAGCGACTAACAGCGCTAGAAGCACCCAAGGATTGTGTTAATTATAGATCTCGGAGCCCAGGCTATTGATGTTGGCCAATGTTTCCCTGCTGTCAGAGAGACATCGTGCATACGCTGTCATACAAAAACACCAACATGAAGGATTGTGAATTATCAGCGCATCTAAGTTCGATCATAATACTTTCGATAGGAGGTCAAATATCCTGAATCCAACCAAAACCCCTACTTTTAGTAGACTTTTGGTCTGTGTTGCGCCACAGAGTAATCTGTCATTCACACCGCGATATGTCTTCTGTCGGGATCCCTGTTTGTCCAGACCCCAAGCGATAAGAGGATTCCGAAATTTCGGCAGCGGAGAACAAACCCCCTCCCAGTGATACGGATTGTTGGTTCGATGTGGACATTGCTAATAACAGGGCTCTCTCAATATCCGTAATATTTGTGAGGTGAATGGCCGGGAAGTTTTAAATGTCAAAAGACATGGCGATGATTGTTGATAAATAAACACTTCAACCCGCGCCCTGTTTCTTCTTCGCTCGACGGTTTGAGGCTGAGTTGCACCGTCGACTTGCCATCATCTCCAACCCTGGATAAATAAAATAATACAGAGATTACAGACCCATAAGAAAAATATTCTCTCTTTTCTCTGGAATTGTTTCTCCGCCATCCTTTACCTTGAACATCAGCCTTGAGCACCACTGTGTTCCAGACCATCGCAGACCCCCGCCGTTTAATTGCTCTTGCTGGGCGTTGACGTTTAACCGCCGCCAGACAAAAAACCGCTCCGCCGCTTCTTTATCAATCGACAGAGGCCTCTCTTTGTTTCGTTTCTCACCCTGCTGGCTGTCCGCAATAATAAATTGCCGCCCGTTTGCGGTCGTTTTCCTTCTTCGATTTATGCCAGGCCGACAAGTCAAGACCCCCGACCGCCTCACGTTCATTCCCTCTTTCTGGTCCTTGTCTGAGGGCCGCCCAGAGCAGGAGACAGCGCGGATGTCTGTGTGTGTTTCCCTTCCGCGGACTGATACAATCAATCTCTCTCGCGTTGATTTGAAGCTCTGTTCTGCCTCTAAGATTTCGACCACGACTACATTCATTTAGCATTCCACCCGTTATTTGTTCCACGAGTGCCTCTCTGAGATGTGTGGTTGACATCTCAGTCCAAGCTTGAGAGCATTCCCCCACAATCGTTACATTCCGGCTCTGATATTTACGCTTTCTCTAACATTAATTATGTCTTTGTCGCGGCGACGGCGGAGACCTGGGGCTAGTTGGCGGTGTCCAAAGCCAGAACCAGTGCTTGCTTCTTCGTTTTCTTTCTCAATGTCACTCACGACCTGTATCCTGCTTGCCGTCCTGTGGTTGCCCTTCGCATCTGCCATGGCTCCAGGCGCTCCAGGCGCTCCAGGCGCTATCGCTATGCCTAGTGCTATTAGTAGAATCCATTATTTGTTGATCGCGAATAATAACCTTGGACGTGATCTGAGGAAGATCGTCGTCGATCCACATTCCCCATCCCTGCTTCCACGGGCGGGCGGGGAGGCTCCTGTGCAACACCAACGAGACTCCGCTGCAAACACTGAGGGGGATGAAGGGGACGACAAAGATAATGAATCACCTTCAACTTCCCCCTCTAAACATCCGATAAATACAAAAACTGCATCAGTTTCACCGGAAGCGACCACGACTACTTCAACTTCCTCTCCCTCGCAGACAGAAACCACAAAGCCAACAAAAACAGGGTCAAATACCGAGAAGACTCAATCCCCTACTCTAACGTCCTCAGACGATACTCCCTTCCCAAGCCCCTTCGACAGTAACCTGGGATCTAATTTCACAGGCCCAGCTTGCGAAGGCTTCTTCCACAGCTTCCTCGGCAACTCCACCTTCCAAAACTGTCTCCCTCTCTCCCTTCTGATCGAATCATCGCTCTCTTTCTTCCACACCTCGCGTTCCGTTGTCCGCCTCGCCCGTCTCCTCGATGCTGCTTGCTCCGTGCCACGCGACTCCTGCAGCGCACTCATGAGCGAGCTAGACAGAAAACTCGTCTCTGAGGACATCTGTGGCAAGGACCTCAAGTTGGAGCAACCCGTCGTCATCCAGGCACACAACGGCCTCCGCTCATACGGGACAGTTCATGATGCCACATGTCTCAAAAACCCGGACACAGATAATTACTGCTTCTCCGACGCCATCACCAATACCAGTAACCCGTCCAATTCGTATGTCTACTTCTTGCCCCTTAATATGGCATTGCCAGGGTCTAGCCGGCCAACTTGCAATAAATGTCTGCAGGCGACAATGCAGACCTTCTCTCTTGCTGCGACGAACGATAACCAGCCCATCTCTAAAACCTATCTTGCGGCCGCCCAGCAGATCAACATTGGTTGCGGGCCGTCCTTTGTGGTCGCAGCTGTGAAGCTTGGCTCGTCAAATGTTGCTCGTAGGACCGTGCAACTGGTAACAGGGCCTTCGATGTTTGGCTTTGATTTGGTAGGGGTGATGGCTTATGTGTTGCTGTTTTGCGTTGGGATACCGATTTTTGGTAATATTCTATGATAACGTGACTTTTGCTTTTCCACCCTTCTTCTTCCTCCCTCCTCCTCCTCCACTTCTGCTTCCCATAAATGTACATTGTTCGTTTCGACCTTTGTGAACTTTTTGATTCTAATATTCCACATATTCTTTGTTCCCAACTACTTTCTTGGGAACATGTTTGCATTGAGCTTGGGAGCTTTTGAAGGAAAACTTACTATTTTTTATTCCATATATACATATCTACATTCATCTAAATTTACTTTATTCTGGGGGAGGGAGAGACCCTTTCATTTTAGCGCTATCCATCCATGGCTCCTCTGACGCATATATCCTAAAATCCAAAATATTTGCCCTCGTCAACCGACCTGAAGTGACTCCGATCGAGCGGGCCACCTCGTCAGCGTTACGTTTCCTCAATGGAGCTTCTCGTACTCATGAGAATAAACGAAAGGGGAGATAGCCACAGTCCCTCGGCACCAATTTTAATGGACAAGTTACAAGAGATTTCGGTACTTACTTCAACCCCTGTTCTCTGTACTGTGAATTAGAAAGAATTTAGTGGATATTTAAAAAAAAAATGCTGCTCCATATTCATATCTCTCTATATACACATCTAGGTAAATACCGGCATCAGAACATTTCCCAATGCCAGCAATAGGAAAACAAATGTCAGTCCTCCTATTCGGGTAAATCGTAAACAGATTAATAGTGATTTGCTCCTGCCAAAAAAAAAAAAAAAAAAAAAAGGAGAGAGAGAGAGAAAAGAAAAGAAAAGAAACATAAAGGGAAAAAATATATAAGCTAAATAAATAAAATATCTAGGCAGGCATAATCAGGGTATTCGGTTTATGTTGATACTGGGAAGTAGAGCGTAAAAAATTGAGGAAAAGAAATAACTCGAATACCACAGCGAGACGCGACCTGGTGACAGTTCCCTCTTCGTAATATACTCCAAAACATTGCGTTTATTCATCCACGCTTCCAACCGCAAGGATGGATCAAGACAAAAATACAAATCCCAGTTTTCAATTGGAGCGGGAAGGGACATCCATAAACAGGGGAAATTGGTTAATATAGAAATGATGAAAATGTGCGAGAATAATTTGCATTCTTGAGGTTTAAGCATGGTCAAGGTGGAGGAGGGGTATGCCAAATGTATATAGATATATATAAATATATATATATATGTGTGTGTGCGTGTGTGTGGTATATGGAAAGATGGTGCTGGCAGCTGGCAGGCTTATGCTGATGACAAAAAGGTGAGATGCATTTACCATCACAAAATGGAAGGGAAAAATATTGGACGCCAGCGGGAGATGGCTATGGAAGTATGAATAATGGAGTATGGGTGATGTATTATAGAACGCTAAAAGAAACGGAATTCATGGAATAAGAGTGAATGTTCAGATGCACCTTTATAAGAGTAACAAACGTTGAATATGTGGGCATCTCGGTCGAACAAGGAGGGAATATATGTCTAGCTTCTCCTGGCCCATCCTTGCCCAGACGATTCGTTTTGAGAATCTCCATCGGGGCTGGCTTTAGAGTCTATCTCCTTTTTTAATCTAAAATATGTAAGTTTGGTGAACCGGCTCAGCTGTGCCCAGAAATGACGGCCAGCTTCGTGCGCAGCAATTCTGTCCAAAAGATCGAGAACAGTTTCTCGTATCATTGGGTCGGGGTGGAAAAGCCCCATAGAAAGGTAAAACAGGCCTGCCTGACTTTCCGGGGTGACTGTTAGAAGTTGGCATATGGAATTATAGTCTTGGCAAACGTGAGAGAGGGCAAGATAGATCTGTGCTGAATCTGCGCGGCTCAGTTTAAGCGACCGCAACCTATCATGATGATGGTGGATATCGATAGATTGGACGGGACGCCCCGCAAGATAGAGTGCCGCAGTGTCTTGGATGAAATAGTAATACGAACGAGTATTCCTCCAGCCTTCGATTCGAGATACCCAAGCAGTTAATTCACGCTGTTTGGTTAGCTCGTCGGGCCAAACGTAACCATGCCCACGAAGATAAGCTAGGTCGGAACTCCCAGTCTGGCCTTCTGGTTGATCGTCAACGGAATCATCGCTAGGCGCAATGATATGAAGTGCAGTTGCCCCGTAGACTGTTTGCTCGAAAGTCGCAGAAATTCTGGTAAACTTCGTGATGTAAGCCCGCCACTTTGCACGGATGGCTCCCTCTCCGTGTCGCGATGCAACGCTCCGTATGATATCGTCCATAAAAGTGGAGTCGCCAGTTAGATCACCCGACGAAGATCCAGAATTGAGTGCTGATGATTGTGCGGGTAAATTTAGCTGTTGGAAATATAGAGACCCCTCTGTAACGGGAGCTGGTTCGATACAACTGCTGATTTTCATTCGACCGCTCGGAAGATCGCACAGAAGATCCCACCATTCATGGTGGTTAGCAAAAGCCGGGTTGGTGACACCGGCCACAAATCCCGGGACCTTCAGAAGTTCATCAATTTTAGTCAGATCAGTATATGGGAATGCATGTCGCGTAAAACCTCGTAGAATGCCCCCGGATGCCAAGGAACAAGCAGCGAGAACAGCCTCAGCAACTTCCCCGGACGGGCGGTTATGACCCAAGAATATAACACGTTTCTGAGTTAGCAAGGCATTGACCAAGACAATAATAGGATGCGTATATGCCCCGCTGCTAGTAAGGTGAGGGTGCAGCGCAAAAGGCTGTGGTGAACTAGCGTGAGGACCAGAAAAGATTTGTATGAGTTTGATAAGAGAGAAGTTGCCGACAGTTTCCGGAGAAATGGCTGAAGGGACTTTGACTGGTATTGCAATATCGTTATAAATAATTTTCGATTCAAATTCATGGGTATCTCTGGGAAGGGCGTGCTTCGGAGGGGAAGAGGAATGCTTTTGGGGGGATCCCTCGGTGTCACGGAGAAACTTTTCATCTGTCGATCTTTGCTTAATCATCTGCTCAAATTTCTCGATGAACATATCTTTTGCGTCACTAGCCTGCAGGATATGCCGTTCAAGGTAGGTAAATCGGGGCAACAATGAGAGATCCATTGCATTTAGTGAGTGATACAATGCGGCTAGGGTTTCCGGAAAAGGGGATTTAAAGTAATCTTCCAACGCCAGCAGAAGTAAAGGCTATATATATAAATTAACTGCCTTGGAAAGATGAGCAGAATGTGGTGGGTTGCATTGTGTGACAAACCTTGTATATATGAAGAAAAGAATGGCGGGTACAAATTGCCATGGCTTTAACAACAGCTCCTCTGGAATGATATTAGACTCACATATAATAAAATCAAGAGAGCTACCATAACATACCGTTTTACTGATGTATCTTGTTTCGTGTTGACAAGATTTAAGACATACATTAGCGGTGGGCCTTCCGCATTGTCCTCATCATCTTCGCCTTCATCAGCCTCAGATACCTCCGAACCGTCGTCATTCAGTCCCCCATTTTCCTGGCTATTGATATTGTTTTCAGCATGTTGGCCTGCGGATGGTTCCACATATTCGTTCTCTTCCTCCGTCCCAGCATCCTTGTGAAGGAAAAATATGGTCCAATCTTGGCTGCGAACATGCGTTTGATCTGGTAACATGAGTTCCGCCAACATATGTTCATCGCCGCTAATCGCACTGGGATATTGGTGTTCCATAATGGGGCCGCGGTCGACATGGAACGAGGCGACAAGAATATACTCGACATGCAGCTCTGGAGAGTCTAGAGGGTATTGGGACTTTAGCCGTTTATGTTTCGCCTGGAAGCTGGTGTACGATTGGGCAGATAGCGGGCGCGAGGATGATAATGAACTATTTGGGGATCGTCGACGCAGGGAAGTCTGGGAAGGAAGTTTTTGCGGCCCATTGTAGGCAGGTTGGCTTGAGGAGGTAGCAGACGTCGGGATAGACGTAAACGACGTCCGTCTCTCACAAGACGAGCCATTCGTACCGGGACGATGGGAGATAGCACTCATGATTGACAGATATAGAATAGAATATTGAGCCGTCCAGCGGGGATGACAGTCGCATATTTATCCACGTCTGGCGATGTATGCGGGTTTTAAAATGGCCTCACAGCCTCACATGCACGTTAGCGGATATTTATTTAGCATAAATATTGGGGTTGGTCGAGAAAAAGGTTCAGGGGCAGCTGGGCAAAAGTCAAAAATACACACCACTGTTTCTCTTCCTCACAGGAAGTGCATTCACGCCATTCGTCTGCAGAGAACGCTACAATTGATAAAAACAAGAACGGGCACGACCGTAATCCATGATCCAGCAGGTTTCAGGAGTCAGCCGCTGTCTAAATCTTCCCCGGCTTCTGCCAACATCTTAACTTCATCTCGTTGTCTCGAACAATGCACGTGCCACCAAGCCATACCGGTTAAGTAAGCGTGCTCCGGATTATACTATATCCGAGTGTGGGGAAATATCGGACAATCCATAATCCGATTGTTTACTTCTTTCCCGTTTCAGACAGGTTAAGTGGCACCGATGGTCTGAGGCAGAGAAAGCAACAATAACTACAACAGATACTCGATATTACCTATTACCAAGCTACAATTACTGGTTGGGGGCATAGTAGCGGCTAGGTTTTGAACGCTGTGTCTAAATGTTCTTCATTTGGAGAACCTAGTCATCATGGTATGTACCAATTGCAGCGTTCGGTGCCTTCATCCTTCTCCGCTAAAGCATTTTCTATTTATCCTCAGGTCACACCAAATACAACCCCATACAAACCCTCCCCTCTTTCCTTTGGTTCTCCTCGCACTTCTCCCTTCCGGCGACCCTCTATTGCTGCTTCCCCTAACACGGTCATTCGTCCCAATACGCCCGGTAGCCCTAGCAGCAAAGGACCCACGCCCATCCAGTCCCCCAGCAAACTAAAGCAGTCACACGTCGCAGACGATGGATCCATTTTCTCAGATAGCCAATTTTCGCCGTTAATCCCGGGACGTAGGGAAGTCCCAGTTTCACCAACCAGAGTCTCCCATGGGCAAAACGAGAGCACGGCCTCGATGATGGGATCGAAGTTGACAGACAGACTAGCCATGAATGGTGACACCCTGAGCAGATTGCCGCAAGCTCAACTACGTGAAATGCGTGAAGCGTTTCAAGTGCTTGATCGAGATAATGACGGGCAAGTTAATCGAGAGGATGTCGCTGACATCCTACTGAATTTAGGTAATTTCCATCCCCATTATTCATTGCCCCTATATTTTAGTCACACCATTCCTGGACATATCTCACACAACGTATTTCTCCGGTTTAGGGCAAGATTCTTCCTCTGCAGCTACTTCTCAATATTTCCCCCCTGGGGCGCCACAAACCCTTAATCTACACACGTATCTAAACTCAATTGCGAACCTCCTTGGCCCCCTTTCCTCCACACAGGAGCTCCTCAATGCGTTTGCAGCTTTTGACGAAGATGATAGTGGTCAGATAGATATGGATGAGCTACGGGACGCCCTCCTTAATACGAGCCCCGAGGCAGACGTAAGTCCCTTAACGGAGAGGGAAGTCAACGAAGTAGTTAACGGTTTCACCGGAAAGAGCACATTTGGGTCCAAAGGAGCAAAATCAATGGGTTTCGGAGGAGCAGCAAAAAGGTCGGAGATATTTCGTTATCAGGAATTTGTTGGGAGCTTGACAGGCGGTACGACAGTAACGACATCCACCGTGACTAGTGCTGGACAGGGAGGAATGACGACAAAGGACAATGAATAATGGGATTTCAAGAAAATATGAGTTTTTTTGTGTCATACCTTGGGTTTGCATAGGAGTTTTAGGTCTATTTTGGGTCGAAAGGATTCATATTTCTCTAGAAGAAACAGAAATTTTTCATTTGATGGCTCTTGCGTTTTTAAGGGGGTTGACCAGCGCCTTTAGTTGAGCACTCTATCCTTCCGGAAATAGGATGCGTGGTTATGTATCTCTAAGCGCGCACTTAAGTCGCGGCGCGTGTATTCTTTCAGCACGGCGTCCAAAACAAGCGCAACCGCCGATTTTAGCGCCGATCTGGAATTCTCCACATTGCATCCATGCTCAACCAACAACATCGCCGCCAACAACATCGCCAGAATGAAATCTCAACAACTCAGCTGGCACGATAACCATCACGCTATTTCAAATCAACGCCTGCTTTCACCAAGGAGCCATGATTTGGGCGGGTTCCTCTCTATCTTGGCATCACTGATTTCCAGCTATCCTCAATTATTGTCCTCCTCGCAGCCACAGCAAGAATGAGCCAGAAAAGCTTATCTCAGTACCAGTTCCCGCCAGCTTCTGGTGTTCCTCCGCCATCACCCCAGACCGCTCGAACCCTCCGTAGATACCAATCCCATCAAAGTCTCTCTTCACATTCCCCAACATTCCCTCCTCAACCCCGCCCGACTCTCCAGCGCAACGCCGCCAGCCACCGGGAGCGTACAGAAGAACATGCGGGCTACCAAAATGTGCTGCAACCTGTATCAGCGACGACCCGTACTCGAGCTCGAACTCGATCCAATAGTGATGTCACCGCTAATAGCATCACCGCTATACAGCAACAGCCTCAACACGGACATCAATACCAACCTCATAAACGGCCTACTAGCGGAAGAAAATCCGGTTCATTAGGGCTCCAGGGGAAAAAGTCCGGTTTGGATGCATTGCTAAGGGATGGCCCTCCCGGGGGTAACATTGCAGATGGTTTGCAGGACCTGAGATATCTTGTTTTGTCTAGTAGAGTTGATTCTGACGGTGATGGAATGGTATGGTGTTTCCATGTCCTCGAAATACTCAATTGTGTAGCTTTCTAGTTAACTTAATTGCCTCAGTCCCCTCATCGCATTTACCTTTGGCTTGCCCTTCTAAACGTTGCACCGCTTCCGACGGACGAATACCTCTCGCTTGTACATCGAGGACGCTCTCCAGCATATACAAAAATCCGCAATGATACTTTCCGCACTTTAGCTACAGATCCCCTTTTCAAGCGCCGTGTCACGGAGGCGAGTTTGATTCGCTTGCTCAATGCTGTTGCTTGGAAAATCCACGACTCAAAAGAAACAACCGCGAAACTCCCTCTCTTATCCCAACAAGCATGTCGTCCGGGCGATCCTTCACCAGAGCCCTCGCCGTCTACAACAGATGGTTTCTCTTCCGCACCTTGTAATACCCCTTCTACAACCTCGCACACAGCTTCTGAGCCCGCGATCTACGTGCAGGGAATGAACGTTCTTTGTGCTCCATTTTTATACGCTTCCAGGAGCGAAGTAGAGGCGTTTGCTCTTTTTCATTATTTCATTATCCGAGAATGTCCTGGCTATGTCAGAGGTACCATGGACGGGGTACACAAGGGACTTAAGCTGGTGGATAGATGTCTGGAAGTTGTTGAGCCCAAACTGGCAAACCACCTATTTAGTAGGGGAATGTACGCTGAATTATATGCATTCCCGTCTGTTCTCACGCTATGCGCCTGCACCCCGCCTCTACCTGAGGTTCTCCACCTCTGGGATTTCCTTTTCGCATATGGACCGCATTTGAATATCCTGTGCATTGTTGCTCAGTTGATCAGGCTACGGGATACGATTTTGGCAAGTCCCAGGTATGTTTAGGTATCCGCAAACCAAAATTTCTGGATTGAAACTTGTTCTTGTTATTTCCCTCCCTTGCATTTATCTGCATGTTCCATTTGCTGACATTTGGTTATGCAGTCCAAATAAAATTCTACGGTCTCTTCCGGCACTTGATGCCAAAGAAATCATCGCCCTTACTGTCTTAATCGTACGAAAGATTCCTGACAATCTGTACGAGGAACTTGTTACTCATGCTCAATGAACTTCCTCAATGATTAGAAGTGTTTTTCTTTCAGATTGTTTCCCTCATTTTTCGTTCTTCCAATCTCTGCTAGCAGTTTTTCGATTTCGCTCAAAGGCAGTTCTGTTGATATCTTATCGAATTATCCTTGGTCCCCATTCTTCGCCATCCGTACCACCCAATGCCTCATCATTGCTTATTTGATCATTATCTCGATTTCTTTACTCCATATGTTTTCAGCATTTTGCACTGTTATTTTTCGCCTGGTTTCATATGAGTGCCGAGGAAATAGGAGCCTGGATGGCTCGATAAAGAGAAAAGTTGTTTTTTATATTTTTATTTTTTATTGGATGAAGGAAAGATGGACATATCTGTATATTAGACTCTATCGCGTTGTTGATAATGATTACGAAAATATGACGAGGAGTATGGGCTGTGTTAATTACCTGTCAATATCGGTTTCTTTCCCCGAGTTCTAATCTTTGTCTACTTTGGTTAGTTAGCTCTGGATACATATTCATGATAAGAAAGAAAATTGACAAAGTACAATATCCATTTAAACACAGGACGGAGAGGAATCACGAAACGGAATGAACCCGGGGGGGCTGAACGGGGGAGTAAAGGAGAAGAAAATATTCGACCCTCTAAAGACATTCACCCTTCTGCTAAGCCTGTCTCCCGCTCCTCCCACGCACACCTTTCACACCGACAAGCACCTCCCAACGCCCCCATGGCCCATTCCCTCCTCTCCTTTAATCCCAAGCCCACATCACAGTAATGATTCAATATTTCCTCCCCACGTTTAATTCCCGCCCAATTTCCACTCCCAGGGCTCTTGCGCCCACCCCATTTGACCCTCTCGTCCTCTTTCCTAACCGTAAAATTAATCTCTCCACCCCACTCCCAGCGCACGTTAGGGTCACACGAATGATTCGCCAAACACCAGAGCGGGTGAACAGCACAAACCTCCGGCCCTCCATCCCAGGTCGATAGGCGGCCGGACGCGGTGCCGCGGAATTTGGCGTAGAGGGTGTTTAGCACCCAGGTATCGTAGAAGGGGAGGGTTTCGAAGGGATCCAGTCCCATTTCCTCTAGGATGCGGGTTGGTTGGAGGATTGACAGATGGAAGGAGAAAGGGAGGGTTGCGGAGGGGGGATGGGGGTTGTTCTTGCTGTTATTTAATGGTGACGGTGAGGTTTGAGGAAGCATGCTGTCATCCGGAGGGTAAAAGTCGCCCCAAATATACTTCACCTCAGGCAAGTCCAGGGGATGTATTTTTTGTGTCTCAGCCATAGCAATTGCGCGGCCTAACAGCAACAGATAGAGGTAGTCAGCTTTGTCCTTGGGATCCTGAATGTCCTTCCCGATGGACTCAAGGCCCTCCTTCCCGCATTCGGCCGCATGATAGACTTCCTGGGCAAGATTGTGGCATTCCCGGCTGCAGAAGATGGTATCTTCGCAGTCTTCGCAGGCGACGGGGTAATTAGTCGCGGAGAGCTCCGGGATCGGCCCATTGCAGGCGTTGCACAGGTTGTCGTGCAGACGATTCGTGGCAGTTAAAAGGGAAGATTCATGTAGGAAAGTCTCGCCAGGGGCAATGTCTTCGGTAGCTACAAGGCCAAGTTGAATGGAAACTTCTTGTTCTTGTTCCTCCTGTTTTCTGGAAAGGTTTTCGCCAAAGCAGCTGTGGTGAAGCGCAGGCAGCGCGACAGCACGCACCTCACACTTGGGAGCTACTGTCTTCAGCCTTTCATTCAGTAGCTGCAAAGTCTCAGGCGCACAGCGATCTGGTTCGTATGTATTCCATGGGTAGAGAACCCTCTTTGCACGACCTTGTGCACTAAGATCAGAAGGCTGAAATCTCGCGAACATCTCCGCCTCAGTTTCCAGGTCTTGATTGTTGGTGGAATCTCCACATTTCTCCATTTGCTGCCCCAACCGTTGGCGATCCATAATCGAACGCTTTATGATAGCGAGTTGCTCTTCAAATATGTCCAAGCTGGATTTAAGCTCAGAGTCCGGGAGGCTCATGGCCTGAATGCAAAAACCATATGCGTCTCTCATGCAGCCGCACCGAACGAGACTTTTGACGAGCAATATGTACACATTACAGATATTTTCCGTATATTCGTCTTGAGAGATGGGTTCAAAACCTTCTTCTTCCTCTTCGTCTTCCTCCATGTGCCCGTTCTGATCTACATCATCGTCGTAACATTCGTGCTCGCCATAATCACTTCCACCAGTCCCAACATGAACATTCATGGAGGTATCCCTATCCACAAGCCCAGAGGAACTAATCAGCTCCACAGCATCCAAACCCACCTTTTTCCGAGGCCTGTACTCGCTAGAATCCAGATCAATCATGGCCTCAAACAAGGTTAGCGCACGATATGCATCTGCCGCCGCAAGATCAGGATATCCGAGCTGAGAATGTAAGATGCCGCGCTGAAGGTGGCGCATGGGGTTATGAGGATCCGCATACAGCAGAGCAGTGGCATCCTCTCGTTGCATAAGGAGGACTATACCAGGATTTTTATTGTCGTTCATGCTGTCGTGGCTGTTACACTGTATTTTGGCAGACATCTTGAACAGTTGGTTCCTCTGTTCAAAAACAAGGGAGGAGGGTCATCTCCGTGTCCAGGTATTTTCATGGAATGGAAGGAAAATAAGATCCCTTCCGTTCTTGTGAGTAGACTTTCCGTTCTTGTTTTGGTGAAAAGGTATTCAGAGCGTGCTATCCCAGCTTGCGGTTCCTCAAGCCTATCTCAATGTTTGTGTTTATATCGCATAACGACAAGTTCGTACCAGAACTTACATCTAGGCGCAGTCAAGTTAAGGAATGATTTTTTTTATATAGTATCAGGTGACCCATGAACCCTAATGCGATTGATATGTTTATATTCGTTGGCGCCCTTATTGGATAGCAACAATAACAACAATAGCATCAAGTTGATTACCAACAGTATTTTCATTTCACTCATTTACAAAAAAGAGCACAGCATTAAAATTGTAGGCTGCATAAAATGTGTTCAGGCTAAATATATAGCGTGTCTACTATCGATCTTCCCTAAATCTAGCCTTTTGCTCTCCCGTACAGCGTTACAAACTATTGTGATCCTTGGCTGTTGAACATACCCGAAAAAGAAGTGCATCAAATGCCGTTATTTCGTAATTATATGAGGATTAAAATGTAGGTATAATGGACATTGCCGTCTGTCGTGTGTAAACCGCCATAGTCAAACATGAGAAAAGACCGTGTCCCGCCGGTTAATGATATTCACGGAGGGGATGAGGCACAGGGAGGATTCACATAACCTATCAGTGAAAACGGTCAACAATATGTCAATTACAACAGCGTCAGTTTTCAGCCTTAATACTCAGTAGCCGTAAAGCTATAAGAAGACAAAAGGGAATTGTCCAACTCACGTTGCAATTCTCATCCAAGATGATGGTACCCCCTTGGCCACCCTCTGTAGTCTCTATGGTACCTCGGATAACCTGTCTTTCTCTCAGCGCTGCTGCCAGGCGCGCCAGCATACCCCTCTATATAACACGAATATAAATGAGTATTAGGAAAAACCAAAGGAGATAAAATGGGAAGGGGCAAGGCACCGACTACAAGTGCTTTATGGAACTATTATTTCGTCTTTATGCAAACCACGAGTTCCATTCAGAGAAAGGCACTATGGTCCTGTGCTCGGTCAATAATTGTATCCCACGTACCGTGATGAAAGCTTCGTTCATCCCTCCCTGCCGGTTGATGTCATTTTGACTCATTATCTGATAGCTGTCCTGCATGCGCTTTCGGCTCTTAAGCCCAAGTTCGTGACGACCAGTTTGGTTTCCTCCAACATGACTTCCAGAAACGATATTAGCGTGCGCATCAGGATCAGCAATATTAATTCCTAGACGGGCATTATGTTGAGCTCGGGTGTCTGGAGAGAATATTTTGATAGTTCGATCGATCCCAGAAACAGCGAGAGTTGGTTCGTACGGATGGCCTATAGAATACCGAATGAGATGTCTGAGATTGCAATGAAACCGTTCTCGGATGGGTAAATCTCACCTTGAACCACGTTGACAACGTCGCTATCGCCCTCCAGAATGTTGACCAAATCCGAGGTCTTCCGGTCCCAGATAAAAACATGTCCAGAATCACTGCCACTAACCACATATTCGTCGTCTAATCCGAAATAATTCACGTCTTTGACAGTTTTTATATTGCAATGTCCTCGATAAACATTTAAATGTGTGGAACAGGGAACATGGCTTTCAACTGCATTTCGCCGATTACCACCCCGTCGGACAAATAGCCGACCAGCAGGCCCGCCAAATTCATCACTCTCGTCAGAGTCGCTGGCGCGGCCGCTATTTTCTGAGTCTGAGAGGTAATCGTAAGCGACATCTGGGCCGTCGTCATCCGTCCCAGAGTCTTCTTCGTCAGAATCACGATCTGCCAGGCGTTGGTTTAGCGATCCAGCTACTGGTGACTCTGGGTCATGTGGAGGTTGGTCGCTCATAGAATTACCAGCTGGTCGCTGGCTCCTGCTCGTCCCTCGATCAGCAGAAGTCATTAGTCTAACCTCTTCGATCTGTTCCTCTTCCTCATCAGGATCAATGTCCTCCTGGATTCTTTCCCTTTGATCATCATTTTCATCGTCCTCTTCCACAGTAGCCCGAATACCACCAAAGGCACGGTTAACGAATTCAAAGTTGACACCCTCGCCCACCTCCATGAGTATTCCTCTGCCTACCTTGAGGCCCCAGAATCGAAAGGAGGTATTGCGATCCAAAGATTGCAAATCTGGTCCGCCTTCACTGCTCTCACCACCCTCTTCCCTTGCGGAAACTGCAGCGCTCCCTACAAGGTCTGTTAGAGACAGTTTAATGCATTCCGCAAATGCATTAACAGCAGCTAACTGTGAGACAAACAAGACGCGCGATGAATCATGTTCAAATCTCGACGCATCAACGTTTTTGATGGCATCATCCCCTGCTAGATTTCGCAGATATGGAATTAATATAGATTCAATGGAATCTTCTTCAGCATCTTCGGGTATGGGAAATCTGTCACTATCGTGACGGTGGGCGCGATTCCACTTGAAGCCTCGCAAAAGAGACTGTCGTCCACCCTCGAGCCAGAGGAGGATTGCTTTTAGGAAATCGTATCCAAATTGGGCCGAAGGATCTATCATTCCGTTTTCAGTTGGAGCAGGTACGATTTGGTGGAATAATTCCAGCTGCGGGCTGTCTGAATCCGATGGTGTTTGAAGGCGACCCCCGAGCACTCGTGCTAACGTGCCTGAAGCTTGTACAAAGCGCCGGGAGGCTTCACGATTCCTGCGCAGCGCTTGCTGGAATAAAACATCATCGTGGGAGGGGTTGAGTGGATACCTCCATGTCCTGATAACCTCGTCCATTTCAGATAGGCATGTTGCAGCATGTCCTAGAGTGGAAGTAAAAGATGCCGTGAATGGCGTTATTTCGGTCTCAGCAGCCACCCTCACGGATGCATCAACCGAAAATAGTAGCTTCCGGATTTCAACAAAAGTCTTTGCGATTCTTAAGCTTAACTTTTGGGCCTCGTTGGGAACTGACTCTCGTGCTCTTTCCATCAGCTCTGAAGGAGCGCCAGGGATACCTCCTGGGAGAGAATCAAGTGGAATATCCTCTGACCGACCATTCCCGTATCTGACTCTAAAAGACATATCTGGGTCTTCTTGGCTACCGCCAGATCTTAACCGTGAGTTGTATCTATTGCTACTTGCCCTGGACGCACGGTTAGTGTTTTCTCGCTTCCGCTTTCGGGCCCTAGATTTTTTTGTCTTTCTGGAACGAGAGTTTTCTTGAATAGTTGGCTCTTCAGCGTTCTTGGCATCTCTAGCATCAGGGCTGCGCATAATATCGAAGCTATATATGTGATCCCCAGACCAACTGACTACTATTTCGTTCGGGTTGGCATCGCTTATCTTGCATGCTGTGATATGACCGTTATCTCCAGATCTGACTTTTTTCTGAGCGTTGGGCGCAAACCGTCGAACACATCTAGTTGCCTGACTCATAGCATCATCATCAGTACTCCAGGGACCAGGAGATAGACTTCCCATCTTGCCTCGTTCAGCAAGAAAGTCACGCCCCAGCATTCGCCTGTCATGAAGGAAGCAGTGCAAGTGTGCTCCTCCGAGAGCAATGTACTGCGGCTGACTCGAAGAACAGGATATACTGTTTAGGTCGATGTGATATCGTTTGTATGATATCAACGGTGGAGGAACATTAGAGTCATCATGGTTAAGACCGGGCCTATAAGCCATAAAACCTTGCCCGCCACGAGGTGAAGGATATGCAGAAGACGGCTGTCTTAAATCCCACTGTCGTACCTCACCATCCTCTGAGCAAGTGAGGAACAGGTACGGCGAGGACTCCGTGACGATTCGTTTCACTCGGTCCGCATGGGATCTATATACACGAGCATTCGTGTTCGCGTCTGTCAAGTACCACATTCCGTTAAAGAAGTTATTGAACCGTCGACTTCTCGCGGAAGTAGCAAATTCTGATGACACAGACATTCGGCCCGAGTGCTCAATGTCAAAAACACGGACTTCGGAATCTCCTGCACATGAGACAAGTGTCCGGTCATTGGAGTGTGGCATAAATTTTACTGAAAATATGTTTGCGGAGTGACCAGTTTGTATGGTAGTGTTGAGGAAAAAGGGTGCGGTGGATGAATCAGGCTGATAGGAGTAGATATTCAAGTGCTGATCGTCAGAACCAGAGGCCAGAAGTCTCCCCGAAGTAGACCAACTACAAAGACACACAAGGGTCAGGATATATATTTCATCATGGCACATCCATGTGTAGGGGCAAGTCATCCGCACATCTATCCACTGGCCCCCAGCCTCCGGAAATGCAAGAAGCGGAAGGCGTCAGGAAGGGGGCGTGGGAAAAAAAAGGTATACAATACCTTAAGGCATTAACGCAACCAGTATGACCGCCCAGTTCATTGACAATATCCATATCCTCAATCCAAGTTTTATCTCCATATATTCCCGCGATACTGGAGAAAGGCGTATACTCGCCAAGCTCGCGCCTGAGAAGGCGCTTTTCCAAAACCGACTTCATTGTGAAAAATCATACAACAACAGGGTCCGCAACGAGTTAAGTGAAAACTTTTTCAATTTCCAAGCATTATCAGTCGAGAAACCCACACGTCTCCCAGGATCGATTCAGCATGGATAGTAAGCTAGGACGGCTTAGGGCTTCGGCGCTGGCACAGCTGTGTTTTCGAGGTTGGCTAGAGAAAAACTCATGTACATAGAACCACTATAAACTTCTGGCCAAGTGAGTTGATTGTTCTTGATAGTGATGGATTCCTAGAAGCTATCAATCGCGACGGCGTGTGTAGTAGCTGGCGAAGTTGGAGGAGGAACAAACAAACGCCACACAGGTCACTAAACGAATAGGTTGAAAGTTGGTGAATCCGATATCATAGCAGCTCCAAGGCTACTCCCGATGCCGATATAAAGGCTGATGCCCAGGTATGTCCCGAGGTCGTTATCAGTCCGACCTCCTCTTGTGATTGTTCCCAAGGGGTCTGTGGGGGCGGAAACAACCTTGGAACATGTTGACATATTACTATTCACGTGATTTATACGTGTTGATGACATCATCCCCACCGTTGAGTCAACTAACTAGTTAGATTCAACAGCGCTCTAGTTGATACGAATAGCTATATCAGTGCTAAGTTCAATGGGAATTATAACCAATGAGACTTAACGAGCACCTCGTGCAGCCTAACTGTCCTAGCGTTGGGAATTGAAGTTGGGTACAGTCATTTAATACTAGTATTTGATTGATGCTCCTTGAAGTACTAGTAGCTGTATTGCAATTTATTCCGGCCACCTACCTACAAGTTATCTATTAGTTCATACGGCAGCATGCCTCCCACCCTTACTCTCTCTCTCCTCCTCCTCTTGCTCTCAAATTGTAAAGACGTTTGGTTCAATATATCGGTCTCAATGGGGTCTACAGGTATGCCTCTACTACTGTAGATGGTACACCTTGGTCCATGTTTGTGCCCTCTTTTTTTCCCTTTCAAGACATAGAGAAACCACAGCGGTAGCCAAATATCGGTTGAGCGATGGAGGGAAATGGCATTTCGCTTACCCAGTGTCCGATTCCTAACGTTAAACACGTTTGACACTTTGAACGCTGTCATGCCGCTTCATTGCCGCATGCCAGAAACATATCAAGGACCGCGCTAAAAATCGGCTGGACCGTGTAGATCTCCCGCCCCCAGAAAACCCCACTCTTAGTATGTAACGAAGAGCTCCCAAAAGGTCCCGCTTGCCTCCCTCAAATTTAATGATAAGCGGTACAAGTTTGGGTAGTTGGGATGGCATATGTCATTCCATGTTGAAAGGTATTCAATAAAAATCAAATTCAATTAAATCAACTCTGTATAAGCCAATCATCAAAGCATGAGATCTTCTCATCATGTTCATATTCATTATCCATTATTGCTCGTCCAGGACCACAAAAAAGAAGAAGAGAGAGAGAGAAAGAAAAAAAGAAAAGAAATTACCTTAGAAATATCCATATTATAGTCATGCCTCCCATTTCATTCAGTGGCTCTTGAAGACCGAAGAAAGCCTAGTCCCCTCCAATTCATCATGAAACGAAACGCCCAAGCCAGGGGGTATCGTTCAGCTTACCCAACAGCCCAAGCCGGTCGTCTCTCTTCCCTCTCACCACCAGCAAAAGCAGCGGTGCCACCGGAACCCAGCCGATCAACTGCCTCCCGAACCCACAACCTCTCCAACTCCCCAACATCCGCCTCAACCGCACTCATAACCTCCAACTCCTCAATCATCGACGCTAACAGCATTTTATGACCCTTCACAACGCGAACCAACGCAGACGATGGGGGATATCCATCCCCGGATTGACCACCCGTATCTAAATCGACACTTGTTTCTTCGCCGCCTGCCATTCCCATATCCACATCAAGGCAGTCTAGCTCTCTGGCGCAGAGTTCCAGTTTCATAGCCAGCGCAGTGACTTCCTCCTTCCACTTGAAGCTAAGGGGGTCTATGAATTCGTACTTGTGGCTGCTTGCGTCCTGTTCATTATCACCGTTCCGGTCCGTGTCGTAATTACAATCGTCGTCATCATCGCCGCTGCCGTTGCGTTTGCTAACGGTAACGGCTGATTCCTGGGGCCGGAGCCTATTCCGGCTTCCGGCCCTGCCCTGTCTCACCCTTGCCACGTGTTCGAACCATTTCCCAAAGGTGCGGACGCACGAAATATATCTGCCCCCGCGCATATCTGTAAGCGTTGCGACATCCTGTATCACACGGGACAATACCTGTATTTGCTCCGAGAAGTCGTAAGCACCGTTGTGATCATTCGTGTTGCTTTTGTTCGTGTTTGGTTTGCTATCTGCCGCTAATTTGCTAAGAGCTTGGTTGTTGGTATAACGCTGCGCTGCTTGCTCTTGAGCGAGAAGTGTATGGTACTTGGCCACGACTGTTTTGTACTGTTTACCCAGTTGCTCTTCAACATTGTATTCCCAGTCTCGTTTAGCTCGTATAGAGTCGGTATGAAGGAGATGGAGTTGGAGGAGTTCTATTTGCAGGGCTGCTACGTGCGGATGGGTCTGTGAGGACGACTCTATTCCAGCTCGTGCCCCCAAAGTTGTGACTGTAGAGGATGTCGAGGCAGGGGGAATAGGCGGCTTAGTTTTCGGTCCCTTTTTGGGACTGTAATGTTGCTGGAACGTAGAGAACTGAGGCTTGCTCGCCTTTAATGACGGAGTCAAGCTTATGTTGCCCTCGCCTTGTTTCGCACCTGTATGACCCTTCGTCGAACCTACAACCTGGCTCTGGTGCCGCGAATGGTTCGCAGTTGTGGTAACTCTCGTCGACGCAATGGGTTGCCTTAACGATGCGGACCTCTCCAATCGAGTTACGCTTGCAGTTTGAGGTTTCCTAGCCTCCGGTATGGGTGTGTTCCCTGATCCAAGCCGTTCAGGCCTCTCTAAGCGCTGTGTGGATTTATTCTGTGTTCTCGATCCCTGTGAGGTTATCGTGCTTGACGAGCCAGGATTCTCAACCTTTGCTGCCATATGCACACTCTGAGGTCTCGATAATTGCGAGCTGGTGGTGCTGGAGGACCCAGCTCTCTCCAGGCGAGTGCGGGAGGTAGGTCCATCTACACAATTCAATGTGTCCGATTTAGGCGCATTCGCCGACCCCGGTCGCTCCAATCGGCTCACGCCTACAGCCTGGGTTCGCGTAAGACTTGCCACCGGTCTGGATAGCTTTGACGGCGATAGCGGAGGAATTGGCTGTGGAAGGTCCGGGACGGGAGCCGAGGTTTCAGCAGGTGGGGCTGACACAGGTGACTGGGGCGCTGGAGTCTGGGCTTCTTGAATGCGTGGCCGTATCAATAATGTATTATCCTCCATCTGTAGCTGTGATCTACCCGAAGGAACCATTCCTCCACCACCCCTCTGCCAGGTGCTCCGCTGTGGCAAGAAACTGCGACGACGGGATGGGATGGCGCGATCATCGCCATTGCCACCATTACCTCCAGAGTTTGTTGGTGCTGCGGTAGTGGCTGGCTGTGGAAGGCCCGAGATTGACATCGGCTGGTTATGCGAAGGCAGATTTGAGTTCCGGGATGGTGCGGATGTCAACCCGGCTGTAGACGTTGTGGTAGTGGTTGATATGGTGTTTGAGCGGGGTTTGATTGACCGGGGACTTTCGACTTCGGGGATCTGTGCTATGCGTATACGTAGGTTAGAGGGTGGGATGTCTTGTTTCGTCGTTTACCTTCTCCATGGCTCAATTGCCTTTGTCTTGCAAGGATGGGTAAAGTTTGTGTAGCATACCGTAACTTCGCGGTCGAGATCGGGAGGTTTCCGTTGCTGGGCGATGCGAGGCTCGCGGAGGGAAAGCCTTCGTGTAGGTATCGGCATTGCTTCAAGCCAATGTTTTGTCGGTGGCCAGCAGAATATCATAGGAGAGCCCTCCGTTGGATCCCCAAGCAGGATCTTTGACTTTGTCAAGGTAGATAAGATGGTCTAGGCTTGGCATATTTAAGTTGTTAAGCTGCTAGCCAAAAGTATATAAGTTATGCCAAGGGCTTTCTGATCACAGACAACATAGAATGAAAAACATTTCGGGGATACACCCTATTATTTTTTTTACCCAATTCTTATCCAAATTCGACTCTGTGTGAACTAGTATAGAACAATTGTATTGGTCAAACAGACTCGATATGTATTAGCGAAGATGTGGCCCGACATTTCATTAGTGTTAGCAGTTTCTGAGTACAAAGTTCAGAAGTAAATACGGTGGTTGCATTCTAATGCTCTGCCCTCTTAGGCTTGGGGGAATCGCCAGCAGTGTTAAAGCCCAGGCACAGCAAAAACGAAAGAAAGCATACAGAGGTGAAAGAAAGATTCTGAGAAAAAAAAATAGAATATCAGCAGAGCTGGTGGGAATAAGAACATCTGCATAGCATGCCCTGCCATCAGCTGGGTATCAGTCGAAAGAGTCCTATAAAATAAAAACAATTTTCTGTTGTCTTTTTCTGCCCAAGCAATCTCCCTCGTCATCCCATAACGCATAGAGCTGAGACGAAAGTACACATCAGAAGCGGGAAGAAAAATAAAAATAAAAAAATACAATGAAAAAAATTTCCCGTTTAACTCAAGTCGTTCAGAGATTGCCCTTTGAAGGAAACGCCACTCCCTCCGTAGCATGAGTATCTGTAAACCAGCTCACTTTCTCCGCACCAGCGGCATTCACCAAAGCGCATGGCAGACTCCTCCCGTCCTCTGTATCAAAGATCCGCCTCATGATGTCCTTCTTCCCTCCACCCGTCGCCACAAAAGCAATTCTCAGCCCATGTATAACAACTGGCAGCGTGAGCGTAATGCGCTTAGGTGGCGGCTTGGGCGAATCCGAAATTGGTGCGACCCAGGCGTCTGATTCGCGAAGGAGTTCATGGCCAGGGAACAGGCTGCAGGTATGTCCATCTGGGCCACAGCCGAGCAGAAGGAGGTCGAAGACGGGCAACTTCACGCTGTCCTTGGCAGCGAAGGAGTGCATCAGTTCTTCCTGATACTGGTCTGCTACTTCCTGCGGATCATCGTCAGAGATATGTGTAATATCGATTGGGTGGACTATAGGCGTTCCGAGCTCTGGGGGGATCTTATCGAGTAGTTCAGTCTTTACGAGGCGATAATTGCTGTCTTCGTGATCTAGTGGTACGACTCGTTCATCGGCAAAGAAGATCTCCCATGAGGAAAATCGGGGGCTGTCTTCTTCACTGCCGTTGGTGGGGGCGAGGAGTGCCTTGGCAAGGACAGCTGGCAGCGAGCCACCAGAGACGGCGACGCGGAAAACGTCATGTCTGGCAATGGCTGTGTTCTGGGACTTCAGGACATATTTCCGAAGCTGTGTTGCAAGAACGTCGGTGTCAGGGAATACGTAGAGGTTTGGAGAACCCCCCATGGCTGAACTGGCTGAATTGGAGTTGAGGCGGGGTAGATGAAGCAAGCAGTGGGGTATAGATATAAGACGGCGAGCAAACCTGGAACGATGCTGTGTGAAGCGAGACAGTCTGACAGGGTCGTTTTGAGCAACGGTGTATCGTCAGGTTAATTGGAAGAGGGTGGCCTGAGGACAGTGCCCATGTTTTTGGCAGAATGCAGCGTAGGTTGCAAGTTCAGACAAATATCCAACGACAAGGGAGAGTGCTGAATGCGCTTGCTGGAAAACTTGTTCATCTGTTGACGTAGTGTGGCTAACTAATTCCTACCTAGGTAACTAGTTAGTAATGACTACTCGGCATTACATAAATAGAGAAGTCTTGACAACCAACGAAGTTTATATGCCATTATTCTTTACAGATTTTACGCTGAACGCCCATTCAGTGACATTCCTGCTCGGTGGTAACTCAGAAGAAGCGTTTATCAACATATTGCGGGCATATCTAACTAAGTAGCTAGTTAACTAGTTGTAATAACCTGCTTACCTGCGTACATGTTGCTTCTGGCTTTCTTTGGCTTTCCAAGCACCCCATGCATACAATTCTCTCTTAATCCCAATACTACTAGTAAACCTAGCTCGCTGGTAGGTAACATTAAACGGAGATGAACAATGCAAGATGCCCCCAGGGGCACAGAACAAAATGAAAAAAATAAACAACGCCCCCTGGTAAGCGAAGGAATGGTAAGGGGGTAAAGTAAGTTATTAAGTTGTCGCACAAAGCTAGTCAAACTACAGGATCTCGCCTGCCAGGTTCGTTCTAGAGTAACAACAGCAACAACAGAATCATGGGGTAAAAAGAGGTGTATACATGTATCGAGTAGTGATATCTCGTTCATGCAGTCTGCGCTTTGATATACGCCGTCTATATACGCAGAACGGATCGCGTGCATCCTGTCTGCCTCGCCTGTGCAGCGGATGCATCGTTTAGAATCCCCGCCTGCCGATCTTCCGTCGTGCATGCACGTCCGTCCTTCCCGTCAGGATGAGGCGGGTAGTTCTGCAAGGAAGCAAAAGGGGAAAGACAAAGGAGATGAAAGATACTACATATGCTATCCCACATTCGCGCTCCCTGGTTGCCGAACCCTACCGCAATTGTTTTTGAGCCCAGATAAGCGATGGAATGAATACATACACCTGTACCTGTGCAGGTTTCTTACACACTTGTTGATATGTATACTATGAAAAAACTAACGTTTACCCCCGAGATAGACAAAGAGTTAGCAAAAGCAGTATATCACCCCTGTCCTCATGGACTCATGCAGGTCACCTTGAGCGACGTCTGCACGTTAAGACGCAAGAATTTCAAATTACCCTTTCTCATGCATGGCTACAAGGAGATATATGCATGTATACATGTATACAAGAGTCTAATCCACCTTACTCCTCAGCCATTCCATTCGATACATGGCGAAATCAATTACTTAATATTAATTAAAAATAGATGGGGTAACTGGATTGAATGGCGCATATTCATTGTCATGTTCATTACTATTATTCATTTGCAGCACTACTTTTCAACTATGAATCCACACCCTTCATGTGATGTGAGAGTCATAAGTGAAGTGCTTTGGCTCTCGGTGTAAATCAGATATTCGAAATACTGCAGGAGTTGACTTCTTGAATTTAAGTTGGGCGCTCTCAGGTTCATCCGTAGTTACCGAATTTCCACACCCATAACCCCCCCTGGGCTCTGCGGACAAGGTACCCAGCAGGAACTCTGATACTGTAGACGAAAAGCAGCCCAGCATATCTCTGTATGATCTTTGGACGTATTGGTCACTCCGGGGGCGCGGCCAAAGGTCGAGATTGATCAATCCAGAAGGGGGTTGTTTTGGCGGGAGGAGGTTGACATGGGACAGGTGGGGCGGCGTTTCAAACTCTCCTCCTTTTTTGTGGTTATCTTACTCTTTGTTGGGCTCTCTATTGATGTTTTTGTTTCGTTCTTTCGGTGCTTCTTGTCTCTCTCATACTTTATCACCGGCATTTATCTACTTTTATCTTTTTTATGTCTATATTCATTCAACTCGAAACCGCATGGTTGGGGCGTGGCTGAGAAACACAAAAACCCCAAGATCCGCGGATCCGAGTTACCTGGAGAAAAGGAAGGCTGCGGAAACGACGAGGGAGGCGACGCACGTATTTCTAAATGAATAACTACACCAGATCACAGTCGAGTCATCTCTTTTCCTATCTATCAGTCACTCGCACGCACGTACGCACGGATTACCTACTCACTCGGTGAGATGTAGGAGAGTAAATCTTTGTTTTTTTTTATTTATTTTTACACAAGAAACACCGCCCCCACACACACACGCATGCACACACGCAGCACGAGGGATTGTTTCATGTACGATGCTGTCATCCTGCATGGCCATGGTTCCCTCTTCAGGGTCCTTCTTCTTTTTTTACCCACCAACCTTCAAGACACGCATGCATACAGGAATCACATCGTAGTATTCCTAGTCGAAGGAAATCCGTTAGGAACACAGGGCAACCGGAGCCAAGGAGGCCGACGGTGGGGCTTAGTTAGGCTGGTGCCAGGGCGATATGCTGGCGAAGAGCGAATCACGCCGCTGGATTTGTTGGGTGTGCAGGTCTCGTATCAGCACGTTTGCCTCCCCACGAGGCCGAGCTGGACCGGAGCGGAGAGCCGTGTTGTCTTCTGAAGAGATTCCATGGTTCTGGTTCTGGTTCTGGTGCGGGCGCTGAGGATTCCTCATGGAAGAAATTACTCGAATGGAAGGAATTGTTTTCTTCGAGATAGTTGCTCGTAGTCAATCATCAATATCCGGGATCACTGGAAGTTTATTTGGCGTAGAAAGTTTCTCTGAAGAGATGAAAATTAAAATTGTAGCAGCGCCTCTGGGTCTGGATCCATGACGCTTTGATTCGATGGTATCTATGACTCTTGGTCGAACCGTGGTTTGTGGATGGGAGAGCTTTGACAACTTTTGAGTCAAGAGTTGACACTGTCTGTTGACTGTCAGGCATCGACCTTTCCAGAGGCACCTGGACACGATAAAAGCCGTCGTCTGACTTGCATTCATCTTCTCCTGCGGCTGCTGGGCTGGCTGTGCTTATTTGTTCGCTGATCCGTCGGCGCGTCCCCGATCCACTGCGCTGGTGCCTGCGACTGGCTGTGGATGCTCTCGTTATTTCCCCCAGGAATCATCTCTAGGAACCCCTAGTTTGTTTGAGATTTATTATATTTCTTCAATCGTGTTTATCTTGCCCATCGCCCAAACTTCTTGACAGCTATCTCCACTTGTTTTAAATTCTTCGCGCAGTACACGTACCTTTTCGCTAATTCCCAAAGCACTCTATACCTGCTCCCCCTGCTGCCGGACCGCCAGTATTTAAAAAAAATCTTAGATAGCCCTGCCCGAGTCCCATTTTTAATTCCCACCCTCGCCCATTGAAACATTCAAACCAAGCCCTCTTTGTTTCGTCGCTTACGAGGCAGGTTACAGCCCAACAACTCCACGAAATCAGAATCGGAAAAATCCCTGTGTGCATTACGGCTGCATATCTGTCTCCCTTGGTCGCTGGGAGAAAGGCTCGATCATCACTGGTCAGGGATCAAGGCCGTTGTTCTTCTACTTGGGTTTTCGTTGCTGTGGTTTTCCACACCAGCCGCTTTTTCCTCCCCCTGTTCCTGCTCTGCTCGCCCTGTTTTGCCTGATCTTATCCGGAAACCGATCCTGCACATGCTCGCCTGAACACCGCCATTCCCGGAGCCTTGGGTACATTTAACTCGTTTTACCAGCCGATTCAAACAGTATATTACCCTGCCTCAAGGTCCTTGTTGCATCACTTCTCATCTGCCCGTTCTTTCTCAACTCTCTCGATTCTCTCGAGTCTCCTACGATCTCTATCTCGCTCAAAATTTCCGCGCTCACCCAGCGACCTCTTCGCGACGCAAACCGCATTTCCCAGTACATCATGAGCTCGACTTCTGCCTCAATGCAGGAGTCTTCCTCCAATACCTCCAGCACAGGACTGACTCCCCGCTCCTCCTCCGAGTCTTCGAAGACTGTTGTGTCCACCTTCGATATTGTTCGCTGCTCAAGATGCCAGCGATCCCTCTCCCTCGAACATGCCTCATCCTCCCCCGGTATTGTTCGATTCGGTGTTAATTCCTACTATTGTAGCCGCTGTGCGTCGATGGTTGGCTTCAATAATCGCTGAAAGCAACCCCCGGAAGGAAAACTCAAGGGCAGAAAAGCCAGAAAGTTCAACAATAACAATACCAAACCATACGCTTATTTCTACGCGCACAAAAAAAAAGCTGCAAGAAAAAACAAGCCACCGCATACCCCAACACAACCAAAAATCCTTACCTCAAACCAAACCCGTAACTTTTTCATTTCATCAGACACTTTAAAAAAAAATTCATCTTTTCGCCCACCGATGGACGAAAATGGAAGAAAATGGAAGAAAAAGCAACAAAGCATGAAAAAAAAAAGGAATATTTTGGGCGATATTGAAATGTGCAAATTCCCAACGCATAAAACAACCAACATGCCGACCAATCGAATCAAGACAATGCCCTCGTTTGAACCCAAGAAGCAAAATGACATCAGTGTTCCTGGCCAATGATGTAGATGCTGGTCAGATGCGAAGATAACGGAAAGAGGCTTTAGCAACCAACTCACCAGGACAACCTTGCCCAGGGCCCAAAGATGACGATGGCCGTTGAATGCCTTAGGTACCCCTCACCCAAGAGTCGTCCTTCACCTTCGCATTCGCCTTTTCCGCGCGACCCATTTCCGACCCGACCGTCCTCCTGGTTTCTCATCTTGTTTGAATCCAGAATTATCCTCACCGCCTATTATCCATATGATATTTCCCTCTTTGCCCATGGGCGGTGAAATCAAACCTTCCCCGCCTATCACAGGCTCCGGGGACGGATGGGGAGGGGTTTTCTTATTTTTATTGTTTATCGCACTCGTCCTGTCCTGTCATTCCGAATCTCCGGACAACACAACATCACGGGATCCCGCCGACTGTGCGAGTGCGACTTGCTATTTTCGGAAACCAACCAACCCCTCATGTCTCACGTCTCGTTTTTATTCTCAACCTCTTCCAGCCCTTGTTTTATTTTTTCCCCTTCGTCGTTTCCGCCACCACAATCCATTTTCGATTACAGAAGGATTCCGCGAAATCACTTCCTCGTGTGTGTTTTTCAGCTTCTGACTCTTGGCTTGGTCCGGGTTCTCCTTCGTTCGTGGCGTGGCTGGTTTTCTTCACCCTCCTTGCCAAGAAAACGAAAGAAAGCTACCGTTACTCTGCTGCGTTTCGGTTTCCTTCTCGGTAATCATCGCCAATCGACCCCTTCCGCAGCGCTTTCTCGAAGGTTTTCACGTTCACAACCACACCGCCCACGTTCAGCTGACCTTTTGATCCAACCTCACACTCGGCACACACAACCTGCGCAACATCCGTTCAGATCCCTCGGGAAGGAATCTTCGGTTCTGCCTGGTTTTCAATTCTTTTTTCTATATTTCTTGTTCTGAAGGTAGATCCGGAATCAGCGGTGCCTCTGCTTCTGTTGCTTTTTATACATATGATGTGTATATATTTTCTCTTGACGGTAATACGGGCTACATCCTGGTGGGCGCCGGCAAAAACATAGCGAGATATTCTGAGTGAAGACGGACTTTTCTTTTTTAAATCCATGATTCCCAATTTTGCAATGAACTATCTACATGTATTCTAACGAAATGATATCCCCAATTCGCATTTACGGGAGTAAAGTTATGTGTAAAAAAACGCGAAAACAATAACAGGAGTGGAACTAACCCTCCAGGAGAGCTCAACGCGATGATCTAAAAAATAAAAATGAAAAATCTTATTTAACCCAAGAAATAATTCTCCTCCCCCCCCCCCCCCCTTTCTTCTGTTATTTTTTTATTTCGAATCAAAGAATTCTCTCAGATGTACTGCTTATTCCCAGACCTCGCCATATTTCCTTTTGACTTTTCTTGGCTGCTGTTTTATTATGGAAGGTAGTGATTTATTTCTTAATTGGTTAACATTCTTATATTTTTTTTTTGGCTATTCTATCTATTTGTTTGTCTGTCTACGTATCTATCTTAAAATTCCGTGCTTTTTGCTTCTGTACTCTGTTCTAATAGATTACTAGTTTAGGCTAATTTTCAACAGCTTTTCAAAATATTGTATTTCTTCTGCTAGATAACATTTTTTTTAAGCATATATTACTATTATCACAGTAACCTTCGTTTCTAATTTTAGAAGCGGGTAATGTGGTGAGCCAATATATTCATCCACAATCAATGCTGGCAGCTGAACTATGACTCTTTTTAAATGGAATAGCCCTCTAAAACCGACATTCGCAGCACTATCTATTATTTATTGCCAGTGAAGATTGGGGAGTCCAATTCCACTCCATCTCAAGCAGGCTTGTTTGCCGAGCTTAGTCACACCAATGCAACTAGTTATCAATTACAGTCTCAATTATTATCTGGAACTTTACAGATACCAAGACTCTAATATCTCCCCTTTCGGATGTGAGTGTTAACGAATTCATCCGCTCCGATGGGATCTTCGACGAATTCGAAATTGAACCCTGTTCCCGAGCGGTTGAAATCCACAGCGAATCTGACATAGGTTTGGAGTTCTCTCCAAGGACAGGTTGCGTGTCTCGGTGTACCGGTGCTATTTGAGCCGGTGCAGGTTGGGACATTTGCGATATTGCCCATTTCCGAGGAGAGGAATGGGGGAAGGTGCGGTAGCCCGGGTCGTTGGCGATGTCATCCGGCACAACGTAAAGAGGAGGAGGAGGGGGTAGGGTCGTCTCCCCGATGTGGATGTCCCCGAGAATCTGATGATTTTGTGGCGGAACGGCTACTTCCCGATCCCCAGTGGCTCCCTGCATCTCAGAAAAAATATTGGAGAAGGTTTCGCATATTGTTCAGATAGTGGGCATTTTAGCCCACCGCATACTCAGTACGTAGCGAATCGCTATTCTTATCATCCTTGGCAATACACCTGAGCACTTCACAAAACGGTGGTGAAACTCGTTCCGCATCTATAGCGGAATTCGATCCTTCATCGAAATTGGCATTTGGAGCAGTTGCTCCCCCTTGCTTATTCCTACCTCTCATGATCTTGATATCTGCATTTAAAGATATCGCAACCGCCCTGCGACGAAATAAAGGGAATTTCAGGAATATGGGCTATATTGGTGTCGGAAATTGGGCTATTTGCGTTGTAGTACTGGTGAAGAAAGTTGACTGAAATGAGGGGGGGGGCTTTGCTGTCCTTGTCCTTGTCCTTGTCCTTGTCCTCGTGCTCTCTTGGTCTCTGTTATCCACGGGCTCCCATACTTCTCCCATTCTTCAAGATGATATGACTAAACGAGTGCCAAAGATTTCCGGCGAAAGTCTCCTTTGCGACCAAACGCGTTCGGATTGATTAGAGGCGTTATGTCCTTTAAAATGAGCGATCAGATATCGACGACGGCCAAGTTTGCGGAGACAGCCACTAGCCCAACTCTTTAAGGATGCTGCGTCCATGGGTATTATGCTGCTAGATGAAGGGATTCACCGCTTTACTTTGATAAAAAACGCATTTCTGACCGTTTACGCCAGCCTATTTACTCCATCTGCACAGGACTGGGGGGGGTTTCAGTACAATCCCAACACCGGGCATGATTTTGCTCTTGAGGACAGCGTCAATGTAGTCATCACCCATGGACCACCCAGAGGTGTTATGGACTACACTGTCAGCCATCAGAGAGTGGAATGTCCCCATCTCTTCACAGCCATTGCAAGAAGCCGACCCCAGATGCACTGCTTTGGCCACATTCATGAAGGTTGGCGCGCGAAAACTGTTATATGGAGCGACAATCCTGCCCACTTTGCGGATATTGACTTACATCCATTTGTTGAATTGATATAGTTGTTTAGTTATTCTCATTCGAAGACTTCTTCTCAAACAATGTAGCCGCTGTACATCAAAACAGGAACCATTTCAATTGATTAGTAGCTACCGCTATTGCTCCAGATTCAGCTTTCTCTGATTTAATCCGTGGTACCAACTTGCAGCCAGGGGATGAGAATTTGTAACGAGCACAGTCGAGTGTTCGGTGAGGAAATATTGCTTGGGGTGTATTAATTATGTGGCAGTTGTCCAGTGCAGCTTCAGCATCTGTAACCAAGTGACGTCACAGCAACTTTTCCTTGGTATTTAGGCAGAGACGATTAACGACCAAAATAAAGTAGCCTCGGAAAGCCATTATTACCCAACAAAGATCCTTTCCTTGTCAACAAAAAGCAATCGCCAGACCAAGTTCCCTTTGATTTCAACCAACCCAACAATGGCCACGAACACGACCTCTTGTCCAACCGCTTTCCGTGTCGCGCAGGCAGTAGGTTTGAGCGGTGCAGCTTGGCTTTCTGGTACGCAGTTACTCCATCTTGGATAATCCGAAGAGATAGTACCTATCTACCCATTCATCAATACAATTCCCAAGGGGAATCTTATATCTCGGTTTATCTCTCTACGTACGAGAGATAACATATTGAACGTCCCTCTCACACACACACATAATGTCCTCAGAGTAAGGACCAAAATATTTGCCAGATGCTAATAATAGCACATTTCAACTCCACAGGCAACATCGCCGCCTACAGTGTAAATGTCGCACCCTCCCTCCTCACCTCCGCCCAAGAAAGCAACCTCTCCGCCAGCACCCTCGCAAAGCTATGGCGAAACGTCTATCATCTCGGCGCAACACAGAACCCGCCCATCGCCCTCTGCACCGCAGCCGCATTCTTCTACCTAGCCTGGTCCGATCGTTCCGGGACTATATCCCTCCGTGAGGCAGGTCAGAACACATCCACGCTGTATTGCGCTGCCGGGGCGCTAACCTTGTCTATCGTCCCGTTCACCATCCTTGCAATGACGAAGACCAATAAGGAGCTGTTGGAGAAGGCCAGTTTGGTGGAGACGGAGCCTATAGCCAAGGTTGGGGCGAGGGCGGAGACGGAGCGTTTTTTGCGTCAGTGGATTGGGCTTAACGGGATGCGAAGCTTGTTCCCGTTAGCTGCCTGCTTGGTGGGTATGTATGCGGCTTTGAGGTGAACGGTGCTGGCATTTTTCTTAGAGCACGAAAGGGGAAGAAGCTGGGGGCGTATATCGAAGAAATTAGTCTGTAGTCTAGATTGTATATTAAAATGGGGGTCGTGGAGATGGCTGTCTTGATGTGATTTTAACTGTGTTAAAAATGATCGAATCGATTATATCTCTACAAGTAATAATGGTGTGTAAAGGATCTGCACCTCGACCGTAACTGGTAGCCGTTCGTGTAGCCGTTCGTTAAAAAATACATCGCTAAATCGTGGTTTGTGAGTGGACGGTTCACTCATCAGCAGTACTGCTGTATAATGAGAATCGAGTCGCACTTGTTACAACATTCTTCTCCGCTTGGGGCCGGGCAGGAAGGGGAAGGAGGTGCGGCTAAATAGTTAGTTGTGGGAGAAGGTAAAGCAGTGATGAATAAGAGAAGAGTGAGATTAGGCGATGTGTGTTCCCTGCTCTCTAGCATACTTGGTAATTTGCGCGATGGAAGCTCTTGCTAAGATATGTGTGTAGTTAGAAGTGGGAATCTTATGACCCTCTAAGCCCATTTCTATTCTCGTAGAACGAGTGATATTATTTCTTTGTTCAGAGTAGACGGTCTCTTAAATAATTGTGGGTGGCATGTGATGAGTGCATTTTCGAGTTTGTAGAGCATAGCAAGCCGCTTAGAGGATATCAAGAGCGCCTGAGGTATATAGATAGGGATTTAACTGACAGTCAGGCAGGCATAAGCGTCTATTCCATGAGATCTCTTCTATTATCAAGCTAGCAGAGGGTATGAAATAGAATTGACCAACATATTCTGATTTCCTCGAATGACCTCCATCTGATAATGGGCGCGGTAGAAAAAAAGAAACATGTAAGAACCAGCGACGACGAGCATTATTGTCCATGAGATATGAGTTAATATCGCCAGTACTGAGGGTTCCACTTGCACTCCTCATAGAACAGATTTTGAAGCGCGCCTTATTCCTCACTATGTAGAGTTCAAAGGCCGGCGGGCACCCCGAGCTCCGAGCCCAGCAATGAGGATCCGGAGATCTACATTTGGCGTCGTTTCAGCTCAAGCGGAGGTTCCTCCCAAGTCCAATGACAGCAGTTTGTCAACGCTCAGGCTATGGTGAGGAGCGGGCCCATCATACATCAAATAGCGGAACGCTCAGGGTCCTTGACCCGGGGAGGGCTCGGGACCAAGCGGGGTTAAGGCAACTGGTCTGGGATAGACCCATTGATTGCCAGCTGGGATAGCTATTGTATGCATCATCTTTCCGTCTGAGCATTGGTGGTAGCTTTTTCCAGTCCGTTATTGGGGAGCCAGCACAGATAGGAAAGTCTGTTGCTGGGCGTTGAAAGAAATAGTATGTATATCCATTATGAGAAGAGATAAAAAAATACTAGGATTTGGCCTGTGGAAAATATAAAATTAGCATTTTATTGTACAAACCGCAAATTATTGCCTGAGGAGGAGGAAATCGGGGAGGAAAATAAAGTGGAACGCGGCACGATTACCAGATAGACGAGATGAAATGGATGATCTTCAGTCCCTTCGAGATATTGCAATTGGAGAGGAACTCGAGACTTTCGCACACTGGAAATATCTCCAACCGCTTGGGTATGGGTATTGGGACAAGAATGACCTACATCTGAAGGGTCTTCAACAATAGCCAAGGAACCTGCGAACTTGAGCGCCGCCTGGTCCAAAAATGACTCGTCACTTTTCGTACCTCACAGTTCCCCCACCACGACAGCCAGCCACATCGGGCCTGCACAGTAGCAAGATGGAGCATACATCTGACTAAATACATGGGCTGTCCACGATTCTTCAGTGATGTACTCAGCTCCTTGCGGCGCAAAGCTGCTGCAGAACCGCTTCATTGCCACACGCGACGAGAGACCTAGTGAGGGCAACTAACTGGCAACAAGATGGACAAGAGCACTCTGCAATCACAGCTGTCAGTCTTTATTTTCTTCCCAAATTTCCGATTATCCTAGAGGCGAGGTGCTAGGAGGCCCATGCTGCTAGCCTTAATACACGCGCTAACAATATGCTGACAACTTGACATATCAAGGTGGGAGAAAATAATCATCAGTGCTCATGTTCATTCACGCCCTGACATTAAAGTCTCGCATGCCGATGACCCCGTCCGGCGATGCTACTTGCATATGCACCTGGAGTTGCTGCGGGACAAAAATCATAGGCCCATTGTCTTCTCGTTCACGTCTTTCGACCGAACCACCAGTCGATTTTCCAGCCTAGGAAGACATTTCTGCATCATGATGGACATATCCCTTGAGCCATTGCCCAGGCTTGCTGGTTAAGACGTTGATTCGCTCTATTCGTTAATCCTAGTTTCTGCAGCAGCCGTGCTGGGGAAGCCCGATTTCCGGGTAATGATTTCTACGAATCACCAGTGTCAGTTTCTCAGATAACTTCGAGACATATTGTTTTTCTTTTTTCTTTTTTCACTCTTTTCGAATTTCTCTTCCATGTTTTCCCCTGGATTAGTGTCTCCCCATTAGGGCTTTCCATTGTGGACAGGCAATTTTGCCCCAGAAATCAACGTTGTGCTTCCCACAACCCATTTAAGCACTTCCAAAAAGGGCGGAAGGAGCAGAAGTAAGGTCACCCATGGATATGTTTGCGGCACCGACCGTACGTGTATTAGACAGCTCATATGCACTGCGTTCGGATGGCGCACAGCAGTGCCAACAGATGAACCTTGGCTAACCAAGGGCTTCTCAGAAGATCGTCCCACCCAAAAACAAAAACAAAATAAAACAAAACAAAATAAAAATCACTAGATCATCGGTTTATGATCTAAGATCTATTTCATCCCATTAATTTTTCAGCCACTTTCAGGGTTCCAGAACAGCATATTCCGCCTAGAGCAGCAGTACGACCCAGATCTAAGGAAATGGATACCTGTTTTTTCATTAATTTTTTTTCGGGTGGGGGACCGGTTTGGCCGGAGCCTGTTGATTTCCTGACCACTTCCCTCAGAGCTTGCTTACCTCCGCTTGTGGTCACTGCTGTTGCCGAACGTCGCTGGGGGTTACTTGAGGGGTTAAAGCTTCGATGCTGGCCAAATCACAGGTCGGAAACTCTCACAATCAGGGCCAGCCCCAACCCGCCCTATTTATTTTCCGTATTTGCTTGGTTTCTTGGCCGATAATGGCAGTTCTTTGTCTTTGTTCCTACCTAAGGAAAAAGCAAAGAAATGGGTTAGGATCGGCCTTATCACCCACACGATGCCCAAGGCTCAAAATAGACTGACAGCTTCTCCTCCATCGTGAGAGAACTAGCTTTAAATGCTTGTCAAAATGGTCGTCCAGATCTCTCCTTTAGCGCCTACGAGAAACCTGTGGACAGGCGTGTTTTCTTTTTTTCTTTTCTTTTTTCTTTCTTGCTTTTTCAGTCTTGTCTTATTTTTGTATTTGGGTGTTCAGGATGAACTTCTTCCAGTTTTGGCTACTGCATAACCAATGACAGGCCACATACTCGCCAGTGGTGTGACTCCTCCTCATTCGTCCTAACCTCCGTTCCTGTCAGGCATCGGGAATTGGTAACGCTGCAAAATGCCTCCGCACGTAATGGAATTGTGCGGAATTGCTAATGTGGCTGCAAAAACGGATTCCCCGAATGATAAGTGTTTGTGCATCCAATACAGTAAGATGTGATACTGATATTTGCCCATCTCCTAGTCTGTTACTTATTATTTTATTCCTCAGCTCACTCCCAGACCCTATTCATGCCTAGACACCGCTGTTGGGCGCCACCTTGGAATGATGATCATAGATATTTTCTCCGGAATAGTTATCTAATGAACTGACTCCTCGATGTACGAAAGAGGGTTCAAAGTTGGTGATGGTTGCCTTATTTTTCGAATAATATTCAGCTGGCTGTAATTCGACAATAGACGCACTGTGGCTGCTGCCAATCAGTCCCGCCATTCCCACTCAATACTCTCATTTTCCAGTGGATATTTGAATTATCCTGATCTTGAAGGGACGCCGGCCTGCGATCCGCGATAACACCGAGGACAGGTCCCTCCTTGGAAAAGATCTCCCTCTCCATAATACCGATCTTTTGAGCCTTTTATATACATTTCGTGGGGTAGCTCCATCTTTCTGCAGCCATTTCCTGACGTTTTGACAAACATTTTATGACTTGCTCGTGCTCACTGATATTCCGAAACAATCATCCTTGGCCCTAATATATCTCCCATCGGTGCATTTTGTTTTATTTGCTGCATTGTTCTTCCCTTAGGTCTACTCTCTCTATCTGGGTTTTACATCTTGTGCCGCTAAGTTTCAACTTGCTCTTCCTGTTCATGAGCGCATCTTCCTCTCTCCCCGCCCTGTTCTACCCTTTGGACTCGCGGGTCGAAGGGCGCCAGCGTCGGGAACTGGAATAAATATATATGGTGGGTCAAAATATTCTCATTTTCGGGGCAAATTTTGTACACTTTTGCGATCGTTTGGAGCTTTATATTCCCACAGAGGTACGCCCTAAACCAAACACTCAGGAACCTGCCTCCTTTGCTGCATTTAGAGTCTCCTGATCTAAATATATCCTTCCTTTGTTGTATTGGGGGGAAAAAAGAAATTAATATTGCTGTGCAAACAGGTCTGGATTTCCCTTAGCTTCCACGGAAAATCATGCCAATGTCACCAAGACAACGAGATGGCCGGAGGAATTCTCGGTCAACAGATGAAGAATATGTCGTATTTCTTCAAGGTGTAAGTTTATCTGTTCTCTGTTCCTCAGTGTCAATGCCATTGTTCATTCGATTGTCGAAGATGAAGCGTTGACTATGGATCCCCATTTCGGTGCAGATCCCGCCTCAATGTCGATGGCAGGAACTGAAAGATCTTGTCCGCCAAACTGCTCTGCACATACGGCAGGCTGTAGTTTACGATGATTGTCACGGGCATCCAACTGGACTTGGCCAAATCATAGTGAAAAATGAAGATGAAGCGTGGCGCACTTATAGTAAGTATTTAGCGGCAATCGCCCGTCAAACCGTATTCTTCTAACCAGCGCGATAGACAGGCTGTCAACGAACGGGTGGAATGGTAATAGCTTGACGGTGACACTATCGCTCGCAAGTGCGCCGACCAAACCCATTGCTGGACCGACCAAGAGTCAACCTCCAAGCCGAATGCCATATGCTGCTGGAGGATATTCGAGTCCTCCAAGATGCCCACCACTTATCTCCTCCCCGACGAGCGCTATGCCCCCTGAGTAAGTATGACCTTAAAAACTCAACTGCTTTTGTCCCCTCTACGTTTCAAATGCGTATGGGCTCACAAACAGGCACAGGAACTTCTCCCCCCCTCCGTCTTACGCTACATCATCAGAATTTGCCCATTTCGTCACCCACTTAAACTCTCCTTGCCAGCATCAGCATCAGCTCGTTCCCCTTACGACAGACTCGCTAGGTTACCAGTTTCCATTGATTTATCCCAGCGATGTCCATTTCCCGATGCCAACGACAATTCTGAGCCAGCAATTCGAACCTTCATCCGTTGCAATCCACAGATACTCCACGGCAATGTGCATCCCACAGCCCCATTATGAACTGAATAGTGTTAACATGCCTCGCCAAACTAGCAACAGTAACAGTTTTTACAATTTTCGCCAGGATTTAGGTGTGAATTTTTCATGCAGCATTTGCATACAGAACCTTGCCATCGATACCACCTGGCAGAATTTGAAGGACTATCTACGGACGGCTGGTACTGTGGAGCGATGCGATATTCGCGAAGATCGTAAAGGGGGAGGTCGCCACCCGAGGGCTTATGCAACTGCTACATTTCGAACGAAGGAAGAGGCTCGAAGAGCTGTCACGCTATTTGACAATGCATATTTCAAAGGTTCCAGAATTCGAGTACGAATTGACCGAGACAATGGAGGAGGCAGCAGTGGTAGTGGAAATGGGGCGGTATTCACGCCTTATCGACTTGCTAGAAACAAAAACACCAATGAGAGTGGAAGTAGAGTGGAAGCCGGGACAGGGATTGGAAATGGAAACGCGAATGACGTGACAGCGGTGACGGCATCTTTGTCAACAGATCGGAAGTCGCCCACAGGATCGACTAGCCTCTCTCCAGGATCTAGTGAGGCTGATTCCCCAAAAAGAACCGAGCCGTTGGTAGTCAATGGGTCAAGGGTCGGGCTGAAAGCTGGGAGATCTAGCGGCGAGAAAGTTGGCTGTGAATGTATGTCTTGCGCTTTTTTTTTACCATATTTCTTCCCCCTCATCCCCCTGATTGAATGTCAAACCTATCCCTTGTCCTCGATTCTGTGTTCGCTGGACCCTATAGCTGTGTTTTATGTCCATATCATCTAATTTATCGTATCACGTCTAGATGAACTTTCCTGCAGGACTCAGGAGATTCGGCTGTGAAATGAGTTAATTAAGCCAGGTCTGAAACACGCAATGGCTGACATACTCGTAATTTGACTTGCGCAGAACAGTGATGGAAATATAGCCCACCTTAAGAATATCCGCTCGCTTGTCCAATTTCAACAAAGACCTCCACCCAACGAAGGTGAAAACGAGTTTTGAGTGATTCGATCAGAGCAGGTGCGGGTACACCGGCTGGAATGGAGAAGGGAAGCAAGGCAATTGATGAAGGAGATGCAAAATCTCTTCTACATTATGAATGTGATGGGGCCCAGAATCAGATCTACTTGAATGATCTTCTATATTAATCATTTCAAGCCTGTAAAGACGAGGTTTCTCTTCGAAACTAGTCCCGTACGCTAATTCCTTTTCTTCACTTTTTCTTTTTTCTAGGATGGAATGTTGGGGTGTTTTACTTTTCTCCCCCCTTTTTGGCTTGCCTCTCCAATTTTCATCTTCATCCTATGATCCATCTATCACTCCACCGCGTCCTTTTCCACAATTCTATTATTTTTTTTCATATCTTCTGATATCCCTTCCCCTCCAACTTATATTATAACTTGCGCAAACCATGAAATTTGCCTTAGCCAGAACCAGAGAGAAATATTATTCTAAATACTCACACCTCAGAAATAACACCCTTTTCTCTTGCATTGATATTCATATGAATAAATGGCAGCTACATTTCCACTATTTCACCTTTCGAATTATCTTCGTATCTCTTTTTATTTACACTTCCCATTCTGCTCAAGTTAGAAACAAATTATTATAAAATAAGACTAGTCTCGCCTTTTCCTCAGTTACCAGCATTGTGTTGATTTCCAACATCCGAAATTGGGTCCACAATGCACACCCAACAGCTTTGTTAGCGGTATCTCTCCTTTTTTATTCTCCAGACTGATATTCAAGTTCCACAACAAATAAATTTCCCAGGTTGTATTCCAATTCGCTTTCTTTGTCTATCATTAAAACAAAAAAGAGTAGGCGTGCCCTGGGCCACAATTACTCCAAAGCGTAAATCTAAAAAAAAAAAAAAAAAAAAAAAAAAAAAAAAAAAAAAAATACGTTAGAAAATTGTTTGTGAAAATTAATGATAAGACTTCCTCGATCAACGAACATCTTTAATTTATAGTCTAGGCTCTAAAATACAGATACGAAGGACGATAGCTCCAGTGAAACATGGTATTCTCTTTCTCGTGAAAAAAAAAAAAAACAAAAACAAAAACAAAGGAGTAAAGAAAAGGAAGGCGTCAAGAGAAAAGGACTGACATACTGAACAATACATGGTGGTAACATAGGTTTAGAAATAGCTGTGCTGGAGAAAGTAACCAAGCTAGAAGAGTTTGAGCAGGTATCATGTTACAGGAAATATGTCTTGAGATAGAATGCGTGCACCAGCCAATTTCAAGGAAATACAAGATCATAAGTGTGTAAATAATGAAAAGGAACATCACGAAGTTCAGTTGATTTCAAAGTGCGGGGAAGGAAGAAATAGCCCCCTTCCGCTCCCCACCCCTGAGTCACTCCATCGAGAAAAAAAAAGGAAGCATCATTTATTCCTTTGTTACATGCGTATTCACCACGCACCCAGAAGCAAAGCTGTGCTATTCTTTATTCTTCCCAACAAACCGTATTATCAAAAAGAAGACAGTTAAAATAAGAAGATAATAAACATCGTTACAAGAAATCAGCAGCCCTCGCACGCCCACTGGGCAGTGGTGCTCTAACTGGAGACCGGGATCGAGAAACAGCCGGCGAAGGAGAACGTTTTCGTCCACCATCACGGCCCCAACGGCGATCACGTTGTGGATGCACACGTCGTGGTGGAGTCAACGAGCGCTGAGGAGATCGGGAACGAGAAAGGGATGTAGGAGACCGGCTATATCTGCGCCTAGAGCGCGGGGGTGGGGAAGCAGAACGTGACGGGGACCTGGATGGGCGTCTGTCCTTGCTCCGGCCTCTAATTGCTCTAGAGCGAGGCGGGGTTACAGATCTAGAAGGGGATCGTCGCCTGGCCCTATTCGGTTTGCGAGGTGGGGGGGATCGTGAGCGTGGCAAAGACAGAGAACTTCGCCGCCTTCCCCTGCTTGAGCGGGGTGGAGGGGATCGGGAGAGTGAGTAGCTTGTCGACCTGTGGCGAGTGTCCTTGGCACGTCCGCGACGGGGAGGGCTGATTGAGCGGGATGGAAAGCGTCCGCTACCTCTTCCGCTAGCGATTGCTTTCTGACCCCGCGAATCTGACCGCTTGCGTAGAGGAGATCGACGACGTACAGGAGAATATGAGACAGATCGAGATCTGTGGCTCGCAGGAGATAGCGACCGAGAGTATGGTGGTTGTCTATCCCGGCGCCTAGGTGGAGGTGTCCGTGAGCGGGATGGCGTAGAGCTATAGCTTCTGCTACTGCTTCTGCTAAGGCTTCTTCCTCGAGATGAGGGAGAGCGGGAGAACGAGATGGAGCGTCTTCGGCCACGAGAGGGTGAGCGAGAGCGAGAATACGAGCGCGACCTGGAAGAGCCAGTGTATGACGAGTAGCTTGAATATGAGCTGACTGATTCTGAGTCTGATTCTGCTGCTCGTGCAGGTAAGGCGGGAAAAGAAGGTTTAGGTAGATTCTTCAAATGCTCGCGCATCCCTTCTGTGAGGACACCCATACCAATACTAGTAAAGTAATTGATCGAGAAACGCGTGTTTCTTGGATTATCACTCGGGAACAAACCCTCAAAACTAGGTTGGAGTATATCATCCTTGAAAATTTCCTGCAGCTTCGCCATTCCAAGAACTTCGGCCAGTTCCTGGAATAGTATTTTAACAAAGATACGGCTACTAGATGTTGTCTCTTCTTCGTTGAGATGAATAATGGACAACGCATGCCAGCCAATCGCGTCCGAGCTGAGCATATGTCCAAAGAATTTCGCAATGTTCCGAAGACGGTTTGTTTCGTAGCGGTGGATCGTATCGTAATATTTGATGAAGGCCTCTTCGAACAGATCAGCCCAAAGACGGTTGAGTTTCGCAAAACGCTCCCCGATCAAGCCATAGAACTTGGAATAAGTCCGCTCCTGAGAGCAGCATTCGATGATCATGGACGGCAACTCCGACTCCTGTCCCGGTGGCAAAGTGATCTTCATGAGTTTGTGGCAGCATTCTTCAAAGTCAATACTCGACATAATAGTTAAATAGATCGTCCTCCTGAGGTTAACAAGATCGGTATTGCTCTGATCCTTAATGTCCATCTGCTGGTCTTTCTCGTCTTCCTCATCCTCATCGGAGCTTTCATCCGATTCACCCTCGTCCCCGTCTTCGTCATCACTCCCTTCGCCCAGAATCTCGGCTTTTAACTTCTTATATGCATTTTCATGTTCCTCCCACTGAGCATCATACTTAAATATATTCAGACCATCTTGGACATCGATTTCATCATCAAGACTAATGCGATGCGTGATCTGGTCTTCCTCCTCGACGAGATCGAGCTCTTCCTTGATAGCAGGGTTATCTTTGTAATGATCCTTTCGGACCTGGAATAGAACTTCGATCATATATTGAACACGCTTGTCAATATCCGCCTCGTGAAGTATGTTTCTGAACTGGTCAAACACAGCCAGCGCGATTGGCCCTCCCATTTCCTCCAAGTATTGTCCGACCTCCCTAGTAAGGCCAACAGCAATCTCCACACTATCATCCGTAGGTTTGTGTAGCAAAAGCAGAAGGATTTGAGCAGCTACCATTTCATGTGCCACCTGTTGATTACACAAGTGGGCAATAAAGGTGGTCGACGAGATGCAAACGGCTTTGTCATTTCGCTTGAAGGCCTTGCGGAACTGGACTATGAGCCGATTTAGCAAAAGCTCTCCCACCTGCGGAAGTTTTGTGTTGACAATCGCGGCCATGGCTGCATATATTGGCGTAAACGGCAAACTAGCAGCCTGAGCTTTCATAATACTTCGGCAAAAGAGACCTCTTCCGCGAACGAGATTCTCTCCAAAAAGCTCAGGAACGATAAATTTGATGTTCGAAACGTTGACTTTGTTGATCAAACCGTTAATGGATTTCTTCAGGGCCTCCCATGACATCCGCTGATACTCCTTGCTCGTCTTATCAGTGATCTGAGCTTGCAGTGCTCTAAGTTTCGCCGGAGGAATGTAAGTTCCACCAGAGCGCATATTCAGCAGTTTTTCATATTCCGCCTTCGCAGCAGCTTGCTTCTCTTCTTCGGTCAGGGGCTTCGCAGGAGCTTCTCGTATTCGAAGCCGTTCGGTGAGCTGATGTTCTCTCTCCATATGACTGTTTGACTCGCCATGAGGAAAGTCAGGCCCTCCACGAGACGTCCCGTTTGGAGGAGAACGACGTCGGTCAGGTGAAGGGGATCGGGATGGTGGTGACCGTTTTCGAGTCCCAGAAGGCTGGGGAGAGTAGGACGCGCCCGGTGGGGGAGTAGGCAGACGAACTGCTGACTGTAGCATCACCGGATCTTCCATTTCGAGCAGGACGTGATGCGGTTTGTCGTTACTTCCAAGTCATATTAAGATATTGTAACCACTTGCGTGGCTGGAAGTGTTTGCTGGGATGAATGCTTGTTCAAAATGGCAGAAAAAAACGGTATGATGGTTTTAGCGCCTGAATCCATCACGTGATATACAATGATTCCAGACTGTTATTTTGCCCACCGCGACTCAATCAGGAGGAAGCCGGTGAGAATTTGACCTTTCTCACCCTGATTACTATTCAGCAATTAGCAACGTTGATTTTCTTGATAGCTCTTTCTTTTTCAACCCTATTTAGGGATTAACCTGCTACCTCACTCAATCCCCGGACCTGAGCTACCTCTACTCCTCGCAGTGATGGTGATTTTTCATTCCTTACTCTGTAAAGAATCAAAAATTTGCTAATTGTTCATACACAAACAGTTTGGACGACTTATTGGATTGGCCATGCTTTTAGTGGCAACTGCTGTTTACCTTTACTACACGGCATGGACTCTACTCATGGTATGATGAATAATTTCACCACTTTTCTCGAGCCGCAAACGCAGAAAGAAAAAAAGGGGGATGAGGTCGCGCAGCGCAACGAAGTTGCCAGATGAAAATGTCTTCTGACCAACTTTCTCGATTGTCAAATATAGCCCTTTGTCGATGACGGCCACCCACTCCATGACCTCTTCCCACCCCGTGTCTGGGCAATCCGTATTCCCGTTATCCTGACGCTACTCGGATCTGCGGTCGTGGGTTCATTCCTAGGTGTTGTTATGATTCGAAGTAATCGGAAAAAGGCTGCCAAAGCGAAGGCAGCATCGAAGAAGAAAGCTTGACGCCTGGACCCTATTTCTATTATCTGTTATATGCTCTTCTATTCCACCTATGGCCAGGGTTTGATACAAGACAAGCGAACAGGGTGAGGTGGAGCATGCAGTCAGGCCAAATATCCCCCGCGGCGCTGGAGTAAGCCGTGTTCTAGTGCCGTTATATACGTTAACAATGCGACTTTATTCGAGCATAATCGTCCTACAAAGAGATTTCGATAATTGGCGTGTGATATTCATCATTGCTCAGGCTTTCACACATTCATAGTCGGATTTATCCGCCTCGAAATATTGGGGGTGTTCATAAGGCTCCTTTTCTGTGACAAGACACTGACGGATCAGAAATAACATATCCGCAATGTCTCAAATAGCTTCGGGGCCTGGAACAGAACATCAAATACAACCAAAGATCAAGGGCGAAGATGTCATCCAGTCAGCCGTTTTCCAGACCGTAATGGAATGATAATTTTTTAAAGAGATGATATGTATTAGTTATTTAGACTTGCGGCCACTTATTCCAATGAGACAGGCAGCACACTCCTCGCTTTATCATGTCATGCAATCAATAGACCCGATGTACCATACAGATGATCAAGATGGATTCATCTATCCTAGTCACATGATTGAGATTACGGGTCATTCAAACGTCAAAATGTTTTTTGGAGCTGGTTTTTTCGAAGAAACATCTTACTGATTCTTAAAATTCCAAAAGAAAAAAAAAGGAAGGAAACTTGGATCGTGTACGGAGTAGAGGGACGAATAATCCTCAGTTTGAGTACCCCAGAGAAACAGGATTCAGACAACTATTTTGCAAAAGATAACGAATAGGATACGTACAAAATACATGGTCGAATTCGAAACAGGTGTACAGTCCTTTCCTGTGTTCCCTAATGTATGCCTGATGTTTTTTTTTTTTTCAGCGAACACTCCTAGGTGTAACCTCAGGGATGCTGTTCTCACGATCTGCCACGAAAACCAGGATTTGAAGAATAAGAAATACCACAAGCACCATAACCAAACATTGGCCCTACACAACCTAGGTGCATCGGATCGCCTGGTATACGTCTTGTGCAAGTAAGTCTGGTAAATGTACTGTGTCCAGCAGCTAACAATCAGCAGGTGACGTAGAGCACATGACTTGAACTATTTGCCTGCCTTGGCACTTCATCCATTTGCCTTGTTTGCACTGTTTGTAGTCGGCCAGATTGCTTACCTAACTATTATTTTCCATGACGCGCCGTCATCCACAGCCAATCACAGGTGCCATCCTCTCACCTGGCTGGATGTGTCATCGTTGCCCCTCTTGTCGCTCCTTCCTGACTCTCCTATCTACAGACCTACAACCACGCTTACAACTCGCTTTCTATCAAACCAGCTACTTTGATAATAATTTATGGAACTATCCCGCTACATCTACCAGCAGCTTGTTCGTGTCTACTGAACCTACTTGTCATCTGTGAACATTTCCTTATAGAAACAAGCAGCTTGCTCTGGAAGCTCTGTTCCTCCCATCTCCTTCCACCTCTTGATCCTCCTCTCACCTGTCTGTGTACACCTTACTGCCTCACGGCTTCTTGTTCTATAGCTATCTTGTGTTTATTTACGGCGGTATCTGGCATATCTGGAATATAACCCTGCTACTTATTCGTCATATCCGTCCCCATACCATCCTTGACTGTTCCTATCATTCATTCGTCTTCTCAAATTCACAGACCGTCGATCGCCATCCTGGATCCCCTGCCTACCAAGTCTCCTTAAAAATACGAGGACCACAGAAGAAGTGATTCACTTCTTCGCATCGACTTCTACGTACTTCTCCAGGATTTCCTGCGCATTTCACGGCCCTTCAGTGGCCACCTCCTATCATTTTTTGGATGCCCCCAGCGTCTAACCCCTCACGCCAGCAAAGTCGGTCCCCGGCGGCCAAGTCACCGTTGTCACAGCAGCTCACAGCTCCAACTCAATCAGGCCTTAGCCGTCAATCTAAGAAAAAGAGAAGAAATGTTGCGGAGCGAGAGGATGGGGCCGCCAAAACTGAAACGCAGGCGCATCCAGATAGCCAGTACGTGACCAGTTCCTCCGCTGCTTTGTGGTGTCGTTAGCCCCAGTTCTTTCCATTTCCTCTGCAATTCTCGTAACTTAGTACGAGTCAGCATAGAATTTATGTATCTAACGGCCATATACTCCACTTCTATAGAAGCGCGTTCTCCCCAGCCTTGGAGCCGGAAGATATCACCCTCGATTCTCAGAATGCTGCCGTGCAGCAACATCTAGCCCACGTCAATTCTCCAATCTTGGATACTTTAAACTCGTTGAGTGGCCATGATAATAGTGATACCGTCCATCGAACTGATTCCTGGGCTAAGTCCATTCCGTTTGGAAAAAGCCCACCCAATGATCTGATGGATGGGCTGAGCATAAGCGCATCACCACCAAATTTTGCCTCACTTGGGGAAAAAGGGGGTTTCAGCCATAGCCCTTCACCAGCCTCACCACCGATGGGGAAGCCTCGGCCCTTGAGCTATGGAAATGGCCACCCGAATTCTACGCCGGCAAGGTATCAATCTGTGGATAGACAACGGTCGTCCAGTAGTCATCACATGCACCAAATTCCATTGCCTCATCTACCACAACCACATTTTTATTCCGCGCCCGACATCGACATACCGCATTTCCCAAGTCCCAGTATGCGACCCGCAGGGGAAGGTGGCTATACTTTCTGTTGCTTTGATGCGATTTCGAATCCACATTCAAAATCAAGTAATAAATTTGGTGGCAATGTCATGTTGATTGGGAGTGATGGGTATTTGGACGTGCTTAATGTTGAAGGCGATAAAGCTAGAGTAGTCGGGAAGCTCGATGGACTAAATGGAAGAGTACTAGACGCCAAAATTCTAACATGGGCGTCTAGGGTTGATCCTTTCGCAACATATCGGCCACTCATTGCGATATCTATACACGGGCCCGCTCAGACAGTCGACGATGGCGGCACCTCGTCTTCCGCGGATTCGGATCAGGTCGAAATAGTACCAGCAGTACCGAACCCACGGTCAAGGCGTGATGATCCCCTACAAGTGCAGACTCGAGTTCAAGTCTACTCCCTCAAAACACAGGAGCACATAACAACGCTCTATTCAACAAAACCTGTGCCCTGTTACGATCCCTTTCCTGGCTTGCCGATGTCCGCTTCGTCACCCGTTGGAAACCTGAAAATATATGCAAGTGGAAATTTTGCTGTTATCGCTTCTGGCACGAGTGGCGAGGTTTTCATTTATAGTATTATCTCCCAGTCGTCGCGCGGTTTTTTTCAGTGCCTTGGAAAAACTTGGACTAGTATGCAGTGGAAAGATGTCCGCAGGTATTCTAGCTCGTCGAACTCGACAAATGACCTGGACGATTTCCAATCTGATACTAGCCGACCTTCAACCAATTTAGACACTCCAATTTTATCTCTTAGTGGTCGATGGCTAGCTGTTGTTCCACCGTCTGCCTCACGCCGAGTTTCCCTCCACGGAACCATTCCCTCGCATTTAATCCAGAAGAAAACTTATGGATTAGATAGTCATACCCCTCCTTCTCGTCCTTCAATCTCGTGTGGGGTTGACTCTGGGGAAGGAGAGAGCCTCCTCAATAAGGTTGCAAGAGGAGTCACACAAGAAATTTTCAAAGGTGCTCGATGGATCGGAGATCAAAGTGTCCAAACCTGGAATAGCTACTGGAATAAAGACGCTCAGTTAACGCATGCGACTCCTTCTCGTCGCTCTCACCAATTTGAAGCGCAAACCGGGCACAATATTCTTCCGCCAACGCATGCGCCTGATACTCAATCAGGCTTGGTTGGCGAACCCGATCTTGTGTCCATCATTGATTTGAAGAAATGTGAAGAAGCCCATGATATTAAATCGGGATTTCCTACCCCCATTGCCACATTCCAACCACCTAATGGATGCAGCTTTCTTTCCTTCGCACCTAACGGTCTCATGCTGCTAACTGCCAGTAAAAAGGGGGACATACAGCATATTTGGGACCTCATGCAGGTAAAGCACTGCAGATCTAGGGCATTTATATCGGATGATCCAACTTCAAACGCAGTGGCTTCCAATCCTCCGGCTCTTCATGTGCGACAAGTCGCGAGATATGCCCGACTGACGACGTCAAGTATTGTTGATATTGTATGGACTGCTCCCACGGGAGAGCGCTTAGCGATTATCACTAAGAAAGGCACTGTTCACGTCTATGACCTTCCACGGGCTGCATTCCAATGGCCACCTCTCCGCCGAGTTGCGCCCTCTAAGATGAACCAAAAGGATACTTCAGCTATTGAAGACCATGAAGAGGCTCCTCCAGGTAACCCGTTCTCTGCCGCCATAAAACTTGTTGGTGGCACAACCCAGCCTATTCTTGCAGCTGTACGAGGTCGTGCGCCGAGCGTCGGAGCAGCTTTCCAAGGTGGCGCAGGGGCATTCGGCATTTCGGCTGCAACGGGAGTTCGTGGTGGTGGTAAGGCTGTCGCTGCTGGTTTGAGTAAGTCAATGGGCGCGGCAACCGGAACTATGAACACACTTCGACGTGTGGGCGAAAACCGCCTGCATCTCTCTGCCTTTTCCAGAGACACTGCTCGTTCTCGAGTCACTTGGCTTGGTACAGAAGACGAACCCTTCTTAGGTGTCATTGACGGCGGCAAGTTTACAGCATACAGAGTCCGACGGAGTTCTTCAGCTGGAAAGAATAAACAAAACCACTCCGTTATTGGAAGCAAATTAGCGGATATCCGGTTACCAGCTAATGCTCAGTTGCCCAGCGGTCCCGAGCAGGCATTGCCCATGCCGATCGAAACTCAAGTTTCCGGGTTCTGGTCTTTGTCCTCACCTACACTCGTACGACGGTCGAGTGGCAAGCTTAAATCACAGCCACTTTCCCAGGCTGAAATTGAAGCCAATGCACCGTATCAGCCATTCCATACCGACCGCAGAGTAAACCTCATGGTTTATCCTACCAGCTATGAGGAGAAGGTTGTCATGCTGACACAACAACCATGGGTTTTTGGGGACGATATCCCTTCGATAAAGCTCAATTTACGCCCGGCCACCCATAGCGATGACGATGGCAAAGATAATATCGATATCGGACGCAACGCTGGTCCTGGTGAGATAGAGAATTTGATCAGTCTTGGAAACGCTGGAGATAATGTTGAGCATGTAGTGATTACAACTCGAAGGAAGAAGCGGGCGACAGCTTCATCCTCTACCATCGGTTGTGCTGCCACAGCTGATGAGGATGGCTTCTTCGAGGATGACTGTGATGTTTTAGATTTCGCACGAGATCGAGTGTGATACAAATACTCCTTTAGGTGTAAATCATCTCCTTTGTTTGGCTGTTTATTTGTTCTCTACCGCACTCTTCCTTATTTCCTCATTTAATTAACTATATATTTTTCTTTCGACTCCCTCATTCTTCAGGCTGTCAATTCATTACGATATCAGGACCCGGTGTCCATTATCTTTACACCATGCATTTCCCTTTGTTTTACGCCTTGTCCCTCAACTCTTTTGCATGTAGGAGGATAGATTCGATCCTGGTGTTTAAAGGTCCTCCATTCGTATTTTCATTCAATTGGCATCGGCGTTCTTGAGAGGACATACCCCCAGTTTACAAACATGGCCCTGTGGAGTTAAACCCATCCTATTTTTAAATTATCTTTTGGATGCGACGCATGTAGATTTTCGGCCCCCTCTCTTTCTTCTATCTTCCTCTGCCTCAAAGCTGCGCAACGCACATCACATTCACTACCAGGAACCTGTCTACAGTGATTTTATGTGTTCTTTCGTTCTTCCCACCTCCCTCTCCTTATTTTGAGAGATTACTTGCGCAAAGTGAACCTATATATCTATGAGTCTTCCCCACGTCCTTTAGTTGAAGGCGTTACTGTTTTGACCTTCACTTTTTTCACCATCAGACAGATATAACCCCAGCCGAACATCGCTTGATTGCTAGCCTCATTCCCCCTCAGCACGTCGATTTTGCTTTGTCAAATTCTTGACCAGCCTCGTCTCCGACAAGGAGATAGGTGGCTAGTCCCCCCCGTTTTCGGATACCATACAGGCAGGAATTTTGCAGGGTGATATGGGAGCAGGGAAATTATATGCTGGATGTCTATATATGAATGTTTCTCCGCACATATATAATTAGATATACTTACATTGGTTGCCTTGTTTGTTTTCAAGAACATGCTGCATAGTCATCTGGGGATGTTTGGTCTCGTCTACTTGAGATATATCCAAGATCAGTACTAGTATAGTACTATCATCAAACAGCATACCCCATGAATTCATATGGAAATCCTAGTGAAAGGGAGAATAAGGATTGATTTTCTTTCCGCTGAAAACGGAGTAAATTGGTACTATACATACTTTGAGAAACGACAGAAGGCCGTTGATTTTGACTTCACGCGCAAATTTTGGAATGAAAAGCATCAAAAATAATCTGCATTCATCGAACATCCCCATCCCTTCCTCTGTTCTCCCCAACCCACCACTTCCTAAACTCCCTCAACCTCACCGTCATCACCCTAGCTATCGCCCTCCCAGATTCCGTCTTCATCATCCTCTCCAACCTCTGCAATTTCGCTCCAAAATGCTTAATCGTCTCGTCCAACTCCCAGCTCCCCTGACCCGGCCCCTTAGCGCCCAAGAACGTAAAACAACGCGCAATCCCCACTGCACCCAGGGCATCCAGCCTATCTGCATTCCTGCACGATAGCTAGCTCCGGATACCCTTCCTCAAAAAATGAGGCGGCAGATTACAGCCGGGTCCTTCATTTCCGTGGAGAAGGAGACGTTTCGAAACTACCTTTTGGACGCTGGCGGCCGGGGAGGGATCTGCGCCGTTGGAGAGGAGCGCGTCGTAAACGACGTTGGTGCTCGCAGGAGTGCTGCTGGTAGGTGAGGGGAGAAATGAGAATACTTCCTATCCCCGATGTCATTGGAGTAGGCCCGCCAGGGTTATGACGGCGTCATTGTATGGGGTTGTGGTGGGTGAGGAGGTCGAGGATTGGGGCCTGTTTTGCGCGCTCGGAGGCCAGGAGCTTATGCGCGAGGTGCACGACGCGGTGGATGTGGCGGCGGGTTGTAGGATGGGTCATGGTTGCGCATGCATTGGGTTATATATGTGGTCATGCGGTTGATGAGAATGTAGGTGCTGGTGGTGCTGGTGTTACCAGTGGCGATGGGGAATGTATTGTACCTGCATGCTTCCGTATGATGGGTATGGCCGCGTTGGGTGGAAGGGGATCCATTGTATTGGCTTTACCTGCTTGTTTGTGGAACGGTGGCTGCGCGTGGGTGGGAGATGATTACAGGAGGTAGGAATTGGAGCTTTGGGAACGGGGTTGGAAGGTCCTCTAGCAGGGTAGGTATATTTACTACCTAAAACGGCTGTATTCGAGGTAAAACATATTCAGAAGATGGACGATGGCAAATTTCGGTATTCTAGGCTAGCTAGCTAGCTTTTAAGCAATAGGCTAGTTTTGACTGCATGTAATTTTTGTTTAATCTGTAAATATTGCATGCTATTGCCTAAAAGAAGCGCTAGCAGCCAGATACATGGCGCGGTGCAGCAGGTGGATGATGCAAAAAATATAGATGGCATCAATATATAACTAACTAGTGGAAGATGAAATTAAAATCATTCTGTGGAGACAAACTTGGCAAGTACTTGCTGATAAACAAACAGATAATGACTTACATCTGCCCATTAGCTCAGAGCATTGGATTGGTGGACTTCATTTACAATTTCAGGAACCAAGTTTAAGATAACGCAGCTGGTATGGCATTATTTTTGAATGTATTTAAAATGGCTGGTTTTATATGTGCAGGCAGGGCATGTAACGAGTTAAATTGTTATCAAATTTCATGGTAAACAGGCCAAAGACATTATTACATATCATGCGAGCCCCATTTCTACCAATAAAGTAAAAGGGAAGATGGTATGACAATTAATTTCCCGCATGAACACAAAAAGGGTGGTTAATTATTCAAACAGTCAATCAATAGACAAACATGAGAATGTGAAACATAGCATTCGCTTGTTGAAGAGGAAGCATTCCGCGCCCTGTCCAACACCATTAAAATCGCCCGTTGTTTCCCAAGTAATTAATGGCTCCTTACAACCCGAGGGCTGTTCCAGGTTGTAGTGCAATGCTCTTTTCGGATGCATTGGACGCACTTACAACGCCAAAGCAGCCATGAGGAGACCGATGATACCAGCAGCAGAGGATCCGAGTTGGGCGTTATTGGCAGCCGCACCAGCGGATGGAGATGCAGAAGAGGTAGCGCCAGTCTGGCTAGCACCAGTCTGGCTACCATTGCCAGTTGTCTCACCACCTATTTACATCATTAGTATCCCCTACCAAAGCAGGATGCAAAACATTATTACTGGGGAGGGAGCCAGCAGAAACTCCATGACCCATCGCAATATTAAAAATATAAATGAAATCATCTTACCGGAGCCCGATGAACCAGTTGGGGTGCCAGCAGTTCCGGTAGGGTTTGGCATGGCTGCGGTGGCACTGAAGAAGTGTTGTTTGATACAACTTCCTACACACTGAGCATATTTTTCCGTGGCTCCAGGAGATCCGTCGCCTTTGGGGCATTTTGCTGTGCACGCGGTGGTGTCGTTGGCCATGGCGTTATTGGGGCAGGGGACTTTGAAGCAGTCCGCTTTGCAGCACACATCCGAGTCGGCACCTAGAGTTGGAAGCAATTAGTACGATCTCAAGGACCATTTGTAACAATTGCACATACATTTATTAGCACACAAAACAGAGGGAGGAAGTGGAGCCTGTGACTGTTGCGGCTGGGAATCTTGTGGCATGGCGGAGACACAAGCAAGGAGGCCAGCAAGGGCGAAGATGGTGAAAGCCTTCATTCTGGCGGGTTGCTCGACAATAAAGTAAGATAAAAGCTCTTAAAAGAGAGTAAAGAATTGATTAAAAATAGATAGAAAGAACGCAGGAATGTAAAGAACAATTTGGAGTTGGAAGACGGCAAAAGAGTGTATAGATTTTTGTTCTGGGGGAAAAGAGCAGAAGAGAGGAGGAAGAAAAGTCCGGGGGCCCCTGTTTTCGATTTGACTCAAGCTCTTGTTTTATATGATGCGGGTCGGGGGACGGGGGGAACAACCCAGCAACACCCATCCTTCATGGCAGCCAGCCAGGAATCAGCGCTGGATCTCCGATTCAAGCTTGTTCCTGGGGAGCTCCACTGGCGCCGTTCTTGCTGTCCCAACCCCTGAAAGCCTGCTAGCTCCTGCGACGGAGAGCCAATGGCCTTGCGGTGGCGTCTGTGACCAGCAAACCTTGACCCAATGTCTGGCGAAAAACCTGATAGCTCACCATGTTTGAACCAGTGGAACCACCCAATTCGGCACGCCGAGCCTGGTGCAAGTGCAAGAAAGCGAGAGGCTGACACAAAACAATTCTCGCTTCGAGGTCTCCAGACCTGTATTCTGTCACTGTCTCCTGGGGAAATCCACGAATTCCAGAAACCTCTTCTCTCTGCCTTGAGTTTCTGTTGTTTCATCGACTTTGCCACCGGATCCGTCACAGGTGTTTTAAAACACTGTTTGTTAAGGCTTAAGGGTGTCATGCTCTTCTCGTCTTCCAACTTCCCAAGGGTCAACCCTGGGAGGTTGGTCGTCTCATGGACTTTTGGTGGTTGAAAGCGCTCTGGAGGATGTTCGGCCTCGTTCCCATCGCTCATTTGCTAAGCAGGGTGTAATTTACTACTTCCAATTCCCTTAATATGATTCATTTTTCCCATGCTTTACGGAGTAAATCGGGAGGACCCGCCAAAACTACGCATTGTTAGTCCCATCCCAGGGTATTGGGGCCAGCTTCCAGACATCTTGATCACGTGGATGCGCGTTGCGCCACTGCTCAGTTGCCTCGACGCGGCGGCTCCAAACCTCGAAATGTCACCTCGAACGTCACTTCGAAGGCAAACCGAACGACGCTGACATCGTTTTGGAGCCCGGCAAAAACGGAGCCGATAATAGATATGGTTCCGTCTGGCTCTTAGGGCATTTCGTTATTTATCCCGTACTCTTGTGTTTCTGTTTTAAACCCACAGTACAATGTCGAGTAGTGAATTCAGCGACTTCGATGATGATGACATCCTCCCTGTTGTTAATGACGCCACTTCCGCTGATTTTTCAGCTGCCAGTTCTGACAGCTCTCGAGCCCCGAAACGAAGACGGTTGAGCCATTCCCAGACAAGTGACAAAAGAGACGCTCGCACTTCTTGGGGTACCCTCAGCGGAACGGGGCACGAGAGCGGCCATGAATCAGGCCAAAGCCAAGACACTCTGCCATCGCTTCATCGAGCACCGGTTGCCAGGCACAGGGATGAAATTAATACAAAGCCAACCGGTCCAAAGTACAAAATATATCAGCCAAAACACCCCCGTGCCCAAGAACCGACTTTCGTTACTCAGTTGACCCAACCTCCATCGAGCCCATCGATAATCCGTGGACCTCGGTGGAAGAAGCCTGGCCCAGAGGACCTTGCTGTAAAACGTGCTCCAACTCCCGTCATTGACAGGAGTCGGAATATTCCGGAGACAAACAATAACGATATGGATGGGGATTTAAGAGTTGCCATTGCCGCATCTCTGGAATCTTTTCGAAGAGAAAACAAAGGAGACATGGGACCATGTCCTAATCCTAAAGAACGAAAAAGTCCCGTCTCATCCAATTCTAATTTTGGGCCTCAGGATGCGTTTTTTGATATTGGAGATATCCCTGAAGACGCCTTCGACTCTTCCCTGGATTCATCGTCTGGTTCGCCCCAAAAGACTCCCGTTTTAGTTCCATCGTCCCAGCCTTTTCCTTCTCAATCCTCATTCCGTCGACAAGGTAGTTCTCAGCAGAAAAATTTGCGGCAGATGACATTATTTGGTGGGCCTTCTCAGACTATCAAGCCGTCATCATCGTCACAATCCATCTCACACAACTGGCCCTTCGTAAGCCGTAACGAACCTCCAACACATCACAGACTAGATTCTACTGCCATAAAATCTTGGGTATATCCAACAAACTTAGGCAAGAAAAGAGAATACCAATTTAACATTACCCAACGCGCTCTGTTTCACAATTTACTCGTGGCGCTTCCGACTGGCCTTGGGAAAACATTCATTGCCGCTACCGTCATGTTGAATTGGTTTCGGTGGACTACAGACGCCCAGATAGTTTTCGTTGCTCCAACAAAACCACTGGTCTCCCAGCAAATTGTCGCATGTTTCGGTATTGCGGGGATACCTCGGTCACAAACTGTGATGCTTACTGGGAGTACAGGGCCAGCAATACGTGCTGCGGAATGGCAGAGCAAGCGGGTTTTCTTCATGACACCTCAAACTCTTGTTAACGATCTTAAAAATGGACATGCGGATCCGAAACGGATTGTCCTACTTGTCATTGACGAGGCCCACCGTGCCACTGGTGGCTATGCCTACGTTGAAGTGGTGAAATTTCTCCAACAATACAATACCAGTTTTAGGGTCCTTGCGTTAACAGCAACTCCCGGGTCATCGGTGGAAGCTGTCCAAGAAGTGATCGATGGCTTGAATATATCTAAAGTTGAGATACGAACGGAAGAGTCGCTTGACATTCGTGAATATGTTCATTCACGAAATATTGAAATTGAGACTTTTGATTACTCTGAAGATATGATCATGTGCATGGATTTATTCGGCAAGTCGTTGCAGCCCGTCCTGGATAAACTTCGAAGCCAGAATGCCCATTGGGCAAAGGACCCGATGACTCTTACCCCGTACGGGCTCACTGTTGCCAGGAAGGACTGGTTGAAGTCACCCGCTGGGAGGAATGCAAATAATGGGCTCAAGGGTATGGTACATGCCATTTTCTCGGTACTTTCGAGTTTGGCCCACGCAATAGACCTCCTGAAATACCACGGGATTGGGCCGTTCTACCGCAACCTCGTTTCATTTCAGAACGCTTTGGGTGCAGGCGGTAGTAAATACCAACGCCAAATCGTTGACGATGAGAATTTCAAAACGCTAATGCATCGGCTGAGGATGTGGACCAATAATGAAGACTTTATTGGGCACCCGAAACTGGAATTCCTAAAACGGGTCGTGTTGAACCATTTCATGGATGCGGAAAAAGATGGGGACGATTCCCTTGCAAATAGACATCCGTCAAGTACGCGAATAATGGTGTTTGCGCATTTTCGTGACAGTGCGGAAGAGATCGTGAGGGTATTGAAAAGACACGGTCCGATGATCCGTCCACATGTGTTTGTTGGGCAAGCGGCTGCGAAAGGATCAGGTGGGATGGACCAAAAGACACAACTCGATATCATCGAGAAATTCAAAGAGGGGACATATAACACAATTGTCGCTACCTCCGTCGGTGAAGAAGGCCTTGACATTGGCGAAGTTGACCTCATAGTGTGTTACGACTCTTCCGCCTCGCCCATCAGGATGTTACAAAGGATGGGTCGAACCGGAAGAAAAAGAAGAGGGAATATTGTCCTTCTTTTGATGAAAGGCAAGGAAGAAGACTCGTTCACAAAGGCAAAGGATAATTACGAGAAAATGCAACAGATGATAGCTAGTGGGGCTCGTTTTACGTTCCACGATGATAAGTCTCCACGAATACTTCCGCGAGATATACATCCTGCAGTGGATGAACGACAAATAGACATTCCAGTTGAAAACTCCCAGACCGATCTACCGGAACCCACCAAGCGAGCGAGAGTTCCTAAGCGGCTTCCCAAGAAATTTCACATGCCTGATGGTGTTGAAACGGGATTCACCAAGGCATCTCGTATCAGTGGCATGAAGGTGAGCCGCAAGGCTACTACTGAAAGGCTCCGCAAACCTCCTCCAAAAGTTGTGGAAATTTTTGACATCCCGCCATTGGATGAAGTTCTTCTTTCGAAGGACGAACGAAGAGAACTCGAACAAAGATATTGCAGTATCGGAGGTACGAGTCCTCAGTTTGTCTCCAGGCCACGAATTGATGCCTATCCGGAGTTTCAAAGATCTTACCGCCCAACAAAGTTTGTAAAGCACGGGGCCGTCACCTGCCGACTCGTAAAGGCTTTTCAAAATATGAATGCCTTGACAACCGACTGCGCGTACCATTTTAAAGCTCATCTACACCCAGATGACCTAACTGAGCAGTACGAAGCTGTAGCTTTGAAAGGCACTGGCCGAAGGAAACACCCTTCTTTTTTACGGGTCCACGAGAAATGCCCTGACCCGCCCGACCCTGATCGACAGATACACCATTTTAACAATGGGTCCCAGCCATTTTCTCCATTGATGCGTTCCCAATACTCGCCCCAGTGCCCACCGAAAGATCAATATCTCAGTTCTCAAGGTAGTGCAGGGGATGACCTTGAACTTCCTGATGTTGAAACGCTTTTCAACCAGCTTACTGGGAAGCGAACAGCGGAACATGAGCAACAAAGTCCGTCAAGAGGCACACGGGGGAAGCTGTGTATAGTTAGCGATGACAGTGACGATTTTGATATTTAGAATTACCCTCGTCCTTGTTTTTGGCTGTGGTAATATACATCTACTTGGAAAAGAAATCGATATACATTCTATATGTTTGTTCCAATGGGCCTTATTCAATGAGGGTTTGGCTTTAGATTTTGTTTCTATAGTTGTACATGTACAAGAGTATATATTGCATCCAGATACCCAATAGAATGAATTCTGCGGATTGAACGATTAAAAATGGAGCTTCTTAGCTTGTCAGCTTTTTGTAAACAACCTTCCGGTTTTTGCCCCACGTACTTTTAATATTTAACTCTGTTGATCACCAAACCTTCGCGATCCCATCGGCTGCACAAACAGAGAGAGAGCTCCTTTTCTCCGCATCTTCCATATCCACTACACAACCCCTACAATCATGGCAGATACACAATTTGACAGTGCGCTGTAAGCATTGGATCTGTAACCATCATCACTTTTCCCCCTTCTGTTATCTCCGCTCGTTCGACCCTTCTACAACCTAACTACCCCGCCCTTTGAGGTACTAACCATCTTTTATCTCCCAGTGACCTCCTCCGCCGTCTCTCGCCGCGCGAAACCAAACAAAACCTCGAATACATCACCAGCCTCGTCCCCGATCTAACCGAAGACCTCCTCGCCTCTGTCGACCAGCCCCTCGAAATCCGCCGATGCGCTCAAACAAAGCGCGATTACCTGCTCTGCGACTACAACCGGGACGGTGACAGTTACCGCAGCCCTTGGAGCAATGAATTCGACCCACCAATTGAAGATGGGACTGTGCCCAGTGAGCGAGTGCGAAAGCTAGAGGTCGCAGCCAACGAGGCGTTTGATGTTTACCGGGAACTGTATTATGAGGGTGGGGTGGGGAGTGTATATTTTTGGGATTTGGACGATGGCTTTGCGGGCGTTGTTTTGTTGAAGAAAGGTGCGAGGCTTTTCTTGATCTGTTTCCCCCATCTTCGTTCGTGAGAGGGATTGTCCTCAGCATGCCCGGGCGGCTTATATTCAATGCACCCCCCACACCACACCACACCACACCACACCACACCACGCCAACCGACGGGCAGGACTTTTCGCCTATGCTGGATGGCTGGCTAACGAACTGTTTTCCTCCCAGCCATTACACCTGGCTCCAAAAACTCTGGCGCCTGGGATAGTATCCATGTCTTTGAGGCCACAGACCGTGCGCGGACATGTCACTATAAATTAACCAGCACAGTCATCCTACACCTATCAACGGGCTCAGAAGGGTTGGGAGAGCTAGACCTCAGTGGAAATATGACGAGACAGATTGAAGCAGACATGGCCGTCGACGGGGATGCTAGTCATGTCGCAAATGTGGGGCGGCTGGTTGAAGATATGGAGCTGAAGATGCGGAATCTTCTACGTACGCATGCCTTTTTCTTTGAGATTAGCTAACCTTACATCTAAACGATCCCAAGATTCTTTTCTTTTTTACTAATATCTGGACTTTGTTTGCAGAGGAGGTCTATTTTGGAAAAGCGAAGGATATTGTCTCCGATTTGAGAAGTGAGCGCTTGCCAATTATCTCCCTCCAACATCACTATATTCCTTCTGCTCCTGGGCTTGATTTTATTGCTTTCTGCTAACATATCGTCTTTCTTTCGGTAGGCATTCCACCCCTTTCTGAAACAAATAGAGATCAAGCTACCCATCGGGAGATGATCAATTCTATGAAGAGGTAGTATTATGGCTTTGTTCTTTTTGCTTATAGAAAAATACCAGCCACGGGAATCTCAGATGGCTGGGATTTTGCACCGGTATTGTCGTGCTTCTTTTTGGCGATGATGTGGATTGTATTTGTTACTTTATCTTGCTATCAGCTCTCCTATTTATTCTCGAATGAATGACAAGACATTTATGACCCTTTGCAGGTTAAAGAACCTGTACAATCTTCCGTTTCATTGCTTTACGACCAGGATCCTTATATCTATTCCAAAAAAGCCTCAGCAACCATGAGGAAATTGTAAGTCAGAGAGCCCATCAAGTATATCAGAAACCTACTGCGTAGGTTACGTTACCGCGGTTAGAAAACAAACCGGCGAAACTGTCTCCAACTAAACACATAATTGCTCCAGCCCAACACGGCATGCCTCTCAAACTTCATTGCCACCATACCGAGTAATTTGCACATCATATCCGTCCTATTGAGTCCACAGCATCTTACGCGACGAGATAATTTTCCCAGTCGTAGACACATGCGTATTCCTATTATATGTAGATAGGTAACATCATGAGTCTCCCAAAGAGTAATTCCTTCAGTTCCAATAGCGCAATCCATTTACAAGGGTGCGGCTTACTTGGGCGGGCCGATAAAGGACACCAGTGGGCTTAATGCCTCTTCCAAATGGTTTCAAGTTGATAACTTGATAATTGTAAACATCGTATGGCGCAATGGATGGCGAAGTCAATGGACGTAGAAGCCTCACTATATAGATGTAGCGTTGCGGGAGGTTGATTTATATTGCATTTCAGCCCAGAATTGAGCCCTGATGAGGCTTTAATCAACTCCCCGATTCATTTTCGGAAGGACCTTTAGCTTTCTCCAGTTGAGTAGCAAACTTGCTAGCTTCCGCCCACAGCTCTGCCTCCTTATCCTTTCCGACGGTATCCTTCCGGCTATTAAGCCAGCTGGTATCGAGAGGGTTAACGCCCCCAGACGAAGTAGCAGAGGCAGTAGTAGTAGTTCCTCCGGCAGTGACTTCAGCTGATTCAGGTTGGATGATAGACGCTTCCTCCAGAGCATACACCTGCCGTCGTAGTCGCACATCAATGGAGGAGAGTAGCGCAAAGTATTGGGAGCTTGCAGCTTTGAAAGCTGCTCGATGTGATTCTAAGGTCCCATCGATTTTGGGCAAATCGCTGGATGACTGTCCTGAGGTTACGGAAGGAGAATTGGTGAGTGAGCCGATCGCAACACCCGCTGCATTGAGAAGCTTTGCAACATCCTGCGAACTTATCGTCAGACCAGGTTAGAGTGCGGGGAGAGCAAATGGGAGGACAAACTTTGTCGATATCATTAAGTTCACGGATTCGATCAGCAGAGGTAAAGACACGGTCCGGCTCTTGGGGCTCCATGCTGTTTCTCGCCATACAATTGAGCGAGTGTCTAACTCGAGCTGATTGGAGATTTGTAGGTGAACGAAACTTGGAGATTTGGACTTCTGTAGGTAGTGATTATATAAGCGCATGTTGCGTCAAAACTAACCTGATTAGTAATAGTGCAATATCAGAACACCCAAACGCGATTTCAAGCTTTCCTTCATCAAACCAACTTCACTCACCACCATCGAATTCTAATGCCACACTTTTCTTAATTATCCAGCCCGCCCCGGAGCTTGGGAAAACTCATTGCAGTCATCTCGTCTTTTCATTATTCAGCGGATATGCCCCAATACTGTTGATATAGAAGCGGAAAATACCCAGCATGTCCGGTCCCGGAGCTCCCAGCCCGGGCCCCAGGAGCGCCAGCATGGGCCCAGGCGGCGGAGTGCCAATGTCCCAGCAACAGCAAGTAAATGGCGGCCCTCCTGCAGCAGCGAGTCCAGCGACCTCTGGCCCTCCATCAGGGGTCATGTCCCAGCAGAATTTGAATCAGATTGTAGGTCAAAAGCCTTCCCCCGCTGTCTTGTCACTTCTTCTTGCGCGGAGTACATAATCTGTACTTTATGTTCGTTGAACTTTCCATGCCTATTTGTCTTTCAGCTGAGGTCGTCTCTCCCCATTCTATATGCCATAAAAGTATATATCCTTCTGCCCTTTTGTTCCTAATGCTGTGTTCTTACTGAATCTTTGTTTCTCACCTCCTCACATTTTCTCAATTATCTTTCCTTTTCATGTGACAACATCTTGTTTCAAGATAACATTCAAGCATTTAATTCTGTGAGGTATCTCGTTGCCTGACATTCATTGTGTTTTTCGGGCCTGACATTTCTTGTTATGGAATGCAGAGATGAACCATTTTTGTGGTGAGCCTGAGTGTCATTCCAAAGGGCTATAAATGCTGGTTCCATACCTTTCTGCATCACATGTGGTTTCATTTTGGGCTAGACTTTCTACAACGTTCTCCTTGTCCACCCAGATCCTGTTATGATTATTTCCCTTTTTTGGAGCAAAAAAAATCTCTCTGGGCTACCAGACAGGCTCAAAGCAGTATGGACCCTCAAGGTCCTGAGCGTGTGCAACATGGAGACCCTTCTGTTGGAGATGCCCGCGGTCTTGTACTAGCAGTACGTGCTGCGCAGCTGTGGTGGCCTTGTTTGTGTCCGCAGCGTTTTCATTTATTATAATGGTTTATTTTGTTATTGTCCATGCGCTGTATCTAACAATTTCTGGCCATTTTTTGTTACAAGTGCAAACTAATTGTGTTTTTCCATGCTTTAGGTCATCGATTATTTGGCGAAAAAAGGTTACAGCAGAACGGAAGCAATGCTTCGAATGGAATCCGCGAACCAAGAAATCGATGGACGTCCACTTCCTCCTGCTAGCGAAGAATCGCGCCCAAAATTCAAGTTGGCATTTGGTATGTGTATTTCCATCAGCAGTTTCCTGGCTGGGGTTGCTTACTTACCTTCACAGATATGACAAGGAAATGGATCGAGGACAATTTGGATATTTATAAGGTATTGTCCCTCGACGAGTATATTTATAGAGCATTTTAACACAATTCGCAGCCGGAGCTCCGACGTGTCCTATGGCCTCTGTTTGTCTACTCATACCTTAATCTCATCACGTCCTTGGTACCACTGGAAGGTCGCCAGTTTTTCGAGACAAATAAAAGCTTGTTTCTTCCGGAACACAGTGAAGATATTCGCGCTTTAGAGCCAATAAGCCTCCCCGAGCATGTACAGGAGAATAGTGTCGCAAAGCTATACCGTAACAATAAATATCGCCTTACATTGAGCAATCCAGCCTTTTCAAACCTTATGCAGTTCCTGGAGAGTAAGCAGAAGGAGGGAGGAACTGTCATGTCAGCCATTCTGAGCAGCTATTGCACAATAATTACTAAGGACCGAGCGGCGGATGATCGGTTCAGCTTTGCTGCAATGCTGGGAAGAGCGAACGATTCTGCCGGGATTCCTGCGGAGGATGAAGGAATACCAGGGCACCACCCTGGATCCGCATATACGGGTGATAATCCTGCAATGGCAGGAACACTTCCCAGACTCAAGCTTGGAAAACTGCCGATGGAGCCACTCCTTGAAGGAGATGTAAGAGCAGAACTTGAAGAAGCAGACACAAAAGACCCTCCAACGGGAGGTCGCCCATCGCTTGTTCAACACTTTGAACAAATGATTAAAAAGGAAGAAGACGAGGAGGCTCCAACACGTGCTGAAATACCATATCCGCCATCTGTAGCCCGCGATGTCGCCATGGAAGTTCAAAAGGTCAAAGAAAACCGTGACAGATTCAAAATCGAAGGACGGACTGGGGGGGTTGGCCCCGCCATCAGTGTTTGCATGTTCACTTTTCACAATACTTACGATAGGTACGTTGACGGAAGCCCATGACTTCCTACTTACTTTCTGTAGGTACTCTAACCGTCTTCTAGCATCAATTGCATAGATTTCTCCGGCGACAGTATGTTGGTTGCCGCTGGAACCCAAGATTCTTATATCCGCGTTTGGAGTCTTGATGGTTTGCCGATCCCAGCAACATATCAAGAATTAGAAGACTCTCCGCCTACGAACTCCCATCGTCTCTTTGGTCATTCCGGACCGGTCTACGCGGTGGCATTTGCCCCCTCAATCGCCAGCCCGGAAGAGGAAGAAGTCAAAACGAATACGCGCTGGCTTCTCTCATCATCAGCCGATAAAACCATCCGTTTATGGTCACTTGATCTCTGGCAATGTATGGTAGTCTACAAGGGCCACGCACAGCCCGTGTGGGATATCGCTTGGGGTCCCTATGGCCATTACTTCATCTCTGGCAGTCATGATAAAACTGCACGCCTGTGGGTGACGGATCGAATACGACAGCAGCGAATATTCGCCGGACATGATCAAGACGTCGATTGTGTATGCTTCCACCCAAATTCAGCCTATGTTTTCACTGGTAGCTCCGACCATACCGTGCGCATGTGGGCCGTAACCACCGGAAACGCTGTTCGTATGTTTACGGGCCACACTGGCAACATTACCGCATTAGCGTGCAGCAACAATGGCAAGATTCTTGCCTCAGCTGATGATCACGGCTCCATCTTCTTGTGGGATCTAGCGCCCGGTAGACTCTTAAAGCGCATGCGTGGCCATGGGAAGGGTGGCATTTGGTCCCTTACCTGGAGTGCTGAGTCGGCAGTCCTTGTCTCGGGTGGCGCAGACGGCACTGTTCGTGTTTGGGACGTGGCAGGGCCAGCTCAGGATCCGTCCACCGGTCAAGGACGTGTGATAAGCGAAGGAGGTACGGGCACCAAGATCGATGCCGGAAACCCTACTGCCTCATCGAACGCTCAAGCCTCGGCTGCGGGTGTTCCAAGTGTTGGTACAAGCACAACGAAGAAGAAAAGCAAAGAGGTTGTCGTATCGCCTGACCAGATAAGTGCATTCCCTACCAAAAAGAGCCCTGTTTACAAAACACGGTTTACAGGAATGAATCTGGTCGTTGCGGGTGGCGCGTATATGCCATGAAGACAGCAGATATTGAGCATAATACGTGCCCCTTTTTCCTTGTTTTTTTCTTTGCCTACTTGCCAATGTTCGGATCCGTTCCGGGTTCGCATTTTATGTAGAATATTTCAACTACCCTTAGTGTTCTTGTTTTCTACATCTTTCATTTCTATTCCCGGTTATTGGCGCAAAGGCATACAATCAACGTTGGGCATGCCACTTTTTTTTTTCAAGGGGAAAGCGAAAACGGGAAAGGTAATTTGTTTTCATATGATATTTCCCTGGGGTTCTTCCTTGGCGCGGATGTGTCCATTTCTCCTCCTTTTTCCCACTCCTCCCACCCGGGAGATGTATCAATGCATTTAAACACTTGGTCCAAGGAGAGTGTAATTGGTCCAATGCTATTGCTGCGTGAGGCGTGCAAAATTAAAATTGACACTAGAACCGGTTGTTGCAGGTTGTGAACCCCCTCCCTGTGCAGATGCTGATACATTTAAGAGCTGCCTCGAGGACCCATAAAGTCAAGAGCTTCTAGTATGGTATGAAACGTAGGCAGTAACTCGGAGAGATTATAAATCCCGCCTATCTCCGTATATCGAAAGCAGAAATGTGCTTCATTAAAAGCACGCTGGCTCCAGGGAAACGGCAAGTGGGGGGAGAAAAAATACATTCATCCATTGATCCCAGAAAAATGACATCCGTTAATTCCGGGTAATCAGGGGGTTGACTTTTTCCAGTTGCTTGGCGGGAACCCGCTGTCATTCCCACCCCCAACTCCCTTCGCCATAGCCTGCGCCGCCAAGATATCACCGACTTTGGGCGGGAGAATGAGGGCGCTTCTGTCGTTCCGTTTGTAGAAGTCGACGAGGATCTGTGCTGTTTTTGCGGGCTGGTCTTCGTGGATAAAGTGTCCAGCTTCTGGGAGTACTTGGAGCTGATATTTGCCTGGGTTTGTTATGAAAATTTTCGAGCGAGTGATGTTTTAGTGTGCAAGTCATCATGCATGTAAAGGTGAAGAAGGCAAATGACACCTTGAGTTTGAGGTTTCAAGGGGTTTAAGAACATACCCTGCATCTGCCCAATAATAAGCTCGGTATCAAGGCGATCTGTTCCAGCCAGCAACAGCAGTTTGCCCCCGCGAGCTTGAAGGAACTTCTTGCTCAGGCCGATGAACCAATTCTCCCAAAACGGCTTCGTTGCTGCTAGATCTGTACGCCACTTCCACGGTCTGGAGCTATCGGATGGGTCTTCACGAAGTAGAGATGGCACAGACGCACGTGCGGACAAGGTATTGCGGATCGTTCGTGATCGAGTGCTTGCATTATTAGTTTTGATCAAGCTGATGAAACCTAATGGATCCTAATGGAACAGGTTTCTTTAAAATCCATGAGCGAGGAAGAGAGGAAACGATATGCACAACATACTGCCAATCGATCCCAGAAGATACAGAAGAGAAGCTAGACGGCCTGGTAGAAAGGTACGTCTCCATACTTTGAAGCGCATCCATCGCAGAACCTGAACTCATCAGCAAATTCCAGCAAAACATCGAAATTGATAATATCCCCCACCTTCAACAACATCTAAAACGGCATATGCCAGCAGCTTCGACCCAAGTTCGCCTTTGCTGGCAGCATCGGTGACCACAGCTCCGCCCAAACTGTGGCCAACTAAAACGACATCCGGGTGTGATTCCCAGTTCATCTTTATTCGAGTTTGCTCTATCACGAAGAGCAAATCACGAGACAAAGTGTCGAGGGTCAAATCCATCTCGACCTGTGAATTATTTTCAGCATCCTGAGACATTCTTACGGAGGTACTTCCATGGTGTCGCGCGTCTAGGGATAATATGCCAGCGGCAGGAAGAAGCTTTTTGATTTCCACCGCACAGGCAGCAAAAGAAAGGCCCGATGATCCAGCTCCATGGTGGGTGACAAACAAAGGACCGGAGTCTGAAGGCGCACTGATGTACACATGGTGGGTGATGTGCAAGCCATCGACATCCTCGTCCAGATACAGCTCACGGTCAAAAAAGTCCATCCATGATAATGGTGCGGCTTCTGCCCTTGAGGATGTTAACCTATTATTAAAACATATTAAAAATGATTTATTGAATAAAGGGAAAATAAAAATAAAAATAAATAAAAGCTAGTGACCGACAAAAATTGGGTTGGTATTCTAAACACCGGAAGGCGATAAATAGAGAAGGGGATACAAAACAGACGCCCACCTACCGAGACGAGCGCGCGAATAGGTTTTTGCTCGCGGATGGTATCACAGTCCCAGCGGAGGATGCTGATGAAGCTGAAGACGAATCATCATCTTGATGTTCATAATGCCTTGAGACGGCACTACCATCATGGTCATTTTCTCTATCCTCACTCGGGTCCTCAAACAAGGGCACCTCTGGGGGTAATCCAGCCAGTCGAGATTTTGCAAAAGATTTCTGAAGCTCGCTCATATCTAGCAAGGCTTTACGTATCGAGAGCGATCACGAGTGGCAGGATTCAGCAAGAGGCTGAGGAGGACATGGACGGCATGAGATTGGAAGATACGGGGTGCAGAGTACAGAGTAGATATATCAAAGCGTCAGCAACGTTAGGGTTTCTCCTACCACGTGGACGGCCGGTTTGGGCAGCGGCCGCCGCTTCGGGTCTAGTGCGTCCCGTTGGGGTCTGGCGCCGGCCCGTTCTGGCATAGCGTCGAGCCTTGCCACTTGATTGTCACGTGGTCGTTTACCTAGTATCACAAAATTGGCCGATACCCTGCTTCCCCTTTTACGTATACTACCAGTGATGACATGCGGGCAGGGTTGAATTGCCTTTATTTTGCCATGAATTTTAGGTTATCTTTATCATGAAACAGTACAGAACTAGCTAATTATAAAACTCGAAAGTTTCAAGTGACGGCAGAGCTGAAACCGCACAATCAACAACTGAACTTTGAGCAGGAGAAGGTATGGATAGCAAGGTTCTTCAAGGATCTAGTGCCAGAAGAGTTGGCAAAATCTGGAAGACGCTGGAGGGCTCCAAAAATCCCAAGCAGAAGACTGCGAAAATTTTGCTCGGGGTGTCCTCCAGCCAACAGGTATCCAGCCCGTTGACAGTCAAGGCGCTACCAGCTACACCCTTATGTATCTGAGCAAAGCAAAGATAATTCAATTCAGACTCAAGCCGCTCGATGAAGGCGTTTTAGACCCTTTCCCATAAAATCTATGGCGATTTGGCTCCCTCTATTACGGCACTCGACTATGTCTTGCTTGTTTACGTCTGCCCGGTGATTCCGGCGCGAGTGCATATTTTCCAAAAATCCCCTAAGGTAAGGGTGCATCCCCTTTACAGAGGCAGCTCACGACTGTTACCGAACACATGCAATTTGTGGCAAAATCCACTTTTCGGCCTCAGCTGGCATCAACATACTTCCCAGCATCCTGGACAAAAACTGCCAGAAGTACTCTGGACAAGTTGGTGCAGAGTGACGCCCTGAGGAAGATCGATCTGCGTCTCATTTCATAAACAAAGCATCTTCTCTGTTAGAGAGAGTTTCCCTTCTCAATAAGTTTCCGCCTGTCTTGACATATCACGACTTTGCAGAGGTCAACATCATGGTTGACTCACAAGTTTACGTAACAGGGGTGGTCGATTTTGATGCCACTCAAACAGAGGCCTTTGGTATGTGTATCTTTGGAGTGTACGAGAGCTTCTGTGATGTTATGAAGGATCAAAAGTGGAGTTTCTTCGATGAGCTCGCCGGAGATGGCTCCGAGCGAAACGTGAGGGATGTGCTTGAAACCGCATTCTGGATACAGTATGGGCTTCAGTACCGCTGGAGATGAGGAGGGAGGAATTTGAAGAGGCTGTTATAGTTGCGGTCGATATCGGCATAGTCAATCGATATTTCGTGAGGGGTTTGATCGAAGATGTGAATCTCGAAGGCGAGGATCATAGATCATCGCTTTAGTTCGCAAGGATTATCTTCTTGGAACGGTAGCATCCAGTGCCAGGCCATAAGTATTGGCAAACCCCAACACAATCACGATGCCTTTTGGTGGCAGAAAAGTAGTGATGGTTGCTAGTACTTATGGCCTAGTCAGTACAGAGAGAGTGTGTATTCATCTCCTGACCCGTCGCCTTCGGCGATATGCATGCTACCACTGAAGCTATCCCTAAATGGATCTATGGTTCCCTACACCCTGACGAATTTAGGACCTCGTCAAGGCCTGTGGTGGTCTAAGTCTGGTGGAATGCGGCCCTCCTGGAGCATGGCTTATAGATCTCTGACATTCTTCTGTGTGAAGTCCAGCACAGCAACAAGTGTACTGTCTTGCATGGCGTAATTAGACTCATCTTCTTTACCTTCTTGTTGTCCTTGTCCCCGTCCATGCCTCCAAGCACACACCATACTGTTAAAAGAAATCCTAAACTCTCCTCCGTAGTTTCTGACATCTTCTCGGAAACGGTGTAGTTTTCCGAGAGTTGCCAGCCATGAGTGTGCAGTCCGTAGTTGAGTTAGCAGAAGGCAGTGCTAAGTCTATCTGGCGGAGATGGCCACCTTCCTTTGATTTATTCCACTCATTCTCCCGTTCTCTTAGGATCTGACTGCAGTAGCATCTTGCAGAGAAGGGCAACGGCGAAGGGTAAATGTCATATTGACGTCAATAATAACGAATGATGATATGCCTGCTGCTGATACATCTGCATGCTGTTGGTTCTTGTAAAACATGCATTTTCAATGGGAATTTTTACCACTATACCAAAAGGATCAATCCTTAAGGAGAGAACCCAACTTAAAATATATTTGCATGTTTATATTTTTCACAGTTCTGTTTGACTGTTAGGCCACTTCACCTCGCAACACTGCTTCAAACAGTCAACATTTTCTGATAGGAAATGAAGGCACAACTGATCATTCACTGATCCTGATTGCTTTAGGGTCAACTACCAGGGTCACCATGGGTCAATAGACCAGCTCATCAAATACACCATCCTCATCGGTGTATTCTCTGACCACGATGTCAGCAAGGGGGTAGGAAAGGATCAGTTAGATGCGTAGCCGGCTGATCTCTAACTGCCTCTCATTTTTGGCCAAGAGGATGCCGACAAACTCGGCGAGATAGCCAAAGAACGTAGGATCTGTGGGCCTTTATTCGCGGCTGACGCCTTTCTCATCGGCAATCAGTGCTATTACCTGCCCTCAAGCCTATCTACGGGAGGAGTATGCTAGGATCTCACAACTCACATACCGTGATTGTGCCTCAATTAGAGGGACAATGCTACTGCCAGTAGTTCCCCTGCAAGCTTCGGATGGGTACCCTTTTGCTCATCCAGAGGGGTGGCGGTGAGAACGGAGAGCGCGTGAACGGGGTGAAGCGTGTGAAGCGTTAGCATTCTGCGGTGGAGCCAGGCCGACACAGAGCAAGAAAGTGGGCATCGTCTTTACCAGTAGATAACCAAGAGCTGCCTTGATGATGGAGCAAGTACAAATGGCTGCTGCCCGCAAGGCGATATTCGCGGAGTCGAGTTATCAAGTTGACAAACGTAATTTAAAAAAGAATGAAAAAAAGAATGAAAAAAAGCTAGTTTGATCTATGACGCCGGATGTTCCACGCCTCCGTCCATCAAACCACGCCGAATTCCAATTGCCTTTATATCAAGTGGTTCGCTAGACGTAAATGCACTACCATTATTTATTTATTTTATTACTAGCTCTAAAAAAAGGACGGATACTCCGGCTGTTTTTACAAACCTCAATCTCGCGGCAGGAGAATACAGGAGGATGCCGCAGTAGAGAATCGGGCATGGACTCTCTGCGCGCTGTAATGACCATCTTTGAAGGAACATGCTGCATGCCTGTATGGCCACCCGCAGGAATTTCAAAGACATTTGGAAGCGAGTTAAAACCCTGTCCTGTGTTAACAACGGGAACAACTTTATTTCGAGTCGGCCAGTGATGACCTCATCGCGCCCATGACGATATCAACGTGAAAAAGTGCAAACAGGGGACGAAAAACCGGTAAGTTCCTTCGCCACGGTCGAGGATTATTATATATCCAAAACAATGAGGCAGGCTTCGACCACTATATTATTATTGGTATTTTGGAACGAAATTGCAATTTCAAGGTCCCAGCGGAACTCCTGAATCCAGGCTCTTTTCCTCTCCTGTTCTTTCTCCCTCTTCCCACCTTTCCGTATGCGGCCCGGATTTTACAAAGCGAGACCGGTGTCTTGTAGTTAATATTTTCGGTTACAGCTTCCATTCCTTCCCCCCTTAATATTATCTCACTGCCCTGAGCTAAGGTGGTTTCTCATCATGTCTCCGCTATGGGGTTCACGCAACCATGAAGAGCCAGGCGCGGAAGAAGAACATGGTGAAAACGAAGCAACAGAAAGGAGGCAGCGAAGAGGTGAGCCAACGGAACGAACTCGGTTGCTGCCACAAGGGGTATACTTGGATCCCGATGACCCAGGAGTAAGGCCCAATTCTCTCCTCTAAAACCAATTACTTCCCCCCAAAAAAATAAAAATAAAAATAAAAATAAAAATAAAAATAACGGAAAAAGAAAGGGTTTTCAAAGCTGAACCACGAGTAGGTGTCTCCGTACAATCTCTGGAGTGTCCGGGCTCTACGAAGCCTCAACATCCTCTTCCTGATAATAACCCTTATCTGGTGGATTGTGCTGCTCGCGTCAACTTTCGTCAGTCCGCCAGGGATGAACAGCCGCGGTCCAGGCTTCCTCGATTTCTCCTTTGCCACCTTGACCATGGGCAACCTGCTAATTGCCCTGATATTCTTCTCCGTCCCGTCGAGGCCCATGACCATATGGGGTGCCGTGCTCTCCCTCTTCCTAGCAGTCAATTTGTTCATCATCGTCGGCGTGCGCCGTCTCCGTATCGAGGAGGGATGGGTGGGTATTGCCTCCGCCACGTGGGCGACGGTGGTTAGCCTTTATTTGTTAGCCCAGACCCGCTTCGTGGCATGGGGCAAGCGGGAGGAGGAAGAGCGCTTGACGGGCAGGGAAGAGACGCGGCGAACGCTTCGAGAATGGTTTGCCGTCCTGCTTGAGACGATCGTTGTGACCGTCACCGCCCTCGCGACCGTGCTGCTCATGGCCACTTTGATCGTGCGCGCGAAAGATGCTGGCCTCCCCGCCCCCGGCAAGAAATATTACGTCGATAACGGCAAATATCAAATCCACCTGGATTGCGTTGGCGCAGCCCCCTCAATGGCGGCGAACAAACGCAGCGCAACAGTCCTCCTGGAAGCCGGTGAAATGCCAGTCGAAGACAGTTTTCGCAGTTGGGTGCACGAGGCGTATCGCAATGGCTCCATTGACCGATACTGCTACTGGGACAGACCCGGCATTGGGTGGTCTGACAATGCCCCATCTCCACACTCTGCGGGCATGTCCGCCGACGTCCTATCCGAAACCCTCGCGCTCGCAGACATAAAAGGCCCATGGGTCGTCGTATCCGCTGGCGTGGGTGGGATATACAGCCGCATTTTCGCCAGTCGACATGCCGCTGACGTCACAGGTCTCATGCTGATCGACGCCTTGCATGAGGATCTGCTGCCAGAGCTTGGCAAGCCAGGTCGCGGCTTCAAGCTCTGGCTACGCGGGATATTCTCCCCACTTGGACTGGATAGTTTGGCCGGGGCGATATTTAAGGGCCGCACGAGGGAAGACCGTGTGTACGGTAAAGTGGCGTACCAAAATGGCAAATTCATCAAGGCGAAGTTGCAAGAGAACCTTGTTGCAGATTCGACGACGAAGAGCGAGATTTCCAGTGCGAAGAACATTCAGTCTCCGTCCATGCAGTTGGTTGTTGTCAGTTCTGGTATTGAGGTGAGAAGGAACCAGAAGTGGGCAGATAAACAAAAGGAGCTTACCAATATCACTGATAATTTGGTGGCGTGGGATATTGTCAAAAATGCACCGCATGAGGTTTGGCGAACGGATAACGGGAAAGCTTTGCTTGGAGATAGGTTAAAGAAGTTGGTTAAACCGTGAGTTGGGCGCCAGTTGGTGGAAAGCTGATTCAGGCTGTTTCAAAGGGAAAATTGTCCTCTGGTGATGCTTCTCTATGCCTCTTTTGGCTAATTTTCGAAGTCGTATTTTCACATTTCATTTTCTCTTGGTATTCGAACGCGCTATTTTAACCAGAGCTAAGGCGCTTGTTTGGACCAATGTATCTAAATTGTGAATTTTCTTTAAGTCTTGAGATGACTGGTGTATATAAATGCAAACCCGCCATGATAAAATGATAAATTGAAAAGATATAAAAATTTTCATGGAAGCTCCAATTCTCATCACCATTTTATTGATCACATACTATTATTCAATAATGTTCAAGCTGGGCCATTTCCAGTTTCTCTTGCTTAAGAAAACACAGTAATCCATGTGCATTAATTAGCTTCAGGTTGTTTTTAATTTTCCCCTCTCCCTTGGTTTCCATTCACCACCGTTAAGACAATGGAAAATTTGGTTGGTTTGGGATTGTCGTGAAGTGAGAGATTCGATCCAGTAGTAAGCTGTATCAACTGGAGGTGCAAATACCCGCCTTGCTAGCGACGTATTTCGAAAGTAGGACGGTAAATAAAATGGTTGATAGGGCTTATCAGCGTAAATGTATATGCACTTTAATGTATCTTAACTGCAACCCGGTCCCGTAACGAGAAAGAGAAATTCTACACGAGTGGTAGATGTTTGTATGGGAAAATGCTATCCTAAGCTAGCCCCCTTAAACCTCTTAGCAAGCTGTTCACTATCCGATTGGGGATGTTCCGACTTGGGGGCTTGTGGATGTTTTGAACGTTGATGGGAAGAAATAAATGTTTGTGACTGGAAGGGCCAAGAACGCTTGGGGGGCCGCTCACCGCTCTCCTGAAGGATTGTAACCAAGGTGGCCCAGCCGGATGTGTTAATTAATTGCATACCATCAGCGGTATCGTGGGATCGCGCAACGGTACACAAAAGAAATTCTTCGTCCTATAGCCGGAGGCAGATGAGGGTTAATGACAGCACAATAAAGGTAAACTATAAGCAATGTTGAAAATAACTTTACCTTATTCAAGATCCCAAGGCTATTGAGGAAGCAAAGGAGATGGAAGTCCGATACACCACATATCGTCTTGTTAGGATCGCCGTGTGATACAAGCTTATCAGCCAACATTCTCAAATCCTGGCTCTCCCCAATGACCTCACGGTTTTCAATTGGAAAAGTCGAATTGTTGAACATAACATCGGGATCAGTTGGGAACCCATGGGTTAGAGTGACAAGGAGGTATTCGACGGGGAAACTTGGTTTCGCATTTTCCTGGACGTTGGCGCCATACTCGTTGACCTTGCGGTAGAATACCTCAGGAATGTACCGGGCTTTGCTCGCATCGTCATCAAGTTGGTTTTCCTGTTGCACGAGCATAACGCCGGGATCTGCAGAAGGTTCAATTATATCTGCTTTCACCATTTCAACTGCGGAATTCGATGCTTGGTATGCACTAATCGAAATTGCACCGTCTTCATCTCCGCTAAGCACACATGTGACAAAATTCGATCCAAACCGGCCCGTTTCACTCCATTTCGTTGCTTTGGGGTATCTTGCTTGCAGCTGTGCCGCAAAAACGATTTCTAGAGAGGAAAGATAGTAGGAGTCAATATGCCGCTTGCAGATGACCGTACCATCCCCAGCTCCGGCGTCCAGGAGGTCTGTGAAAATAACACCGATCTTCTCCAGACCGCAAAATTTGGCAACCTCATCAACGTCCTTCTCGTTACTCCATTCATGGAGTGTCACGCCATCTACTTCACCCACTTGTGGTGGTTCATAGATTGCTTGGACGACAGCTTTTATTCCAAGTGGAACCTCGGTGTACTCCTCGTATGTTCCGTATAAAAAGCCGAGTCGTTGAGTTCCAGATTTTCGCCAGAAATCCAATAAAGAATTAATGAGGTCAGGGGAAGAAAACTCAACATGGTCGACCATACGGAAGGGCTGGGGCTGCAGCGTGATTGCGCTGGGTTGGCACTTGGTACAAATGCCCTCTGGCCAAGCAGGATGACCGGATGGGCAGTCTCGTTTCACCCTGTAGTCAGGCTCTGAGAGAGGGGGTATATAGGAGCTCTTTAACTCCGGCTTATTGGTAGACGAATTTATTTTCCGAAGATATGAATGAAACGAAAGGTGTTTTATCTTCTTCTCCGCAAGATACTCGGGTGCATATGGCTCCAGGGGCATGCAATAGTCGCACATGCCTTTCGGTCCATGTCTGCACATTTTGTGATCAAGGCCACGACTTATTTTTCCGTCTTTTCGATCCAATCGATCATCGAGGGGTGACTGCTTAACAACCTCCCACGGATTCTTAATAAGGGTCGCGGACGTTGGTGTTGGGACAGGGGGAGCTTGTTCCTGTTGCCGCACTGCGACACCGTCCAGGCGACGGGGTGCATTCTGCGATTTAGAGATAGAAGAAGGATGCCCACTCGAGCTGCCGTTTACCACCGCGGTCTCTTCTTCATAACCAATAAAAAGCTTGTCTCCGTGGCTGAATGAATGAGTCTACAGACTGGAGTGAACACACATGGGAAGGGTTGACTCACGATAGTCCAACCCGTTGGATAGTAACCCCCTTCAGGGTGGATATATTTCTTTCCTGTCCTCCAGTCCCTATGGGCTTGTTCGAAAGTACGACAGACGGGGGAGCGGTGTTCTTGGGAAGGTTATCCAGCACCTAAGTTAAGAAGGTTGTATTATTATCTCCACGCCAATAGAACACATGTCCCATATGTGAGCCTAACCTTTGGTAAAAGGGATGGAAATTCGTCTGTCGGGTTCACCGTTAACCTGAATTGGCCATTCCGGCTTTCGAACCGGAGCAGTATAGGCCTAGCTGGCGCCATGATTTAGGCGTGTGATAGAGAGAGAGAGAGATAAGAACAAGCAAAGAGGAACAAGACGCATTCAAGTCATGGCGATGATGTAGAGAAATATAACACTGGAGTGAAAGTGAGGATTTGCCCGTGGGAAAGTTGCCTGAAGTTAGGGAGTGACGGAGACAATCGCTCTATCCGACACCACAAACAAGGCCCGAATACGTCAATGGGCGCCTTTCAGGAAAACTAGCGATATCACGTGGTTGGCTGATCTTGGATGGATTGGACCGGTAGATACTCAACAGGCTGATATAAAACCTTGGAATTCCATGGTCATCAAGTGGACGCAGTGATTGAGCTACTAGCAATAGTACATAAATTTCATTGCTCATTATTACTTTCATTTCGCATGGCTAACTAAGTTGGTGCTATCGTAGAAGCGTTCCTCAACAAACAAACGAAACATCAAGGCTACCTGAAAACTCGTCAACTAACAATACATTTCGGCAGCCCGCAAGCCCTGACTTCTTATCCTGCTTGGTTTTTTCGGCGGGCCTTCGCTCAGGTAAAGGTGTTGGCTGCGGTTCGCTGGCTCGAGCTTCGTTTCCTGAGTTATCGGCGGTAGATGGCCCATCATTTAGTCATTCGAAGTTAACCTTGGCGACAGTGTTATAGAACTGCTTGCCCTGTTCTTCGGCAACCTGGAGTTCCAGCGCAGATGGTTGACGCGAGCCATCAATGCCCTAAAAAAAATGATTCATACATTAGTTTTGCTTCTCATCCCTAGAAATCCTCTGAGAGATCTCCCCTTCAAATATGCAGATGGGGACAAAGGCTTACAGCAAAAGTCCCAGCACCCCACGGGCTACCACCTCTAACTTCATCGACGTTCACCAACAGGGACATCACAGTCTTGTATCCCAGAGGAACGTAGATGAATCCATGATGGGCCAGCGTACTCATCGCAGCGAGGTTGGTAGACTCCTGTCCACCGCCTGGAGTTCCAGACGAGACAAAGAGACCAACATATTTGCCCCAGTAACCGCCAGAAGCCCAAATACCCACTGTTTTGTCCCAGAACGCTTTCCACTGGGCAGGGAAATTCCCATAACGGGTTGGGATTCCCATCAGGATAGCATCGTATTTCAGAAGCACATCTGGTTCAGCAATCGGGTAGGAAGACTTCGGCGGCGCATGCATCTTATCGAGGACTTCCTGGGGGAGGGTTTCGGCGACTCTATATATGTTACGTTGACATGTCAATTTCCATTGGAGGGCTAGCTAGCTCATAAATTTCCTTTGGCAGTTTCGCGGTTTTTCCTCCTCTCGATTTTAGCCTGCAAACGGGGGGCCTTACTGATAGATATCTACTGTGCCTCCAGCAGCCTCAATGCCTTTTTTCTCTGCCTCCGCTAGCTTCTGGATATGTCCATACATGGAGTACTAAGTGTACGTATAGAGAGAATCTCATTAGTGACAAAAGAGTGACAAAAGAGTGACAAAAGGGGTAGTAAGGTAACACATCCATGTAATATGGACGCAGACATACGAAAAGAATAGCGATCTTCGGCGCCATGTTGATTGCGGATGCTGAATGGTTCGAACTACTGCGTAGATAGTAAACAGAGAAGAATGGTAATGCCACTAGGATTGTGCAATGAGCTGAATGGTTGGATTCAGCTGTGAGAAAGGTCCTCTGGGGGGAAGGGGGATGCTGTTATATACGCAGCGTACGGAGCACAGACACGGCAACAGAGCCCCGGGCCTTCCTAAGCTATGACGTTTGCAAGGATGGTAATCTTTCCACGGCTCTCCCTGGCAGATCCTGAATACTCTCACCTCCCACCTCCCACCTCCCAACTCAGATTACTGTTGCATCAGGGAAGCAATTCCGCAGTTCCTACAATTGAATGACCATATTATCGTGTCGAGCGGCTATACGCAGTATGTACCCATCACGCTCTGCTTAGGCAAATCCCTAGGGAGCAATAACGGTGCGGGAACGTGGGTTGGCGGGGTTGAATGTCCGTCCTACTCAGGGAGGTGATTACAGATCAAAGACTGCCACTAACTCCGCAGTAATCCTCACATTCCTGGTAATACGAAGGAGGGAGTGATGCCCCTTGTACGCAGTCCGTTCGTGATCCACTAAAAATTTAGTGCCCCACTAACAAAATATTTTTTTCGTGTTTCAATTTATGCGGGCAATCAATGATCCAGGAATGATTTCTTTGAAGCTCAGAAAATTGGAAATATATAAAGCCCGTTATGCTTATATCTCATATTTACTAGTACTTTTCTATTATAAAAAAATTCCTTGTGTGTTGAGATAGAGATGCCGTAACTATATTAGCAGTTATCATATTAATCATCCAACCAAGTTAGTAAGTGCATCAAATATTTAGTGTGTCATGGGCCAAAATGGGAGATCAACCGAGGGCTTCGGCTATGCCGAGCCCGCGTCTCAACACTGCTAGTGATCAGTGGAATGATTGCACTGGAAGCAGTTATTTCAAGCAACCCATTTGCCAGCTTTCAACTTTCACTTCAAACTCTTGTCAAGGTCAACATGGACTTTAATTCTACCGGGGTTTGGTATGATTTTATTATACTGAGCAGTGGGCAGTGGGCACCCGATGAAATCCCAAATAAATCAATTCCGGTGTTGGCTGAGAACACTTCGTTTGATAATCCCCGGTATGTCCGCAGCATGTCCTTGGTATGGGCGCTCTTGATACGTCGATGGTATCAAAGAGCGAGCGTGAACGTTTGGACCAAGTATGTAAGAAAGAGAAACCCGAAGAAGAGCGAGAACTCGCCGAGAGTTAGTTCGGGTTCCAACTGCGTAAACTAGTTGAACATGGCTAGAAACCCTGCTCTCATCTGTTCCACCACGCAGGCTCAGTCAACAAACCCCACATATACTTATCAGTCGCGTCCATCAGCAGAGTCTATCAACTAGATATTCTTCTAAATAGCTGATAACGATTAGCATATATTTACATCTACGCTGTATATAAGAAAAATATCATTACAATGTCATAGCGTTGCAAGATCTTGGAGAATATAGGAAAAGAAGCTAAACTCTCTCTATATCATGTCAAGTTCCATGATGCTCAGCATTTGACATGGTTAGAAACTTTGATTTTCCATTCTAACCACATTCAACTAGAATCCGGAACTGTCCCTGGAGCATATCTGAATGCAGAAGCGAGATTACTGTTGCAGGGAAGATCCAAGTCGACCCGACGTCGATGAGCCGATGAAACGCACGACGGACCATCGACGGATATGAGCAAGGTAGTTCGAAGAGCTTCCAATCAAAGCAACCATATCCCTTGCTTTCCGTGATTCCCTTGCCAGGCATTCCTGCTCAATCAAGCTTTGGTGGACCATCCATGGGGATCAACTATTACGAGGACCCTTTTCCATGCCAGCAGCACCAGGGTTTGATGTTGGTTTGAAGATATATTCAAGTCATTCTCCTCCCTTTAATTTTCTCCTTCCTTCCCATTGTTGTCGATTACGAACAAAGACTTGAATCACCAAGGATCTCTCAATCCAATCTCCAAATACTATGGCCGAGCTTGGCTCATTTGTATGAGGAGCAAGCTACGGCGGAGTGTCTAGCTCGAGAAGCTGAGGCGTCAAGGGTATACAACCAAATTCCTTGAATCAGTGTCTGATTTTTTGAGGTGTTAACCAAGTGTCTCGTGCTGGATTCTGGTCCTGTGTCAAAGTGATAAAAATCCAGAATTGGAATGTCCCGAAGTTTTCCAGCAACAATTCCTCTTTCTGGCCTCAGGAAGGTCTGCATATGAACAGGAAGCGGGTTATAGTCATGGGAATCGGTTCGGCCGGACTGCAGATCAAAGGTTGCAAAGAGATCATGGCTCTGTAACGAACGCCAAATCTTTGCCCAGCGTCAAAATAAGTACACCCAACGGTGAAGTGAAACAAGCACGGGATCAGTACCCAGAGCTTTTCAAAATACGGTCAACTACCTTTCGAGGACCTCATGTGAGACTTCGTGGAAAGGAACACTTTTGGATAACCACTTGAAAAGCGTCGCGGATTCTAAGAAGAACTCTAGCATAAAGGCGACTTTAGCTTTTGCGGGTAGAAGACACGCCAGCGCAAAAGGTACTCAGGAACAGAGAAATCCTGCGCCCATTGCCTTGCCTCACGCATTTGGACGCAAGCAGGTCTCATTGGAACAAGGCTATCACGACGTATTCAACCTGTTGAGATCCCTCTTGTGGAAGCCACTCCACAGGGGATTAAAACCACAGAGAAACGGGTCCAGGCTGACTTCCTAATCCTCGGGGGATGATTTCGATAGCTGCACGGGTGACCTGAAGCAAATCGACTGCCGTGGACTATCTGGTATGCCATTCCTTGCCTTTGCCTACATGTCCTTCACCTATGCAGACCAGGCACCTTCGTTATGCAACGGCCCCAAGCTTGTACGGAGCTGCAGGGCAATTGGATTTCCAGCTGCGTGAGTTATGTGCGAGAGAAGAACCCTTTCAACCGTCGATGCCACCCTCGAGACAGAGGCAGTTTGGAAACAGGATGCTCACAGCGTTGCGCATGCTAGTCAGCTACCTTCAGCTAAATCGATAAGTTGATGCATGTCGCTGATATTGCCTGTTTCCTGTTTCCGGCCCTCTTTTCCGGTCAACCCATTCCCGCAAACACCAAGATGATATCCTGTATGCTAATATTTTGAGCCAGTGGCACATGGGAGACCACATTCCAGGAAAGCCATTAGAGGCATTGAACCCATCTCGTTGGCGTTCCACGGTATGTGGAGACCTGCCAAGCCTACGCTAAGTAAAGGTATGGAAGACTTCATGCTGTTACAGGAGTCGCGATTGCGCTCGAATATTCCGTTAGAGCTAGAGTCAATTGGAAAATCAGTCTGGGTGAATCTTTCAGAAGTATATATCGCCCGGGAACTTGGGTCCGTAGTCACTTTTTCTTTTGTAGACAATGCATTCACTCTTAGCACTCTTGTCGAGGAAGACTTTGGTGTAGGTGTTCTGCGCGCAAGTGCTTTTGTTTCCGGAGGGGTTCAATCTATCGCCCATTGATATGGTAGGAAGTAAACATAGAATCTGCTGGTATGGATGTTTGTAAGATCGTGTACACCGCTGACTATATATACGGTGTAATCATCAATCTCTTTTTCATTGATTTCATTATTAAATAATTCGACATTTGTTTTGGTTGTTTGTGACATGCACTGTCAACTTGGAATATGCTGATGTATTGTTTGACAGCTTCGAAAAGCATAGATGATCTATACACATATCTCGTCTTCTTTAGAGCACGTTGCAAAATATTTTCACCCAGTTTTCTAGAAGCTTCAATCCAGTAAACAGCTATCTGATCGTAGTAATCAAATCCAGGAAAAACAGACCAACAGTTGGAAAGCCCGACGTTTAAAGAGCCACGGCATAATAAACTCCGATCAATGCTAATAAAGCACAGAAACCCGATAAGCCCAGCCCGCACATACAAAGAAAAGAAGACACGCAAATTTATTCCAAGAAGAAAAGAGAACAAGACCCACGAGAGACCCAAATCATCTCTTCCCTCGATACCGTCCTCTCCCAAACCGGCCATCCCGGCCACGATTCTCCCTCCTCCATTCCCTCTCCCTCTCTTCCTCCTTCTCCTGCTCCTCCCGTATCCTCGCCCTTTCCCGCTCCAAATCCGCTTCCGTCTTCGCCACCTTAACCATGGGCTTTGGCAAATTCTCTGGCCACCCGGGATGTGCACCCTCAAGACACGCCCGCCCCTCAGGGCAAAACCCAGCCAAATAAAAACGACAGATCTTTTTCCGCACATGCTTCTTCGCGCACAGCGGACCCAACGCGCACAGCCCCCTCTCGTAGTGCTCGCAAAGCGGTATCTTTGCCTCTTCGGGGACGTGTTGGTAGAGACATTCATCGCCGTTGGGACAGTATCCCGTCCGTGAGAAATTCTGGCACTCGGGCATCCGCCGTAGATTATACTCGTGCAGGTACTCGCATTTGATGCCCTTTTTGCATAGGCCTTTGAGGAAGTGCTTGCAGACGAGGGTGCCGTGGGTCGAGGCCGCGGGCATTGCCGGGGAGGTGGCCGTGGAGATTCGGGACGGGGTGGGGTGCCTGTCTGGGCATGTTGGGCCTAGGGGGCAGTGGCCTTCTCGATACGCTTTGCACACAGGCACGTCCGAGGCGAGCCCAAAGCCGAAGGTTTTTGTGAGGAAGGGGCTGAAGGAGAAGTTGAAGCTGGGGTCGCGAGGGGCGTCGGGCGAGACGATTCGATCGGCGATTCCCTGTACGTCTGCAGACATGGCGGAGGTAGTCTTCGTAGTCTTCTTCCAAACGGGAGAATTGCAGTGTGCAGTTTAGTAAGAGGGATGAAATCCCAGTCGCTGTCGTCTCGTGCAGTCCTCACCAGCCGTAGCACTGATGGATCGCGGCTGGAAGGGAACGAGGACAAGCTAACAGGGTGAAGACCCAGCCGTCAGTCGATACAGGCGTAGTAGAGATGCGAGGTACGAAGATAGTGAGTATGTTTGAGGAAACCGTCAACCCAAACAATAGCAACATCGGAAGTCGTAGGGGATCTCCGTCATGTGGTTGGTGGTTGGTTGATGTTGGATGCAAGCTCATCTTGTGTCAAGCTTTAGCACGCTCCACCAAACTTTCGGCAATCCATGACCAAATTGATAACCAACAGGGCTTCCCTTTTACAACCACCTCCGATGTCCACTTCCGCCGATAATTGAGTATATATCCCCTATCATTTAACTTGCGTCAATTCTAGCCGTCCTTTTGTTCCAGCATGGAATGCATAACCTTATCCTGTGCAAGCGGATCATGACAGACCCTGGGAGCAAGCAGGTTTAGGTGGTGGAGACAAAGGCTTCATTCCGGCAACTACATAAAAAGTCATTGCAGTCCTACGGCATTATTTTCTCTATATCCTCGCCCATTAGGTGATTTTTTCCCGCTGTGTGGCAGTACTGTAGGTACCTGTAATTGAATACTAATATCATGGATCCAGGAGTAGATGCTTCGATCAGGAAGTTTACCAAAAGCACCTTCAAACTAGTAATGCTGAATATCCTAGCAACTTGTGACAAGTGTACCGTACCGGTTTATGCATTATTTATTGGGAGCAAATCTGATCCTCGCTATTGGGCTTGTATGCCCGTCCTGATTGATGTCTTTCACGGTGCGCTGAACCACCAGGAGCAAAGACCCAGAGGCTGAGATGCTTTTACTGCACAACGCCGACGCTGGCCAGAAACAAAAGGAGAAAACGACAAAAGCACACAGTCATAACTGAACCGGGCGCGGGAGCCTTCTGCGGGGATACTTTCGCTCACAGAAGCAATATTTTCAAGGAATGAACAGCCATGCAGGTTGGAAACTGATAACTCTGCAACCATCTTCCCACTGCATACAATCGTAGGGCGATGCAATAGAAAGGCCCGCTATAGCCCTGACGCACATAATTAGCAAGTCACATAGACCAAGACACAAGGCTATGCAATCCAGCGGGCAGGATCGTGAAAATGTGCAAGCTCTCCGTTGTCATGGCTGCTGCACTCTCCTTTTCATTCCCGTAGCCCACCTCCCCTTCCGCCTATACAGCCAGCATAGATCATGCAGGAATCCGTGCGATTCTTACCGCACACTTGCATCGAGCCACCCATGCTCGTCGTTTGGGTGGTGTCAAGAAGAAGCTAATCCGGACGCTGGTTTTTTGGTTCAGTCATTCAAGGGATTTTATGTCGGAAAAACGATGGCCCACCTCCACTTCTTTGCTTATTCCTGCATCCAAAACTATGTTTTGACCCCGGATCTGCTCTGCACTATTTAACTAACTCGGGATCCACATATTTAGGCGCCTAAATCTCCCATAGCTGAGAGCTTGTCATTCTGCCATGGCCATATTGAAAGCTTTTGACTAGCCTCGTGGGCCCTTGAAGGATGATTATATATGGGAAGGGGGAAAACCCCGAAGAAAATACCCACAATCCTCAGGATCTCCAAGGTTGGTGGAAGATAATCGCCACTACAGCAGATACCCGCTTCTCCTAAAAGTTTCTGGAGTAAAATAGCCTAGAAGCGAATCGCTGTGTCGTGATCCACATTCGCTCATGCGCTGAGACTCACATCGAACTTATTGACTACTATCAGCAATGAAAACGGTTCCGGCCCTTTCACTTTCATTATTGCCATTTAGCCCTCGTCATTTCCGTAAGGGCTAAAAGCCAACCTGCTGTTTCTTAACTGCCCTCGCTCTTTCTCGCTCTTTCTATACATATATATATCCCCATATATACCCAGGTTTACTGCTTGCACCGCCCCTGCGATTTCTCAGTTTTCGAACCTCCAACGCCAATCCGCCCGAGACTCAAGAACCAACACTGTTTCTTGCCTAATCACTGCTTCTTTGCTATCGCACCAATAGACACTTCAACTTTCTAGAATACAACTAGTCGTTCAACCAGGGACCTGAAGTGCATAGCTCAGGTTGATAACTCCTGATGTATCCTTTCCAGAGATCTCCCTCCGTGGGTCTGGGTTCCAACGAACTCCCCTCGCAGAACTCGGTGCATAGATCCGGCTCTGGAATTCCGATGCACTGGAATGCCGTTTACTACGCTAATTGGCGGGCGAATGACATGCCGCCTCCCTCGTCATTGAATCTAGGTTATATTTCCCATATATTCTATGCATTTGCCTGGTATGAAGGGAAAAAACGGAGAAGATTGTCCCCATAAGTCCTTCCCTCCCTTGGCTGCTAAAAACCAACAAAAAAAATTGTGAAATGCAAGATAGCTTACTGGATGCTTTTGAGTTGGCAGGGTGAGAGAGGACGGCACCGTCTATGTTGGTGTGCCCAACCCATCGCCCTATACATACATCCTTATTTTAAACGGAAATACATAACTAACGATTCCCACCAGCTTAGCAACGAATGGGTGGACGAACGCCAGCCAGTTGATGGCACCGAGGGATATCTTCGGGCACTCGTCCACCGAAAGCGCGACTCCAAGGTAAAAGTGCTTCTTTCAATTGGGGGTGGGGGTAACGGAGGCGATATCGTAGGCAGCAGGAATTTCGCTGCTGTCGCGGCGAGCCCAGTAGCAGTCGAAAGATTTCTGTCAAGCGCCGCAGACCTGATGCATAAATTTCAACTTGATGGGCTTGACAGTGCGTAACTAACCCCCCTTATCTCTCCCCCCTCCAAAAAAAGCCGATCTAACAAACCTCTTACACAGTAAACTGGGAACACCCCGAAACACTAGAACAGGGGTACGACTACAACACCCTACTCTACCGGCTACGTGAACGATTCCCAAGCCCAGCCTACCTCCTCACCACCGCCCTCTCCGCCGGCGAATGGGTCCTGAGCAAAATAAACCTCGTCGAAGCCCACCTCTACGTCGACCTCATAAACCTCATGACATACGACTTCTCCGGCCCCTGGATGCCCCTCAGTGGGCACCACGCCCAACTCTACGCGCCGCCGGACCCGCAAAAAGCAACCTTGGAAGCGACGGCGGCGACGACGACGAGTGCCACCACGTCGGGTTCCTCAGGGGTCGCCTATCTGCTAAGCTGGGGCGTACCGGCTGGTAAAATCCTCCTGGGGATCCCCGTCTATGGCCGTGCGTTTCCGGGTGCGAATGGGATTAATCAGCCGTATGAGCGGGGGACGGCGGGAGGGGAAAAGGTGTTTGATTACCGTGAGCTACCGCTGCCGGGGACGGAGGAGGTGCACGATGCCGTGTTTTGTGCGGCGTATTGTGTTGATTTCGGCGGCGGCGGCGGCGGCAGCAGCAGCAGCAGTGGTGGTGGTGGTGGTGGTGGTGGTGGTGAAGGGCCCGCGGCTGGCTTCATTTCGTACGATTCGCCCAGGACGGTGATGCAGAAGGCACAGTTTGTATCGGAGTATGAGCTGGGGGGGCTTTTTTATTGGCATCTTGCGGCGGATGCGGAGGTGGGAACGGAGCGGAGTCTGGTCGCCACTGGGTATCGTGCGTTGCATTCGTGGATGATGTCGACGTCCAATGGCGGGGCGGGGGGGAAGAGGAGAAGAGGAGGAGGATGACATATCCCGAAGCAGTAAAAGTTGTAGATGGTCCTGTTTATTAAAGGGTGGGGTTGGGGTGCTAATGTGCTTATGCTCGTTATTTTTATGGCATTTGGGAAGAGTCGAAAAGAACAGTTGGGGGAGGAGGGGGGGAAGTACAGAATAACAAACAAGAAATAATACGGAGCTCCGTCTCGCTTGCATTCCACTATCTGTTTATTCTCTAACTACACTATACGGAGAGGACGATTATACTTATTTATTTTCAGGAAAGGGCAAAGAAAGGTTGATGAGAATCATCATCAAAAGGAACCCAAGCCCATAAGGAGAGATAGGTGGGCGGGGGGGAATAAAAAAGACCTGAGATATCACTCATTCATATTTGTATTTACAGCCAAACAACAAAAGCAAACAAAAAAAATAGGGGGGGGAAGGGGGGCGAACTAGACCAGAAAATGCAGAAATGGGGTATCATTCATTTCCAGAGTATCAGACTAATATTAATCGTAGTGGTAGGAAAATGGTATATATATACTGCAGGATGGGGGAAGGGGCCCCGGTGGCGACACTAATATCCACACGAATATTGGTGATGTATATATATATACGCACACAGACATTAACATGCAAGATAAAAAAGAGAAATCATACATACCCACGCCACACCCCCCGGCGGATAGGAGGGGAAAAAAAAAGAAAAAAAAAGAAGGAAATATAAAAAGAACATGACATAAAAACTTAACCACCATTCCATTACCCATTCGTTACCTCTCCTATCCCTACCCACCTCCTTACTTCCCACCCCCTGAGCCCAACAGCGGCCGCAAATCTAGCTCGATCTCCAGCGTATTCGACGCCAACGCGGCTGAGAAATAAGGCAGTTCCTTCCCGCCATACACAGCCGACTTACCCACGATGGTCAGGGGGATGACGCCCTTCTTGTACTTGGCGTCCTTGCCGCTGACGAAGGGGAAGACCTTCGCCAGGTCGATGGTCGAGCGCATCTTGGCGTTGTTGTCGCCCGGGCGGATGACGAGGGAGGGCAGCTTGGCAGTGCCGATTTTTTGGCCATCGACGGAGAGGTCGAGGGTGACGTCGCCCTGGTGATGGGGATGTTTATGTTAGGTGGAGGGGTTTGTGTTTTATGTGTTATAATTTATAATATACAGTGCCAGGCCATAAATATTTGGGCAACCCCCACCACAATCATGGTGCCTTTTGGTTGCAGAAAGTAGTGGGGTTTTGCTAATACTTATGGCATAGTACAGTATATATATATATATATATATTAGGGGAGGTTTGGTTTTGGATGGGGCCCGTTGCCGAGAGATAGACTTACCAAGGTGAGGGTTAAGACGCTGGGGTTGGGAATGAAAACTTCACCGAGCATGTTGCTTCCGTCTGTTTGGTTGGATGCGAGACTGAAGTTTTTCACTTCGAAGCCTTTGAGGGAATTGAGGCCTGTTCAGGCAGGGGAGAAGGGGGAATCGCCGCAGTTTAGTCGTCAGCGGTCCTCCGATGTTTTAATACAACAGCAACAGCAATACGGTACGTACCCTTCATGGTAATAACCTTATTATAATCTACAGTCGTCTTCGGCAGAGAGCCCTCCCTCAACCCCGTCTTGCCATCAATCTCAAGCTCGAGTTTCTCCGACTTCATAACCAGAATGGCATAGTCGGTGAACGCATCCATATTAGGGGCGACGCGCTGGTTAATTGTGCTCTTGGCGCCATCGACAGCCTTGACGGGTGGGACTTGAAGAGTGACGAAGGGACTCTTGTTCCCTGCAATGGTGACGGTGGCGTTGAAGGCATCGAGCTGGGGGTGGAAATTGGACTTGGAGCCGATAGTCTGCTCAATCTTGATAGCGAGGGACTCTGGGGATGGGTCGGTGATTTCCATGGAGTCGATGGTGAGGGTGGATCTGTTCACGTCGCGTTGGGCGATGTGGGGGTAGCCGACGTAGATGCTTGCCAAAAGGTTAGTTTCATGTCATCTCGAAAAGTTCCTTGCCCAATTCCGCTAGACATGTTGAGATTGTCCCACACGGCTATTTACATGAGCACAGTTCATGTGGGGACCACATTCAACAAGCGCATAGCGGAGATCAAAATTGACCCAGCTCCATTACTGCTCCGAAGAGGAGGGTTAAAAGGTGAAGTGGCGTAAAAAAAATATGCTTACACAGGCAAGACGACAACAAGCACAACGGCAATGAAGATACCCAGATATAGCCACCAAAATCTCTTGAAATTGGCTTTGAGGCGGGCGCCAAAGGAGGGCTTGGGCGCCACCTCGACGGGGCCAGCCTCAACCTTGTCCGACATCTTTTGGTATATGTCCTGAGTGGCTCGCTAGGAAGTTTAAGGGGAAAAGGGTATATTAAGGGTGGCTCTGGATGCATTCATTGTATTCGCTTTGTTAGCATATCATCGAATAAAAAACCAAAGTAAATGGAAAAGACATGAAGAGAGAAAAGAAAAAAAAGGGTCAATTGATTCATGCGATATGTATCTGCCATGCGTATGGAGGTGAGAAGGAAGCATGAAACACGCAGCAGAATCGCGGGTGTGACATCCAACGGATGCGCATGCGCATCACATTACGCACATGGAGGAAGAAGGACAGCATGATCGTTTTCTCTGCAGTGGAAGGGGTTTTTTTTTCTGCAACACGCCGCAGAAGCAATCGCGAAGCACGCGACAGCAAGGTAATTTCCATGCAAGAGGATAAACCTACCCCTGCTAGAATTTGAGCGTCGCGCGGATCAACCCCCCCGAAAGATTGCACAGAAACGACAAAAAAAAAAGAAAAAAAGAA